GTGAATTTTAGATGCCCATAATACTTTCGAGGTTGAATCAAAAGGGATCCAACGGGGGATGGGCAATTGTTTTGCTCTTCGAGACTCCCTGCCTGGCAAGCTTACTGCAGATCCGAGCCGTGAAGGGGTCCAGAAAAGTTTGGCTTTCCCAGCCATTTGGAGGAGGCGAGAGTGTGCACATCCTATGCGTTGCGGACCTCTGATTCAGGCCACGAATAAGTCCCAGTTGGTAACTGCTTAGAACGTTAACGCTGTTTAGTAAGTCATCTAAGTCCTACTCGACATACAACTCGCATGAGGGGCGAAACAATTGGGGGTCAAGGACGTTTGTGTGGGGGCAATTCCTTTTCAGGTTGCTTTTTTGGAAGGGGTTTGTCAGGTTCCTCTCCATTGGTGGTTGGGATTGGTGGTTCCGGGATTTGAACTCCTGGTTCTTGTAGCGGTTAGGTGGGAAACCAACCCAAACCAAGCCAATTGGAAGGAAGTTGACTTTCCGTCGGCGCCATCCCATTGTGTCATGGAGCAACCGGCTAAACCAACCAAAACAAAGAGTGTGCCAAAGTTGGGGGGGTCCTTGGGCTGTCCTGTAAAACCACAAGCAAGGTTCCCTTTAAATAATGACGCACTCATACCAAGTGTGAGGATCTTTGGCTGTTAGGAGCCTAGGGTTTGTAGAATCGGCTTTTTTTTCTCGCCACGGTTTCGGGGGAGAGGGAGTTAGAGGGGGACTTCATAGAAGCTACTATGATGAAGGGAATGTTTGTGTTAGTTTTTGCCTTTTCGGCATAAAGGAGTTTTAGAAGGAAGCTCCTTCGGTACATGGGCGTGTCTTTTTCCAGGTACCCCTAAAAATAGATAAACATGGTGGTTTTCCCTTGGTTCCTTTTAGACCCAACCAACAAGGGGTGTACCAACTCAAAACCTCACTCATGGTTGCTTCAGGGACGGCCGAGATTCGAGTCAGGAGGATTCCTGGTACCCGCTGAGAAAGGCGGAGGAGTACTGGGAGTGGGCCGCGCCTTGGCGAGAAAGGGGAAAGCTGTAGCTAGGTCCCCCAGCTAGGTGCCCCTTCTGAACCCTTTTTTTGGTTGGGAGGGTTCCCCTACTAAAATGTATCTACAGAAAAAAAGTTGGTACCCTTATTTTAACCTTTCTGCTGGAGGACCTACGTAATTGACAGAAGGTTGACTTTTGTTTTTCAGTTGGTTGTTGTTTTTGCTTTTGGTCGGAACCTCTTTTTGGTTGGTTGTGGTTGTTTGATAAAGGCTCTGTTGCCCAGTGGATTCCGCCCGTGGTTTCAACCTTTGTTGGGGGAAGGGTTCCGATTCCTTTAAACTCAACCAACCCAAAAAAGATGCCGCTTGTTTTTTCCCCATTGGCCTAGATCGGGTTTCGGGCTGACTTTGACTGGGTTTGGGTTGGCTTGGGGCTGATTTGCGTTAGGTGCGCTACTGGTTTAGCAGCTTTAGGGTTGCTTTAGGGTGTGGTTAAGTGAGTTGTGGGCGAGTTTTGGCGGTTGGGGCATGGCCCATAATGGGCATCTGAGAAGGGGACAGGAAACAAGAGCCCGTTTTTTAGGAGACCTCCAAAGAAGCTGTGATCAACCGAATGTTCACCCCGGATCCAAGTACCCCTGGCAGCTCCTTGATTGTGATGGGTGCCCCCGAGCGGGGATTCAGAGCACTTTTGCAGGGACCACCTTCCAACAGATCGCATAGCTGGAGAGTCGCCCGCTTGATGTTTGCTTTCGGGAGAAGAGGAGAGCAAGTGTCTTGGTTGCAATTTATTTTCAGTTGGCTCAGGCAGAATAGTTGTGTAGGTCTATATTTTGGTAGGAATCTGTTCGGTGTGGTTTAAAAAGGTTAAATGAAACGTGAACCCACACCTGTCATGGGCGCCTGAGTTTAGGCGCGATTGGTCTACAATGCTGGCCTTGGTTTGCATTGTCGCCCTTGGCGCCTGGTTTGCATTGTTGCCCTTGGCAGGTAAAAGTTGGTGAACCAACACGCTACAAAAATAGCCCGCTTTGTGTTTATTCACTTACAGCAACTACACAGGTTTAGTTTGATACACGCTCACGCACATCGCCAAACCAGTCAAACAGAGCATTAAATTTGGACACACACACACGCACAAACATGCCCTACCCTCTAAGTAACGTATGGAAGGGGGGGTGGGGGTCCCCACGCATGTTCCCGCAAAGCAGGAAGGCAAGAATGTATGGGGGATGGTTTTTCTCCGTTGGGTTTGTGGATTTGTTTTTAGTTCGAAGTTGGCCAAGCTGAGATTCGTTTTTGGCCCGCTTGCTTGAACATGCCTTTGGGCGTGAAGTGGCTTTCTAACAAGTTTACTGGCAAACTTATCCTGGCAATTTGAACCCCTGTGACTCAGGCTTTTAGTTTGCCATGACTAACCTGGTGGACGTGGCTGTCCAACGCTTGAGAGCCGAATTTGATTTGTGGAATTGGAAACCCGGTGTTGTCATGAAACGTTGAAACCAACGGAGCGGTCCGGCGGTTCTGAGGACCGCGCTTTGCCATCGCACCGTTCCCAAAGCATAGGCCCGATGCATTGCAGACGTCGCTCTTTGGGCAAGGGATTTGTCTTGCTGTCTCAGGGAATGACCTTCCGATTCTTGGGAATGGACTTAGAGAAATGGAGTAACCCATCTTTAAGGAAATCCCTAAGTCCATTACCCATCCCTTGTGGATGTCTTTTTCTCAGAAATCCCATTCGCCTATCGAACCGGCAAGTTGTGACTCGGCTTCGCGAAAACGGGTGCAATGTTGGTTGGAAATCTGAGCTGCCAGCCGGGCGGGCCAGTGGTAGTGGGTAACCCACACTCCAAGCGAGGGGTGAGAAAAGGGAAACCGTGTAGCGTAATTACCACAATATGGATATGTGCGCGTGTGTGTTCTTTAGGGGACCCCCAAAATGGTGGGTTCTTGGTTTCCTTTTCAGCCACCCAAAAGGGGGTCCCCCAACAAGAAAGACACCCATATACCTGGGTCATGTGGTTAGATGTTGGCTCACTTGCAATACCAAACTTGATGCTCTTATGTATTGGCTTCCGATGTATTCTTTCCGGAATCACTGGGCTGGGATGGCTGGTGCGATGCTGTTTCAGTGAAACCTTGGCCGGGTTGGACAACCGAGCCTCCCGATGGCCAAGCTTAGATTGTGGCTGTAGATGGCGCCCCAGAACAGCCCAAACGGGTTACTGAAGCCAATTAAATGGCACTCGGGGGAGGGAGGGGGGCTCCTGGCGGTCGAATAGGAGCAACCCGGCCTAAACTGGGTCCCGTTTTGCGGGACGACTGAGTTTTGCTCAACCAAGACTGTGGAACACTGTTTTATACATAGCGCAGACTAAGCATAAAACAGAGTCTGACTATCGCTATGTCTCTAATAAACCCATGGCAAGCAGACAATCATTTCATCGTCGAGCTCCTGTCTGCATCTAGAACCCTCATGCCCATGAGACCTGGCTTGAGTCACTGTTGGGGGTGTTAGTTGCCATTCTAGTGGTACCCAGTAGATCCATTTACCTGCGCAAACAGGCAACCAAGGGCAAGCGGCACCCGATATTTAAAAAAAAAAAAAAAAAAAAAAAAAAAAAACAGAAAGGAAAGAACTGGTTACCTACGTGGTAACTGGGATCTGAGGTAATCAACAGGTTTGGTTGCGATGTTTGGCCAATCCACTCAGGTGAGAATCTTTTGTGTTTCTGTGACAAGGGGGGTTTCTTCAGAGTTACAAAGTCATCTTGGGCGAACCTCTACTTATACAAGAGCGTGCACGAAACCTGGAACGCCGCTGCACATGGAAGGGGAATGTGGACTGACGGTTTTGTGCCCCTTGCCAAGGGATACAAATGCTGCTTCACCACATTAGGTGTGCAGCTGGAAATTGGATGTCTAAGCAATTAATCATGTTATAGTTAGAGTAAGGTGCTGGTTGGTATTACAGTTGGTATCCACCCAAAAAGACGCCAGAAGGGCCTTGATATGACAATGGCCATTTGTCCAGACCTAGCCTGGCCCCATGTCAGGGTTTCCTTGGCCTCCAAACGTAGCGGATTCCTAAGGGGAAATCCAGGGACCCTTGTGGAGGATACCCTTTGGTGGTAGTTGCAAGGAACGGCAAAGGACACCTTCCCTTCACAGGCGCACACACACAGGCGCACACACACACACACACACACCCGCGCGCGCAACTGTGCCCACGAAATCCTTTTTTTTTTTGTGTGTGTGTGTGTGTGTTTTTTTGTTGTTTCTTAATTACCCGCCCCAAACGAAGCCTGAAGTCAGCTTTAAGGCAAGGGACGCATCAAGCCCAGCCTCAAGCCAACCCCAAGCCCAGCTTCTCGTGCCGCATGGGATCGAAAGGCGCGGTGGCCCTGGAGTACCAGGTGTTGCTGGTGAATACTCTGGGCGCCTCACCCTGGGCATCTCGACTGAGTCAAAGACTTTGCGGGAGGTCGGAAGGGGGAGAGGTTTGCGTCTCCATCGGCTTGAGATTTGTTCTGCTTTCTGCTGAAAGCGAGAACTTCTTTCATGTCGTTTCAGATATTGGTTTTAGTTTCCCCGAGGGAATCGATTTCACTACTGGACATGTTGTTTTGTTTGTTGCCTCCAGGGGACTGAAAAGCAAATGCAGCGAAAGGGGGGGCAAATCAAACGGGGGAAACCAGAAATGCCTCTGATTGCGGGTTTGGGAATTGGGGTCTGTCACATAGTCTTTGAGGCTCGGTCCCGTTCTTGGAACACCAAAGGGAAACCAAGCATGGGGCCCTTGGATCCCAAGAAAGTTTGTGGCCTTTGGGGTGACCTTCTTGAAATTTCAATGGGAAACCATCCCTTAGGTCCCCCAGTACTTAGTGCCCTTTTACCCTTTTTTTTGGGAGGGGTTCCCCTATTAAAATAGACCACAGAAAAAGGGCACCCTTCCACTGGAAACCTAGTCCCTGTTTGGAGGGCACATCAGTTGCAGAACCACCCAAGTTCCAATTGCTTCCCTCAACTTCCCTCCAATTTGTTTACCTGGAACCCCCAATTACGTTTTTTTTGTTTTGGTTTTCCGCGGGGGCATTTTTCCAAAACAAGACTCCGGCAAGCGTAAACAACAGCTCCGCTGAATTTTCTGAGTTGTGAAAGACGGCGCGTTTGGGAATGCCTGTTGTCCTACGGAGGCGCAACAAAGATCTCACTTTACGAGCACGGAATTCCAGACACCTTCTCCTTTTCTATGTGTTTTTTTTTTTTAAATCAGCATCTACCACTTTTCTTTGGGGGTGATGTTTAAAGGGAACTATGCGAGGGATCTATTTCAACATTACATTTGGCTTTCTAAATATGGGTGCCTCATACCATTATTCATCCCAGCTGAAGCCAAGTAACAACTTCTATGCAAGTGATAATCGCCGCTTGGGGTATGTCAGCCCCTTAGAACAAGGCTCACCCCACATTCACGGGGGACTTATAGGTGGCTGTGTGTTTCCTGAAATACCTCCGTTGTTCGAAAAAGGTTAATTGCTTGTGAGGCTAAATTTGTCGAATTCGCGAATGACCTCAATCATCCACTGGTGGAAAGCATAAGATTGATTTGTTTTATCATTTTTGGAACAGCTGGGACCAACAACTTACGTTCACTTCAGCGCTTCAAGCAGCTTCTGACGAAGTCACCGACTCGAATCGAGGTGACCCACCACCACCTGGCCTCCGACGACTACGTGCGCCAGGAGGCGACCTTTTGGCTGACGCACCTACGGCCAGATGTGTCCGTCTACGTGGAGCACCTTGGTCCGATCGACCCCATGGCCGACTTTCCCAGACCTTCACTTGGCGTGCCATCTACTTCCTTCCCAGAAATTGAGCAGCCACCTCAAAGGTGGACATAACAGGGATGGATCAAACCCTATGAGCCCTGTAAGCCCTGGAAACCTCAACCCTACAATCCATACAAGCCACCCTATAACACCCGCTCACGACCGAGGCACAGCAACGAGGTCTGGAACTCGCTCTTCCCTCAGGGCCGCTATGCCACGCAGCAGGCCAAGTGCCGAGTGCCGAGTGCCGAGTCTGTTTAGTCGCACGTAGCTCCGGCAGGTGGTCAGATGAAAGGTGACTCACTCCCTGAGTTCCGTTTCGGACTTTAAGCTTTTTGGGTTTGCTAGTGGCAAAGACAAAGTTTGGACTTTCTGTGGCCAATCCACTCAGGAAGTCAGGCGGTAACTTGCCTGTTCAGTTTTCGAATTATTTCTTGTTGCCAGATGTGTTTCTTGACCTGTGAATTATGGAGTAGCATTGTAGCATTGGCCAACCCTTTGTTAGCAGCTGCAATAGATCAACCGATCATCTCATCATTGGTTGCAATACAGAAGTGCTACAGAGGGCTTCACACCCGAATTGTCATGCAAGACTTGGGAAGTGGACGAGCCCTCAGAGAGCAAATGGGTGAAGCTTACTCCTGAGTTGGATGAACGTTTATCCTAACGGAGAGCCGCAAATCGACGGGAGGCACAGGCGATTGCTGTCATATTTGGCACCTCTGCTGAAAGCTGGGATTCTCCGATCTGGTGTACCCTGCATCCTTTAAGCACGGTGTCACCCGAAGTAAGGGGTCGTGAAATTCCCCAGTTTTGATCCGGGTCAGAAGGAGACTTCAGGCACCTTTCTGGCTTTCCATGGCAAATACTTCCATGAGAAGTTTGCGGAGTTTCCAGCTTCTTCTTTTTTCACGGGAGACTCCAGGTACCATCCAAACAAAGACTGAGTTGTTCAATCCTTTGCTGAAAAAGCGTGGGTCTACCTGTGGTGCCGGTCCGAAAGGGTGAACCCTTTTATTTCTAGCTGCTTTGGGCAAGTGAGAAGAACAATCTCAGCCTCCAAGATGTCCAGCCAAGTGGTATATTAGATTGGGAACCAACCCCATGTACGGACTTGGATATCCAATAAAGTGAGACAGAACTCAGAGGAATCCACTTTACATCACAGGTCAGCAAATGAGTGATTCCCTACTTGGATGTTTGTTGCCAAGTTAATAAGTTGTTGGCAACCAACGCTACAACCCACGTATAAATCCCCTGTTCAGTGGGGTTGAACTTGTGAGAAAGGGGGTGAAGTACCCCAAATGGCGATCCCCACAACCAGAGCACCCCTCGCCCTCCAAACAGGCAGCAACATTGAAATTGGAGCGCGAGGGGTTTCATCTGTAAGGGTTTGATGAATTCGTCGTGCGGTAAGAAACTACCTGGAGTCTCCATGGGCCTTAATACATGGGGGTCACTACCCCAAAGAAAGGGGTCATGACCCCATTTTTAAAGAGAAGAAGACTCTACCTGGAGTCTCCACACCCTTTAAAAAAGGGGCCGTTACCCAAAATTAAGGGGTTATGACCCCTTTTTCTCGGGGTCATCGGTAGGTAGCCCCTTGACTCGGCGAAGCGAGCCTCATGCGCCAGGGCACAGTCCTGGGCCTGGTGAATTCCACCTGCCGCACCCCGGACACGGTCTGCGCACGTGTGCGCTACAACGTTTCTCGGCCACACGCCGCGCTTCTTTAAACGCGCCGAGGTGGGTGAATTGGTTTGGATGAGAGGCGATTTGTTAGATTATCTGGGGTTTACAGGGAGCCTATCAGTGGACATAGTGTCTTGTGTTTTCTGTTCTTTTTTTTTTTAGGGGGGCTAAGGCTATTGTAAAGGCCACAAGCCTTTGAAAGCTTTTCATTTGAAGAGGTTTTAGAGTGACTGAACCCTTTCTGGTCGGGGAAGCCTTGGGTTTGTCCCTGCCGTTTCATGCCACGGATGCATGTCACCGTAGCTAGCAAGTTAGCTACTTCAAGGATTTCGACATATGCAACGAGTGAACAAGGGGTCAAGTGGTTATCAACTTGTGTTGAAGATAAAGTTACACCAGGGAAAAAAACAACAAAACAGGACAACAGAATGGTACATCCTGGGCCCTGGGTTTTTGTACCCAAGCGCTTTTGTCATGATTTCATGTGCTCAAGGACAATGGTTTCATAAGGACAAAAACTGAATGTGGAGTGTTTGGAGATGCGGTTTTTCGAGGCCTACCGCTCCAAGCAGATCTTCGACATCTGGGCGGAGGTGTGGTCTGGCCAGCGCAGTCGACTCAAGTTCGTGCTGTCCACGCAAGCGGTGCCTTGAAGCAATCTCAAGGCGTGCCCCCAACTCCAAACTTCTGGAGGTGGGGTAGGTACGGTGGTTGAGAGGTTTAGGGTTTTTTTGTTAAAGAAGGCCAAAGGTGGCAAGCAGCAAGTGGGTCTGGCTTTTTTGAAGGTATCCACTCTTGGGGTTTTAAAGGAAAGCCCGAAGGATCGCGAATTTGAAGGGGACCTCCCAGAAAGAGACAGAGTCAAGTTCTGACTTTTGTTGGCCTAATCCACCGAAGGGAATGGGATTGAGCAAGATCTGTTTGGTTTGACACATTATTCACTTCACTTCTCCCAAAAGGACACCCCAAGAAATCTGTGAATTCAGATTGTCCCCATGTCCCCAGAAGAGTTTTGGTTTGCTCAGCAAGCTGTGGGGTCTGTCGAAAGTTGAGGTCTGGGGAGATGTGACTCGCGACTTGCTCTCGGTCAACAACGGCGCTGGGGCTGATTTGCTCGGAATCACCGGGTACATGTCGCCACAAGGCCAGTCAAGACCTTGCCTGGGGTCTCCGAAACAGTATTTTCCTTGTGGACAATCTAAATGCGAACCAGATCTGAACATGGTCTTTTCTGTGTGTGTTCGACACGACGGCGTGGCAAGGTAACGTTAAAGCACGCCTTTGAAAAAGGCTTGGTATTCAGAAAAAGAAGGAAAAACAAAACGGTTTACACACAATTTAAAGAATGGATGGTTCCCGTCGGGTCAAGAGCTTCAGAGCCTCGCAAGGTTGCGTGCTGTTTCTGTTCAGAGTTTGTTGTCTCATGCTTCCGACTTTCGTTTGGCACGCCACAGCGTGATCTAGTACTAAAGCATGTTATTTGACGATGTCAACCCCTGGCTAAAACAGGAAAACTCTTACCATGAAAAGCCTGGTTTCCCAGAAAATATTGCGTGAACAATTCGTTGGTATTGTGAGAAGGGTTTTTCACACGATGCTTTCAATCAAAGCCGGTGGGGGTTATATGTCGAAGCCCCGAACCCCTTCATGACATGCGAGCTGGCCCATGGGACAAAAAGGCCCGCCCATGAGAAATGGGTTTTAACATCACCTGTTCCTAGGAAGTCCAAGTGGGTTTTCCCATTTCACCTACAAAAGGCCCAACAAAGGGTAAATCAGTTGGCGTTTCAACGCACAGCACAGTTGAACCGGGTCTTTGGAAGGTTTGGCCTTTGGTGGTGCTAAGCATCACCCTTTGGGACGCTGTAAGGTGAGTTTCCTTTGGTAGTTATCTTTTAAGCGAACTAGAGTGCATTTGGATGATATGAATAGCGCAATTTCTTCATGTTGAGGCTGTCATCCCCATCAACAATTCGCCAACTCCAAAACGTCATCTCTACTGCTATTGGGTTGGATCTTTAGACTTTGACTTTTGGGATTCCCCTCATATTTATTTCCTTTTAACCAGCAATAAGTTAAACTTTTTGCTGGGGGATCTACAGCGCCCAAGACATAAACGGCGTGGTGCCATCTACATTCACCCTGGTGTATCCGAGCCCGAATTCGCTTCCGGTTGCGCTTTCGATAGGTGGAGTGGATCGGTCCTACTCGGCGAAGACGCCCGAGGAGGTCATTGACCTCTTCACTCAGGCCAAGGAGTGGGGAAACTTGGCTGCACTGTTTGACCTGCGTGGATGTTCAACCCACTTGGGTAGATTCTCACCGTGGCTGTAAGGGACTAATGAACCCTAGTTACCCATGTCCATGGTTGTAAGCTTTACTTACTGACTTGGTTGAGCATAGTTGGTTGCTTTGGATTGGTTTAGATTTGAATTTGGACGGGTCCCTGGTTCTTGAGGGTTTATGATTTGTTTCACCTAAACCATTTGCGTGACAGAATTGCAGAATATGTCTTAGTTGTCCCTGTTGGTTTCAAACGGAATCTATCACTACCGGAAAGAAGCTGATTTTGTTCGGGGACTTGAGCAAATGGAGTAAATGCTTGCGTGATGATTGTTCGGTTGGATCTTTGGCCTTTGACTTTTTGTAATTTCCCACCAACCCACAGAACGCACATATTTTGTGCAGGGGGCAATAGCCACCAAGAGTTGTTGTGCAGGTACATGTTGAGCTTAGTGCAAGCAGACACCTCGTACCCAAATTTTCCTGGAACTGTGCAACCTTTTCGGAGATCAAGGAATGATCAATGAGCCCAGTTACCAGTAGAGCAGGTAACCAGTTATGTTCCTTTTGGTTTTCAAAGGGTGGTTCCCTTGGTTACATACTGTACAGGTACATGGATCCACTCGAAACCGTGAACAACTAGCCGCAAATGGACAGCCCCCCGTCCCTTTTCGCGCAGCCCCTTGGAACCCCCCCACCATTTGCTCCAAAACGGGGCGAAGCAACATTTGGCTTTTGGTTCCTTGATTCTCCTGTGCATAGCCTGGGCTCGGGCTCCAACAGGTGATCACCGCTTTATTTGCTATTCTGGGCAAAACCAAACGTTTTAGAGACGTTTTTGGCCGCTCCAATGAGCCAAACATCACTTTTTACTTGGGTGTGTGTGTGTGTGTGTTTTGCGGGTACCCTTTTTGAGGTTGGTTTTATGGGATTCCTTTCGGGGGAAAAGAACATATACCTAGAGTCTCCATGACCCCTAGAAAAAGGGGGTCAGAACCCCTCATTTTTGGGTCATGACCAGCCCTGTTTCAAGGGTCAGAAGGAGACTCCGGGCACTCGCTCGTGACTGATTCTCCGCATCCTCGTGCCATGTGGCATTTGTTGGGTGTTCCAAAAGTGTGTTTCTTGCAGAACTCCACAGGGCCAATCCCAAAAGCCTGGAAAACGCCAACCTTCCTGCTTGGAGAAATGCAAAGCCACGGGGGGGGGGGGGGGGAAAAAGAAATGTTTGAAAGAACTTTGAGAAGTACAAAGCCCGTTTTTGGAAGGAGATCAAGCTTCCATGGGTTTCAGTCTGCCACATCCTTTATGTGAATCTCATTTTGGAACTTTTCCTCCAAAGTGTGTTTTTTGGCGTTCCTTTCCTTTGGAGTTCCTTCTTTGTGGCATTTTTTGGAACTCCAAAGGGCCAATCCAGGCTGAATTTCTCTACGCCAGTGAGCCAAACATCACAAATGTTCCTTTTCCGTGTTTGAGGATAGCCTTTTGGAGCTTGGGTTCCTTCGGAGGTCACTTGTGGCTGCGTTTCTCCACGTCCTTTTTCTGTGAACCACTTGGCCGTGGGTCAACACCAATGGTACCATTTTGGGGCAGGTGAATTCACCACCCGTTTTAGTCTATTTTAGTGGGGATTGAATCCTTTTTCTGTGAACCACTTCTGACCTTTACCGCCCTGAGGTCGGTCCTGGCTTCGGGAGCAGAAGGCCATCGCAGAGGCTGCCGGCCTAGGCGTGGGCAGTCGGGCGGAGTCGGAGTCGGGCGGAGGATTGCCACGTGGGGTTTCCCCACACCACAAAAGGACGCCCTTGTAAGGGTAAGGCAGTTGATGTTTCAACCAATGGTATTTGGCCGTGGTGGTCAAAACCGTTTTGGGATCCCATGTTGGTTGGTAGGTGAATTCACCACCCGGTCTATGCGTCCTATTTTAGTGGGGGTTGAATCGGATGTTCACTGGGGGTACGGGAATTTTACCCATGGCCATGCCCACAAAAGGACGCCCTTGAAAGGTGAGGCAGTTGAGGTGTCCGCTAACCCAGTTTTACCGGGCTGTGCAAGGTGTTGCTTTTTGTCGAGGAAGCTGTTGCTGTTCAAATGTGTGATATTTTGGAAGGAAAACTAAAGGTTGGCTCTTGCAAGGTTGGTGGTCTAAGGTTCCTGTTTTGAGGAAGCGGAAACCACGGGTGCTACAGGCTCGGAAGCGGAATGATATATGTGCATGGTAGGAGCAAAGCCTGAGCCAAACATAAAGCAACCATTTTGAGGATTCCCGTATAGTGGCACAACCCCAGTGTTTTTCCCACGCAGAAGGGATCGAGTTCGGCGGGGGGTCCGCCACCCTTTCTCCATGTGACCGAATCGCCCCAGAGAGACCCGATGGAAAGAAGCAGTTTGTCCATGAAACCTGCAACAAGGCAGACCTTTTGCTAGAGGAAGAGAAGCGCAGACTCCAAACATCAGCTTTTTTCCATGGGATTTGAAGAAATCGGAGTTTTTCCAGATCGGAGCGTTCCGTTGGTCCTCCTTACCGCTAAGAAGAAGAAGAAGAAGAGGAAGAAGGGGTGACAAAAAGCCCACCAAGAAGTCAACAACCTGTGATTTACATTGTGGTGCATACTCAACCTCAAGACCATGGTACGTCACAGTAGATTAGAGGGATTCAGTGTTCCCTTACTTGCAATATTTGGGGCTCCTTTACTTGAGTCAATCCTGTGTTTCTTGGTGCGAGGGTCAATGTGGAATAGCGGGGTTCAGGCCATGTTTTGTGATACCAAGGGCGTCCCGTTTTAAGTCTTTTCTAGACCTTGATGCATGTTTGCCACAGTCCATTGAGCAGAGCCCGAAACCCAGTATTGGTATCCACCGTGCGTCCCACTCCCACTGCCCACGTACTCCAGAAAACTGTGGTGTTCAAAATTTTCCTCGGAACATCTCCGGGGAATTTGGAGGGCTCGCCGGCGAATGGAAGGGAGCCTGTCGGAGCTACCAAGAGTTCCGGAAGGCCATGGTAGAGGGGCTACTCTGATGTTCGGCCAAGTTAGCAACTGGTTGGCCCTTTGGGTATAGCCCCTTTGTGCCAAGGTTAACCCCACTTAGGGGGACTTAAAAATGATTGGGTTATGGCCTTGATTACCAAACCTTACTAACTTGGCCGAGCACCCAAGTAGGGAATCACTCATTTGCTTGCCTGCGATGTAAAGTGATAAGCGGATTCCTCTGAGCTCTTCCTCACTTCATTGGGGATATCCAAGTCAGTACATGGGGTTGGTTCCCAATTTAGTTTACCATTTGGGGCGTGAGTTTGACGGTAAAGTCATGGGGCCAGTAAAACCCGCTCCTCCACCCTGAGATTCAAACCACCATGAAAACAACGAGGGCTCATATAACCTCCATTGTTTACCATTCAGGATTGTCATCATCCAAATTGGGCGTTGAACCCTAGGGTCCAGGGATGCCGTTGTTTCCTTGTTTTGAAGGGTTTTCCTCAACAGCTGACTACCAAAACAGAGTGCCCCTCTTCTTCCTATATCCTCTGGGGGTTTGCAAAAGTTCCGTGTTCTCACATATCGTGCAAGCTCAAAGCAGCAAAGCAAATCGACTTGAAATGACCCGTCCATATTTAGTCGTCAGCCTCTCTCCACGAACATGGCACCTCCAAGAGCAACCTGATCTTGTTGCCATGTTAGCGGGAGGGAGACCTTTTCTTTCTGCGTCTCTAAGGGGCAACCGAGCCAAGTCCTGCACCACCCAAGAAACCCTGGAACAATGATTCCCCTACAAGAAGAATGCTTTCAACCATGGTTTCAAAGTGGTGCGACATGGATTTTGTCCATCCACAGCGGTGGCTTGTGCTTTTCGGTTTCGCAAGGCATTGCATTCTACGAGGGTGGCGTGGGACTGGTGGAGGACGGCGTGATCGAGGGCGGCCTGGCGCCCGGGCGTGCAAGACGTCTGCTATTTTTCCAGTTTCGCTGGAATCCGTCAAGTTCATGTGGCTGTGGGTCAAAAATGGGTAGCTGAAATGGAACCTTGCGAAATGGTAATGGAACCATGGACCCCTCCAAATATCCACTTCTGTTGGGGTATTTTGTGGAACGCATTCCCGGTTTCATTTGGAACGAATGTCGGTTCCCTTTTGGGTCCCTTCAAAACTTTCCAAAAAAGATGGGCGCAACTCCCAAAATGGAGTGCAAAATTTGCTTATGCGAAAGAAAAGCGGTTCCCCAAAACGACACAAATGGTTCCCTCAATAAAACACGGGGTCTTCCCCCCCTAAAACAACCCCCAAAAAAGAAACCCGACCGGCCCACCTTCACTGCCTGCCATGCCTGCCATGCCCTCAGAGCTCTCCCCCTCGGCTCGAGGCGATCGGATCCATCACGGAGCTGCTGATGGCCGTGGGCCGCACGCCAGCGTTTCAGCAGGCGGTGGAGGCCTGGCTCGACATGTTCCGCGAGGCGCGGGAGAGTTGGAAGCGGGAGCGGGGCAAGCGGCGAAGCGGATCGGAAGTTGCAAACGCGTCCCCTTGGCTGAAATGAGGAGTTGGTTTCTTTCATTTATCCCCTACTCCAAATACCCACATGTTCTAGGGTATTTTTGGGAAAACCCGGTTTTTCAAGGTAAATACCTCCTTTTTTAGTAGAGGGTCGACATCATACCCCAAAACAAGTGGGTATTAGGTGTAAGGGGTATGTCCAAACCTGTTGGTTGTAAAGGGAATCTATGTAATTGCTAGAGTATGGTTTGTTTTTGCTGTTGGTCTTAAAGGGACTCGACTTCACTGGACATGTGTTTTGTCGGGTGCAAGACCTTCGGGTCGGCGCCAAGTCGAGGAGGCCGGGGACTCTGCCCTCTTCATGTACTTCGTGGACACGGGCTTCTGGTCCAAGTACGGCCCCTCGAAAAAAAGGGAGACCTAAACTAGGTCCCCCAGTAGTGCCCTTATACCCTTTTTGGGGGGAGGGTTCCCCCACTAAAACCGACTGCAAAAAAAAGGGGTACCCTTATTCTAACCTCTCTACTGGAGGACCTAGTAGACAAGCAGAGGTGGCAGGTCTCTTTTTGTACTTGGTTTGTTCTTGCGGGGAGGTCGTGTCCTTCTAGAATCCACTACGCCCGAAACAGTTAGTCCCGCATCGGGTTTTGTGTAACACATTGCTCTTTTTTGCAACACGTCAAGTCAAGCAAAACCCATTAAGGTCCCTTAAAAGATTCAACGAAAAGCGGGTTGTGCCGTATGGGGGTGGGTCAGGTACGCAAAATCGAACGCTGGTAAATGGAAACAAAGACTGAAACCAATGGTCCACTGGTTTAATTTTCACCCATACCCATATGCCAGCACCCGGGTCTCAACAACTGCTTTTTTCCCTGTCCAAAATCCCTTGGTGCTGTCCAACAAGCAACAGTTTTCCTTGTGGTTTCTCTTTGAAACCAACCAAACCGATACCACGGTTTACTTTTCCAGACTCCTTCACGGGTCCTCGTAGTGTCTTTCAGATGCATTTTAAGAGAGGCGTTGGGTTTTCGGGTGGGACGGACCCTTGACCTATTTAGCACCTGAAGTAAATGTTCTCCCTTGGCTTCATGGCTGGTCTTCGGTGTGGCCGAATCGCCCCTCTGATCTTTTTGGGAAATACATGAGCCTGTCTTGTGTTTGCGGGTGTTTGTCCAAATGTGTTTTTTTTCATACCTACAAAAGGTCGATCAAGACCTTTTGCTCGAATTGTCTCAAATGGAATTGGGGGAGGGAGGTGACCGTTGGAAGCTCATTTATGGCAGCCCATTTTCCCTTTGGGGAATACTCGTGAGTACTCGATAAATGGAATTGGGTCCCGGACCACCCCCTGCTTAGAGGGGATGATTCTCTTCCAATTTCAGAGCGAGCTCACCACGACCAAGGTCCTTGGCCTGCGGATCCCTCGATTCAAAAGGGAATTCAACAGTAAAAAATGTAATTTCAAAGTTGGTGCAGAACAACAAATCACCTGGAATGGTGACCCTTGCTTTAATAGCAAACATTGCAGAAAACCCAAAGGTCAGTGGGGCAACCGCGAGTACTACGATGCTGCCACCGCGACCTCCCCCGCTGCCGCCGCGGTCTGCAGCTCAGAATGGGGCCGACGACAGGGAGGTATCCCTTGAGACGAGGACTTCTGTCTGGGAAACTTGCCAACTTCCATTTGCTGAGAATATGTTTTGTTTCCCCCTGTTGGCTTTAAAGGGAAACGATTTCACATGATTTCACTACTGGACATGTTTCCTTTTTTTCCGGGCGGGCTTAAGCAAACGGAAGCCAAAATACGATGGTGGGCCAAAGTCCATTTCGCACCAGTTGCTAGGTGGTTTCTCCCACTTTTGGTGTTTCATCCAGCCCAACTGATGCGAAATGGATTTATTTTTCAACGGTAGGGAACCCTGAAGGGAAATGGACACCCGGTCGCAGGCACAAAAAATCGGTCGGGGGCGAAAACGATTTCGATTTCCGCCCTCAAACCAAAGGAGTGGCAGAATTAGTGGCATTCAACGCAAGCGTGAACCAACAGCCTGCTACTGCTAGCTTAAAAATAGTGCTTAGTTGTCCTGGTTGGTTTTAAAGGGAATCTATGACTAGTGGAAGTGTTTCTTTTCCAGAGGACTTAAGCAAAAGGAGGACTTTACAACGGTGGTTTGGGAGGAGTGAAGCCCTTTTGGGCTGGCTGTCCTCCTGTTAAATCGCGGGGGCTGATACATGTTTGCCGGTACGTTGAAAGTCAATGTGGCAACGACTTTGGGGAAGTATCAATTCGGATCTATTGTATAGTTTATGGTGGACTAAATGTGTCAACAGAATCTGATTAAATGCGATTTGGTGCACCCCCTATGAGCCGAAGGGAGGCGTCACAAAAGTCCTTGAATCAAGGGAACAAGCATGCCCCAGGGGCCGGGGGCTACCAAGGCCATGTACCTGTGTATGGGGCATCTGAAGGGTATATAAAGGTGTGTGTGTGTGTGTCCTGTATTTGGGGCACGTATCCCAGGGATATATGTTTTCCCTTGGTGTGAGGTGTTATCTCCTGTTTGGTACCAACGTAAAGTAAGCAAACAACTCGGGCTTTTGTTGGGCCAATCCGCTCGGGAATGTGGCTAAAAGTTTGCGCAGACGGTCCGGGAAGGCGGACAGATTTTGATGCTCTGGTGAACAAAGTCCTGCACCACCTGCCATAAATACTAAGGTAAACCATCTTCCAACTGGTGCAGGATTTTGTCCACCCACAGCATGGCAGTGTTTTCTTTTTTTTTGTGAGGGGTAGCAGAGCCGCGGCGGGGCATTCGTTGCACACGATTGCATACCGTTGCGACTTTCAAGCTGCTGCGGAAGCCTACCTTGTTGTGTGCTACTCGTGCTCTGAAAGGTTCTGACTTGCAAGCTGGAGCCCTGGTATCACATTACGTAGGTAACAAAGACCCGCGCATACCTCCGCAACAGGTTCGAGCTGCCTCACGTGTTGCCTGCCAGAAAAGGTGCAGGTGTGTGTCAAAATCACGAACCATCAATGGTTACTTTCCTTTAGGTTCAAAAGGAACAGTTTCCCGCTGTTTGGTGGTTTCCTCAAAAGCGGACCTCACAAAAACAAACACTCAGACCACTTCGTTGGGTGCCGACGGCCTTTCGGGTCCATACACCATGAGGGTTCTATTGGGGATGGACCTCACTTTGCACATGGGGGGGTCTACCTGGTCAGGTTCTTGAAAGTTTCACCCGGGGAGATATGGATGCTTTGTTTCAAGTGACCCCTGTTGGGGGTGGCAGAAGGACACCGAAATGGAAACAAACACTTGTTGAGAGAAGCCCGAAATTTATTTTGAGAGTTTGCCTTTTGATAACAAGGAACCCTGCAAGAAAAAGCAAGCCGCGCCCGTATTATGGCCAGAGCAAAAGGAAAACCAAGCAGAGGGGACCGATCCCTTCCAGAAGCCAAGTGGATCCTCCGAAAGTGGCAGTTTCGATGGAAACATCCAGGAGCTCCCTGAGTTCTTTTGAGGGACCCCCGGTTGGCCAAGACATTTCCTTTCACAAGTTGATCGAGTAAACACGGCCAAACAAAGAACTCCACGCTCTTTTGTTTGACTTCTTTTTTTCGGCCAGTGTTTTAGTGTTTACTATTTTTTTCTTTGATCGGTTCACATTTTTGTTTGGGCTAAAAAAAAATCAGCCCAAGCCCAGAAGTTCAAAGTCCCGGCACCCAACAACTGCTTCTTCCCATGTCCAGTCTCCCCTTGGTCCATGAACTCGGGGATTGAGAGAACTTAGAACCCTGCCTAAACCCTTCCCCCCCCCAATCCCTCGTCCAAAACGAGTGATCTATGGGTGTTCCAGGGCCAAAACGGCAAGAGAAAGCAACAATAGCAGGAGAGGAAAGTAGCAAGATACAAGCACGAGAGAAGCAAGTATTGCAGGAAAACGGCAGGAACAACAAGGCAATATATTCAACAATATGTGTTTTCTGTTTTGTAAAAACAAAAAACAAAAAAACTGAAAATCCATGGGCCCATTGGGCTGGGGCGACCTTTGCCTAGGTCCACGCCTACCTGGACCGCCTGTCCGGCGCGCGGCCGCGCTGCTTGGCGGCCAACTCCTACGGCCGCGGCTTGCCGCCGGACTCCTTCGCCGGGCCGCCGGCGGTGTGGCAGCCCAAGCGAGGCGAGTCGGAGGTGTTTCCTTGGATTCGTTTGGCTGTGGCTCAAAAAATGGTACCCAAAATTTGGCGCCAACAGGTAACTTCCTCAGTTCATGAACTTTAAACTCTTGTTAACTCCTCACTTCCTCAGTTGAGCCACGTGCTCAAAACCCGGGGATTGATGAAGGTTAGTAAGGGACAACCCCAACCATAAATAGCTGCGGATATCCGCCTTCGTAATTATTGGCATGGCTCTGGGCAGACCATTTGAATACCGGGTTTTGATTATGACTCAGTTCATGAACTTTAATAAACTTTTTGGGTTTGGGCAATTTTAGTGGTAAATATAAAGTCTGATCTTTTTTGGGCCATCCACTCAGCAAGCGTGTAACTTGGATTCGTCTGGCTGTGGCTCAAAAAAAGGTACCCCAAATTTGGCACCAAAAGGTACATGGACCCAAAGACCATCACCTGCGGTTTGCTTCAGCTCTTTTAATTTTGAGCCACGCCCATGTGCTTGAAGTGGTTCCCAGGCATCTGGTTCCCTAGGTGTTTTTCTAGGTTTTTGGTTGGTTTGCGGGCAATTGCATTTGAGGCACAATCAAAACCTGGCTAGATGAGGGTTAGTAAGGGACGATCCCAGCCATAAATAGCTGCGGATATCCGCCTTCTTAGTTCTTTACATGGTTCTGGGTCGACCATTTTTGTACCGGGTTTTGATTGTGACTCATTTGTGTTCCTCCGTTTGCTTCAGTTCCCTGGTACCTCTGGTTCCTGAGGCTTTGAGGGGTCCCCCTTGTTTTTTTGGTTTTTTCGGGCGAACAACAGGAGAACCGAAGCGATTTTGGGGGGGATCCCCTAAAAGCGCAGCAGACACATGTTGCATGCCCCTCCTGTTGATTTTGAAGCGAATCTATGGCTGCTGGAAGTAGGTTGTTGTTGTTTTTTTGTGCAGGGGACTTACGCAAATGGAGGAACACAAACGCAGTACCCGAAATGTTGAAGACCGGTTTAGTGGTTGATCCAACATGCTCATCCGCTCGTAGGGGGGAGGGTCCGACTACTATGCGACATCCCATGTGGGGTCCTTAAATACGTTGCGCGCAAGCCCAAAACGAATGGACCAGAAGGACCATTCGTTGCTTTCCCCTTTGCCCGTGGCCGCAAGAGGTGCTGACCATGTATTTTATGGGTCAAAGAGCAACTGAGAATCAGGGGGGCAGTCCCAAAACCTCGGAGGTTCAATTCCTGTCCTGCTAGACTGGCGTTTGGTTTCCGCGTTGTGTCGTTTGGGGAGGTGTTTGTTTTGAGGGGGCCTTTTTCTGGTTGGTTCAAAATCACCCAAAAGGCCAAACTGGCATCGTGGGTCTTCGAGCTGAGGGGTCCGCAGTCCCTTTTCGACACCAGGGTGGTCCCATCGTTTTTCTTTGGGCCGTTCTGAACCATCGGATTGGGGCAACTTGGTTTAACTAGGTCCCCCAGTAGTTCCCTTCTATCCTTTTTTTGGGGAGGGTTTCCCTACTAAAATAGAAAGAAAGTTGGTACCCTTATTCTGACCTCTCTACTGGAGGACCTAGTTAAGCATTTGGACCCTGATCTTCCCAAAGCGGGTTAATGCCCACCGTGGATGGACGAAATCCTGCACCTAAGAAATCCTGGAATGATTTGATTCCCCAACGTAAATACCAACAAACCATGGCTTGAACCATGGTGTCTTAGCGGTGTGTTTTATGGGATTTCGTGTCCATCCACAGAACTTGGGCCTTGAGCTGCCAGGAGCTGTGCTGGTGAAAGGCCAGCGCTACAAGGTGACCTGGATCGAGCCCGAACGACTCCCTGCCGGTCTGGTTCTGGAGCGGAGCAAACGAGTCGACCCCCCACCCCACAGCTTCTTTTGGCTTGGGGTCTCTGACACGGGAAAAGGTGCGTTTGCGCTTCCAGTTGAATTTGCTTAAGAAGATTGTTGATTTTCCCTTCTGGGATGGATTTTGTTTAGCTTAATCAAATGGAAGGTCGGAATCGGCGTTAGTCAGAAAGGAAACTAGTTGGGTGGGTCTAAAGGGCAACAAATTGGTGTTGAAGGAACACCAAAGTCACAAACAAACCCAAACCAAAGATTGTCTGCAGACCAACCCTCAAAAATTGATTCTGGAAATTTGTCATGGTTGCCCCCCCTAAATTGGTTTTGTCTTCCTTTTGATTCCCTGTTCAACAACCTGAATAAGAAGAATACTCTCAGAACAAGGCGCACCCAAACAGATTTCCTACGGTAGAAATAGATGGGACTGGTTTAGATTGTTGTTGTTCCATTTACTAGGGTCTTTTTTCCAACAGGTCACCTATGGAGACCCTGGCTGATGAGTCTGGGTAGGAGTTGCATACAACCCACTGGAAGAACTTACATCGGATTACACCGCTTCTCAAATGAACCGATTGCGTCCAGGGTACCCTTCCCGGAAAATACATCCAGGGTCCTCCAAGTGAGAGTCCAAAATCCAATTTGGCAGACAGATCTAGGGGTTGGTTTTGCTGCCTGGTTTTTATATAGGTTTAGTAAGGCCTACATTAACCTTTAATTGCATTTGCTTAAGAATCGTTTGTTTGTTCCCCTGTTGGTGTTCAAGGGAATCTGCCACTACTGGACTTTTGGGGGACTTAAGCAAGTACATGTTTAGAAGCAAGTTTGTGCTTGAGCAAAAGTCGATGGGTGTTGGGTCCCCACTACTCATCTTTAAGGATCCCACAGAGTGCCGCGGAAGATTTGACATAAACGTAGGTATGCCATCAATGAATCCACTTGCACCCGTGTTTGCCATCATCTTCCCAACAAGTTGGAGGTCCACAATTTAGAGACGCGACAAAACACGGGGTCATCCAAGGGGGCCCCTCATTCGCGTCAGGACTTTCACTTGTGGCAGCACAGCTCCTGCGAAGGCACTGATGTGCATCTAGGCCGGGGGGGGGGGCGTTTAGACTAAAGCGGATCCACCGCCGGGGTCCTTGTCTTCCCCGGCCCAAAGTAATTAAACAAAGACAAAGTTGGCTGTGGCTAGAAAACATGCTACCCAAAATGGCCCTTGGTAAATGGAAACCAAGACCAACACCTGCGTATCCCCGACTCTTTAATTTTCAGCCACACCCAGCTATTGCCAATACTTTTGCCAATACTAGCTCGTTTCATAGCCTCAAGGGGTGCCATTCCAGAAATCAGAGGACGGCTAGCCGGAAAGAGCAATCGTCTTCTTACAGTTTGTTTAAAACAAAATGAAGCTTTGACAAGCTCGTAAAGGGTAGTAGCAGCAGTAGCAGTAGCAGTAGTAGTCCTATTGCAGTTCAATTTGCCACACAGGGATCCACTCAAGGAAGACTGGCCAACGTCAAATTCAAGCGAGGGGCCAAGGAGACTTCCAAAAGGAGAATCATAATCCTCTACCTTGTGTCATTATGTTTGTTGCTGGGGGGTATGAAAATCGGAAACCTGCGCAGGTGTCCCTTTAACCATTTTTCACCTACCACTTGGAGGGGTGGCTATTTAAAAGAATGTGGGCAGTCTACATGCCCAGCGTCGGTGCTCTAAGGGAACTTGGAAGAGTGGATGCGTTAACGTGCATTTCATCTCAGACCCCCAAAGTTACGGTTTTGATTTAAATCCCCGCAGGTTCCACGCAGGCGGCTGCTGGCCAGTTCTCGTGGGAAGTGCCTACGTCCTTGGAGGCTGGGGAAATCGTGCCACAACTCCACGGCACGCGGTTTGCTTCTTGTACAAAATGACATGGAAACCAAAACGGGGTCTCCCCAAAAGCGGGCTCCCGCTACAAATCATGGTCGATGGGTTGCATGTTCAGCTGCATGTTGAAGGCCTTGGTGCAACCCAAGTCGTTGGTGTCCCGTTGCCGTGTTTCTTCGCCAGGCTGGGGACGAGTTCTTCGTGGAACTCCGCGCCAGGGCTCCAGCATCAATGCCCAGCAACTACAGCGCCCTCTTCTCCGTGATCGATGTGCGCCTCGGGGAAACGAGCGGCACAAGCGCGCCAGAAGTTGAGCGAGTGTCCTCACCCTTCAAGAATGGGGTCACCGAGATTCCAAAAAACAAGTATGGAACTATCAATGTCTAAAGGTACAGAGAGAGACTCCGGGAAGGCACTTTACTGGTACCTAGAATTTACAGACTAGAAAGGTAGGAATAGGCAAATTTCAGAGGAGGCCGCATGGTGAGTTCGCTTGCCCCTGGCATGCTCGCTAGAATTTGCGCAAACTGGGAATCTGGAGGCCCAAAGTCTTCGGCCTTCATGAAAAATCATCATGCAGCAGGGTCGGTCTAGGCTCTAGGGGGTACTTCTTAACCCTCAACAAGCCGTTCTGGGGTTAAGAAGTCCACAGACCCCGGTAGACTTGAACAAAACGACCGGAGAATGGGAAAATCCCGGCGGTTTCCATAGGGTAACTTGGACATCGATGTGAGTTTACAAGGATTGATGACATATGGGCGTCTGAACAGAGGGGGGGCCCAAAAAGTATTATTTTCCTTTGATGACCCATTAAAACCCATCCAGAACAGGGCTCGACTATTTTTGAGACAGACCCACATCCGGGCACATCCCACTGAAAGTCAAAGTGCCGGCACGGGATCAACGATCCATTCACCACTATAATTGGTAGCCACTTCCCCGTATTATTGTTGGCAATTTCAAGGATGGTGTTCTTTGTTATCTACCATGCAAGGTGATGGAATTTTGAACGACGATTAAAACCAAGGGTGCAGGCTAGTCAGGCGCAAGCATCAACAGGTGTTGCCCCTTGCCAGGTGTTGATTGCGTCCCCAAGCCTTGCACAGCCATGTTGACTCGGTTAGTTCAACACCCCAGTTGACTCATAGGGTCGCACTGGCCGAACGGCTGGATTTTTGGCACAGAGTCCATGTAGGAAGCCTCTGGCTCGAAAAGAAACTTGCCTTTGGTTTGGTGGGCGAATACCCGCGAAATCCCGAATGCACAGCGTTTGCTCAGGTATTTTGAACCCCTCAAAAAGGGGTAAACTTACTCATGAGAAAAACGGGTTCTTCAAGATGTAACTGAAAAATGCGGGTATTTGGCGCAGAGGGGGGAATGGGCCGCTGATTCATGAACGGTCCCAAAAGCGTTTGATGTCTTTGGACATGAAACTGTAAGGCTGGACAAGTACCTCCAAAATACACACCCCAGTGATCTTTTTTTCACGTTTTTTCAAGCCTTTCAGGGCGGACGCACCCCCGACTTACCTTCTCTACGTGGAGAACGATGTGGATCTGCTGTCCGCCTTTCACCGGGACTGCGGCTTGGCTCGAAAAAGTGCCCAGCAGGGAACATGAGTTGGACTGATCCCCGAAAAAACCAATCCCCGATTTGGTTTCCTTTTTCTCGGAAATCCCCAAACATCCCCAAACCGTTCATTCCCAACGCACTCGGACTCGGACGGTCCTTCGGTACCGCAAGAAACGGGAGGGCGCAGTGAACGGCATGGCCGTAGCCCTCCGGTTCCTCAGGTCTTGAGGTCGGTTGAGTGCTTGGGTGATTTGGAAAGCCCACTGAAAAGTTTGGGCGCGGCAAAAAAATGAAAGAGCCCGTGGTTGCGCAGGTTTTAGTTGTTGGTTCCAGGTTGGTAGGTGTTATTCAGCCACAGCCAGATCTTTAGCAGATCAGAAAACGGACAGCCCGGTTGGAGGCTTTGGGGATTTTCAAAGATCCAACAGAGGCTTAGTGCCCAATCTTCGGACACCCCCATGAGTTTCGTCTCATGTTTGGAACCCTGCCCAATGGAATCCACTCGGTGTTCATTTGTTCGGGGCATGATGTTTGAGTTGGTGCTCCTGTGCAAGTGGGAACCAACACGTGTTGCTGCTGACCTGCAAGCATTGGTGGAACAACCGAATCGATGACAAGCGTCCCTTTTGTCTCTGACCCCAGTACAACAACCTTTGGCCCCCGCAAAACAAGACGCCCATTTGGGAGTGTCTCAAAATAGGGGACCCTCAAAAATGGCAGTTGTTCCTCTTGGTTTCCTTTTTTACACCACCCAAAAAAAAGGGGTACCAACTCAAAAAATACAGACAGACAGACCCCCTTTTCTCTTTTAAAGAGTCCTTTTAACAGCACCAAAAACCAGCGGCAGACCGACCCTTTTAAAGCGACCCGGCTGACGGGACGCGGCTGGCGTTTCTCTGAGGCCGGAAAGGGGACGCTTGGGCCATCGAGCCGCACTTCCAGATCGCTTCCTGCGTCTACAGCTCGGCGGAGGGCTGCCGCCAGTACCGGACCACCTGGCGCCTCGCATCGCATTGAGAGATAGGTCTTTGAGTTGGTGCCCGACCTCTCACCGTTTCCTGTTTTGGTTGGGAGGGTTCCCCTACTAAAATCGACTACAGAAAAAGGGGTGCCCTTATTCTAACTGTTCACACGGGGGTTTTGTGGGCCAAAATGGGACCCTGACAAATGACGTGGTTTGCTTTTGCGATGGACTTCCGTCACTTTTTGGGGGTTGGAGAGTTCGGACTTTTGTTGGCCCGTCCACTGGTGTCTCTTTAAACACCCAAGGAGGGCTTTCCCATGCGGTATGTCAAAGCTGCTCTGAAGACAAAGCTTTGGGCAGAGAACCCAAACGTTTCAGCTGGGGAAAAAGGTCCCAACTTGCAGGCCATGATCATGATTCCCTTAGTAGAACCCCTTCCCGTTGCTCCCAATTCCCCATGAAATTGACAACCAATGGATCCCCAGGCGTGCTTTTTCCTTAAGCAAGGAACCTGGGCAGTTTGGGAGGTTATGGGCGGAAATGCATATACTCCTTATATACCCCTGAAGAAAGCCCTGGCACCCTTGCACAGGCTGCACCCCCTGTGGGGCATGCAATTACGTCCCTGAAGGCAAACCTGAAAAGGCTTTAAACGTGACAACTTGCATTGAAAGCTCGCAGTTACAAGGAAAACCACCCATTTTGGGGGAAAGACACCCCATTCGGAGTGGGTATGATCTGAATGCGATGTGTAGCCATCTCACCTGATAAAACACGGGCTTAATGTGCCGGTTGGATAACATTTGGGCTTTGTAGTGAGCGTGGGTGTTAACCGGTTTTCGTGGTTTTCTCCGTATACCCTCAGGGCAAAGCCATTTGGAGTCATTGGCACAGGTGGCTTTGGAGGTGTGAGTGCTCATCTACCAGTTGCGCATACATATCCCTTATCGAAGTGCTCTATATATGTAGATATACATACATAAGTTCTCCGTACCTCCAGGTCTTCTGCGAGAGAATGCTATGGCCTTTTTTTCCCCCAAGCCCCGTAAGTGAAGGGTAAGGGACAGTCCCACCCAGAATTGTGTGCGGATATCCAGGGGGTCCCAGTTGCCTGTATCGTAGGTAACCATGCAGTTAGTTTCCTTGTGCTTTTTGAAGGTGGTTCCCTTGGTTACCTACTAGAGAGGTAAATGGCAGGTTCCATGGTGATTGGTGGCAGGGTAGTACCAGTGGTTTGATTGAGACTCGCCTGATGGGCTGATGGGTTTTGGTTCTTGGCATTTGCCAGGACGTGCGGATATCCACCTTGTTAGTTTTTCACATTGGTTCAGGTGGACCAGTTTGACACCGGGCTTGTATTGTGACTCGCCGGCCTGCTGGGTTTGGGTTCTTGGCCTTCCCAGTGGATCCATTCACCTGTCTACCGGTTAATGCCTTTAAATACTGTGGATGGACGAAATCCTGCACCACTTTGAAACCATGGGAAACCACTGTTTGTTGGTATTTACAAGGGAAGCATCATTTCAGGGTGTCTTAGGTGGTGCAGGATTTCGTCCATCCACAGTAGCACAAGGAGGATGGCTGGCTGCCTTACTGGCTTGCATGGGATCCACAGCGCTTGGAGTTGGTGTCTTTCTTTTGGCCACGAACCGGAAACCCGAAGCCTCAGAATAGACACGCCCGAAAAATTTCGCCATCACTGGCCAGTTGCAACCACTGACCCCGGTGGGAAAACTGGCTGGTTGTCCGTTGTGGAAACTGGGGTCCACTGAGAACTATGCTCAAATCCAAGGGAACCAGCCTTTAAATAGCCTCAGTTGTTCAGTGGCTCCCTTCTCCCCTTTTTTTTGGTGGCTGCCCCACTAAAATGGTCTTCCCAAAAAAGGCTTCCCTTTTTTTCCCAGGGTCACTGAACAACTGAGTAACAGAAGGAGAATGGAAACCCGGGCCTTTTTTTCCTCGAAACGAAACTGGGGATCGAGCCACCGGCGGAGAGGAGCCATCAGAAGGATTCCCCGGCTCCGTACCTCCACGGCGCCGGCCTGCCCGCCACTCGAGCGGTGCGAATCGATCGTGGGCTTCGCGTCCAGGTCGTTTGGAGCACCACCGGTTGAATGGAAACCACAAGGAAGGTGAGCATCCGGTTTCTTTTTTGGTTTCCTTTTGATTGCCTGGATATGTTCAAAACCCTTTTGTTTTTTCCTGGGAACCTTTTGGTTTAAAGGGATTCCCCTGATGATTTGTCTCAAAAGGAATCTATCACTGAGTGTGAGGAAAAGAAGGGTGTTGGGACAATGAGGAGGATACATCCAAAAGCCACCTGCTTTCCAATGGCAAGGTGACTTTGAATCTGGCCCATGTCCTTTTTGCCCTAGGAGAGGAAACGCGGCCCACTTACCGACTGGAGGAGCAAAAGCGAGCCTTCGAATCACCGGCCAGCTATTTTCTGATGACATGTGTGTGTGTGGTTGCAACCACGTTCGAATTTGATTTGGGCGTATCTTTTTTGAGGGTACTTTTGTTTGTTTATTTTAGAGGGAAACCAAAAGTCAAACCAAAGCCATGTTGGGTCCAACCTAGAAAATGACATACCCATTTGGGCCCTGATAAACGACTTTGGGGATTCCTAAGGGGGTGGTGATTCCCTAAGGCTCCCTAAGCAAGCCAGGCGATGTTCAAGGATCCCAAAGCGGGCTCTCAACTACTCACCATTGTACCTACCCCCCTTAGTGATTCCAATAAAACCAACTAACAGCAATCTGGAAGCTCCCAGAAGGCCTTTGTAAACGGAACCTAGTCTTCCAACTGCTTCCACGTTAGCATGGGGGAGGGTGACACCGGCAGCTTGACCACTGGGTGCAGTGAAGCAAAACAACTCGCCAATTCGAGGTAAAGGACTGCACCTTGCACGTGGTGGGTGTGCGCCAGACCCTGCAACTGGAGGACACCAAGTCCGAATCGAATCGCTCGGAGTCGACTTGGACCCGTGTTTTCTTCTTTTACATGGGGAACCAAAAGGAGGGTTGTTCAAAACTGGTTGTTAAGTGGTTGCAGAAAAGAGGGTCAACTGTTCTGTGTTGCCTTTAAACTACCATGTAGAGGGTCATTTTGAGGATGTCACTTTATTGGACCGCTTTAAAGAAAAGGTGGCTCTGCAAAGTTTAAACGTTGCGAGAATTTGGTCCTGATGTTTGTGTTTGGTCAGGATTTCAGTTCAATCGAATCCCAAGATCGCCAACAACCCAGCCAGCCCGTTTCTCGTCCAAAACCGCCACATTTCTCTCGAGGGCCTGACTCGGGGCTTCGACCTCACGGCGGAGAACGCCTTGGCGCAGGCCGTGGCCAATGCCTCGATGCTGCCACCAGGTGGGCCGACGGACCGCAAGGTCGGGGCGTGGTTTTGTTTTTTTCGGGGTCGGGACGTGTAATCTCAGCTGTTCAGCAGGGCTCCTCAGAAGATCTCCATGTTGCCACCATTTGAAACATGTGGCTTTTTCCACCAAAACAAAAGGGAAACCACAGTTTACAAGGCAATGTTCAGGTGTATCATGTAAGGATCCCTGTTCAGTGGCACCAATTTGTTTTTCCGTTTCTTTTTGGTGGCTGCCCCACTAAAATTGGTCTTTCCCAAAAAGGGGTCCTTTCTTTTTTTCCCAGGGTCACTGAACAACTGAGGTAATCTCACTTCCTGAGATCTTGAGCTTTAGTCACTTTCTGGGTTTGGGCGATTGTATGGCGGCAAACAAGAAGTTTGGACACCTTTTTGTTGGTCAACGCGCTCAGGAAGTGAGTTAATGGTAGCCCGGGTCAATAGACCCCAGATATTATTAATAGGGGGGTGTCCCTGGTTTTAGTGGGGAATCATCACATTTGGAGGGGAACACCCCCCCCATATCAATAAACAGGGGTTCAATAATCCGGGGTTTCCATTCTGGGTCTGTCTTTTGTGAGGGTATGCCCATTTGTGGGGCTGGTGTAAAGGAAAATAAACGGAACACCATCAATGTCCGGGCCCCCTATTTTAAGACACCCCCCCATATTTGTTCACCTTTTGGTGGTTTGCCCCCTTCCAAACTATACCCTAAGGGCACCAAACAAGAACAGACACCCCCCCATGTATCCTTTATCTTGAAACCGGTGTGGCTTCTTGTAGGGAACTATTTTTGGTTTTGAGAGGGAAAGGAACACTCATTATTTGTATCCTGAAAACAACAAATTGGGCCTAAGATTTAGGACATCCCCATCTCCACAGGTCTGGTCCGATTCGTCTCAAACCAAAGCCTTCCAAGACTCGAATTTCCGTTGGGGCCCCTTCAAAGCCTATTCATACATGCTTCTTATACGTATGAGCTGTGTTGTTTTTCATCAGCACCACCGTAGCGGCACCTGGTTCAGCCTGAACCCTACCTTCTGACACATGTCAAGAAGCCGCAAGTCATGGGACTGGGGAAGTATGGGGAAGGGTCCCATTTTGTGTGTGCCAAATACACCAGTAGATCGGCGCCAGTTGGGACTTGCAAAGCCGATTTGAATACCGGTTGAACAGCCACCTACCAATGAACTGGTGCAGGATTGCCATCCACAGTATTATTCCCTGCATGCCAGTTAACAAACCACACACACACCATGCCAGTAGATTAGATTACATCACCCCGAGTCGATTGCTGGATGTCTTTGTTCATTTGCTCTTTTGAAGGGACATTGGACTCGCCACTTGCCCAAGCCAACCTGTTGACCTGTTAGCTCCCCCTTTTTGGCCACCTGGACCCTCAAACTTCTCAAAAACCCAAAAGTACGGTGCAATGTATTTTTTTACTTCTGTAGTTTGAGGGTCCAGGAACCATTTTTAGTGGCCCCAAAGATGATCACCTTGTCTTGTTGAGTCCTGTTTGTTGGCAAACAAACTCAACTCACATGGTTTTCATCACGTCCTTCCACTTAAGCCACTAAAGGTTATTGTTTTTGCAGGGGATCAGAAAACGGACAGCCCAGTATGAATCTTGACAGTAAGATGGCTGTGAATTTTAAGAGCTGCAGCCACCTCAAAGGTGGAGACTGCGGACATGAATCCCCACCTACATGATGTCGTTGCGGAATCGAATTTACTAGGCATATACCAATATTTGATCTTTTGTTCCCCTGGGGATGTATTCTGCAAATGGGTATGGGTCAAAGCTTAATTGGACCCAGGTTAAATTGTCCATTCCATGTGCCAATCGGGCAACCGACTATCTAAAATTGATCAGTATTCCTGGCCCCAAATGACCATGGGTAATATTTCCCATGTGGGAAATCTCATATTTTGGGTGGTATTCCAATGGTCATCCCATGTTTATTATATGAGACCTTTCCCAGGCCAATGTTTGACCAGCCAAAAAAGTTGAGCACTCTTAGCCTGGAAGTCGGGGCTCTTCAGATTCGGGAGGCTGTCGATTGGATGTCCCTTCCAGCATTTGCCCAAGGGAATTCCTCGCGCTTCCGAAACCGAGCCGCTGTCTCAATCGAGGCGCCATCGCCATCGCCGTGCTGGGCGGTGCGTCGAGCCGCCGCCTCGCGGAAACCACCGGCCAGGCGGCGCGAACGACAAATGCGGGGGGGAAACCAACAGTCAACGGGTTGAATGCGATAGGGCGTTTTAATGGGCGATGAAGAGCACATTTGGCGTTTTCATTCTGGCCACCCCTGTGAGAACAAACATGGGCCGTTGACAGTGTTGTTTTTGTGTTTAAACCAATGGCCTTTGGACTTCCTGAAGTTGTTCCTTGCAATCGGCAAAAGCTTGGTGGTTCCCAGCCGTCCCCTTAGCTTTTGAGGCTTTTGGAGTTCAGCGGTAGTTTCCATTTCACCCACTAGTTAAACTTTGAGCAGGGGACCTGAGGACACCCCACTACAGCAAACCAAAAGCGAACCAACCAGTTTGGGGGTATCTTGAGACACAGATAAAATGGCCCCTGGAGTGCTTCCCTATGGAGCCTGAAACCACAACGGTATTTTGCAGGGCCTAGGTTTCCCTCCAACTCTTTGGAGCACCTGGCAGCACCTGGCAACCCGCTTAGCTACAGTCCTGCCTTCCGAGCCCTGGAGCTGATTTTGGCGGTTTCCTAGGGATGGGCCAAATCCGATTCGCAGCCCTTGGGCGGTTTTGTCAACCAGTATTCGTAGGAGTTCATGCATCCCAAGTGGTGCAAGATGTGCGTCTGGCCCCTTACAAGGTTGCTTTCAGAGCTCCAGGCGCTTCTTTTTTCCCCGAAGGGCTCATGAAGTGGCTCGCCTGAAAATGTCAAAAAGGGTTCGGGCACCCCCAAAACAACGAAAATAATGTGAGCCTTTTTGGGGGTATATACAGCAAAATGGAGCCCTTCCAATTTAGATACCCCTTAATTGGCCGGACTTCACTTTTTTGGGGAAGACCATCTTAGTGGTAAACGAAAAGTTCATATTTTGTCACCCCCAAACCAATCCACAGGGAAGGTGACTCATTGAGGTGTTGGGTTTGTAGAGTTGGGTGTCACGGTGTGTATGTGTGTGTGTGTGTGTCAAAGTAGATCCCCAAGATGGGGGGGGGGTGCCTTTGTTTTGGTCCCGCCAACCAAAAGAAGCCACCGACCGGGAGCTGAGTGGGACCCGGGTCTGGCAAACGGGACTAGACACAAACACAAAACAAGGGGTGTCGTTATTAACCCTCGGCGCATGAAGGGAAAAGTCACAAGGACCGGTCCTGAAACACGTCCGCAAACCCAGGGACCACTTGTAAGATCCTCTACGACCACAAACAAGGATTAACGGAAAAGTCAGAAATACGGCAGCTAGTCCGTTAATTACCGCTTGGGCCGGCTTGCGCCCAAGTCACTTCGAGTTGGCCTGGGAGCGCCCTGAAACTGGCCCTCCCGAAGTTGCCCTGGTGCCTCTGTTTGGCCATCTTCACCCATTGCCACGGAACCCACCATGAATATCCTTAAGAAATGGTCCTTCCATGCCCAGTGGGGTTCCTTTCGTGTTTGTGATTGGGAAGGTGCCTGGACCCTCAAACCAGGCTTCAAATATTGGGTGTTGCCCCAAAAGTATGGGGCGGTTTCCCATGTTTAAGGGTAGTTTGGGGTCCAGGTAGACCTGTTTCGTGGGTTTTCTGGGTGTGAAAACCCTGCGAGGTGACGCTACAGCTAAGTCTCGCCTCGGACGACACCACGGTGGGTGACGTGGCGCTGAGTCTCAACGGGCTACAGAGCAACCAGCCCTTCCTATCGGTGCTTCGCCTGAACGGCTGTGGGGACGGATGTGGCGGGCCCTGTTGCGGGTAAACGAAGCATACGAAAAACACGAGACCTTCCTTGAGCCGAGCTCTACGAGAAAAACAATATGTAAAACACAGGTAAACTAGAGTGTTCCCCTGTGCCCTTACTTGTAGTCGCAATAGTTATGGCATCCACAGTATGGTTGAACTTGGGGGCTTCCTCAAAGCTACTTTCTACAGGGTTGGCCAAGAATCATCGTCTTGTGCCTCAATGTTACAGGAGCTTTCTGTGGTATGAGCTTGCATTCCGGTTGCTGGTTCTCAGCAAGAAATCAACAATCAGCTCCCAAGTGAGTCCATCTACCAGGAGAAGGCAACAAAGAGAGCCACGCTTCCAAAGTACGAGCACAGTTTTTTCGGCGACTTCCGGGCTCTCGGAAAGGAAGCCTGGGTGTTGAGAATGAAGCATTTGCCATCTGAAGGAAAGCACAAGGGAGAGGGTGTTTTGGGGGGGGGGGTCTTTGCCTCATGCAACTTGCTGAGAGCCAAAAAGTTCTGATTTGGGCAGCGCCGAGACGCCATTTGCATAGGGATGTATGCCCGCCGACCATTCCCAGAAACACAGTAGTGTGGGTGTGTGTGGGTGTGTTTTTTTGAGGGGGTGTCCACTGGAAGGATTCTCTTTTTTCAATGGCCACTGGAAGTCTGGTCATTTGTGAGCTTCCCCCAAGATTCCTCGCCAACTCGCATGTGCCCGGCCACTGACCTGTTTTAGCAGTTGTTGGTGTGAATGTCTTCCTTAGTGAAGCAAAGGGCCAGAACAGGCTTGAAGATTGTCGCAGAAAGCTGGCGCACAGTCCATATGCAAGGTGTAACGGTCCTTGTAGGGCAAATCCTACTCAGGGGGCTAAGTTGGGTCAACCACCAATTGGAGTCCAAGGGCGGCCTTAGTTCAGCCAGTCATGGGATAACCCCAAGCCTCATTGGCAACAGCATGGAAGTGTCCAAGGGCCCTTTTCGCAAAGGGGTTCAGCGCCACGTTGCTAGAACGGGTCATCTCGGGATGAGCCGGCTGACGATACCAACACGGAATTTTCGCCGCGGGGGGGGGGTTACAGTTACCCCCCCCCGCTCCAGGCCGCGACCTGCCCCCAACTCGTTGAGGGTCAAAAGGAGACAGTCACAGCCCAGCGATCAGAACCACTCAGTGCATTCATCGCATGCCAAGGCTTGAAAGCTAAGGAAGGGATGGAACTTAAGATCCTTCGGGGTTGGTTCCCTTTGGAAATCCCTTTAAAGCAGCTTCCCAAAAGAGGCCAATTGCACCACCAGTCAAACTGCAAAACCAGCTTTATCTTGTGTTGCCCACAAAAACCCAGATTTGATCAACCCCCTCCAAGTCTCCTCTTTTTTCCTTGCGCTCAAAAGCTGACGATGCCAGCTTCGTCCATTTGCACCTTCCAAGCGGCCCCGCAATTCTCCCAGAAGCGAAAGGCGCTGATGACGCCTCGGTCTTGTGGCCACAGGAACAAGCTCTGCAGGAAGGGTACGGTGGATGCCCCGAGTATTGCAAGTAAACCAACATAATGTTAACCCCGGATTAATGAACCCCTGGTTGATTAATAAGGGGGGTCCCCCTTTTAGTGGGGATTCATCACTTTTGGAGGGAACACCCCCCTAATAGTAGGACGGGCTTATTAATCCTGGGTCAACATTACACCACCCACAGTCCATGGGAATTTACAGGTTGTGGGATTTCCCTGTTCAGGGCATCTGCCATTCTTGGAAACCCTTGAACGATCCGTTCAGGAAGCGGCTACGGCGATGGGCGAGACGACCCCCGGCGGACGAGAGGGAGCGAGCGAGTCGGGGAGACAAAATCTAGCCCGTATCCCCGCCAATACAAAGGGCTACCAAAATTAAGAAAGCCTTACTCCGATAATTATGACGGAGTGCGGTTCTAGAGTATCCTGCAGCCCAATAACGCCCCTACACCCAATGCCCACTTGTTCCAGGGTATGATAGGGTATGATGTCTACCCATTGCATTGACAAGGGAAAACAATATTCTTCAACGGGTGTTGGGAGTACGGGGAAGTACCCCACAGCCCGGGCGGGCTCCAGACAGGTGCCTTTTTTAGGGGGATATGATCGAAGGCAAAGCCAAAGGGCAAGCCCAAAGGACCTTAGGATGGACCTTTGAGGGTCCCCCTTCCCAGGTTTGATGAGATTTTTTCGAGCCCCAAGAAGCTTCGAGCTTGTCCTGCTTCTGCCCTACAGGTACCCACTCCGAATATCCACATTGTTTCAGAGTATAGTATGAAAACGCGCGCTTTGCATGGAGAGTACCTTTTTTTTGTTTTAAGTCGGAGCTGACATATCATACTCAATCATACACTGAAGACATGGGTAGTGGGTGTATGGGTGTAGAGTCATGGTTCACTTGGGAAAGTCGAGGGCGTGAAAAACCTCAAGTCCAAGCGCGCACTGCCCTCGCGCTAACTTGAACCCCCCGGCAAAAGTCCAAGTCCCAGGGGGGGGGGGGGGGCGTGGCCCAGCGGCTATGGTGAAACAAGCATGGCCTAGACCATAGGCATACCCCCTATCCCAAACCCATCCTTTTTCGTTGGTACACTTTACAGTAAGCAACCTGGGTCTTCTACAGCAAGTACCTTGTTGTTTGCTTTTCAGGGGTTGGCATCAAACCTTATGGGGTTTAGGGGGTTGGCCCTTGAGTTATTTCTGAACTTGCAAGGAAACATGTGGCCCAAAGACTTGGGGAATCACCCAAGCCCACTGGAGGGCCGACCCCCTAGTGGTAGTGACCCCCGCTTAGTGCCTCAAGTGGGATGAATCTATCTTACGGGACTCAGAGTCCTGGGGGAAACAACGGGGACGTGCAAACCACTGCGGAGCTTCACACCAACGTGGAAGTGGGTAGTGGGTTTGTCTCAACATGAGCCCTGGAACTTGGTGGTTCCCAGCCATTCTCTTAGGCCCTTAGGCTTTGAGTTGTCTTTTTTAGTTGGCTTAGTGGTAGTTTCCACATCCACAAAAAAGTGTTCGACTTTTAGCAGAGGATCTGCTGGGTACCCCTCCCCCCCACAAAAAAGAAGCAGACACACCCATGCATGGTGACGCACGCGTGAACCACTCACGTGGTGTGATCTTCAAGTCGCTAAGGAGCTTGTCAGTCGCCTTGGTGGGCAATATGACCGCGGTGGATGGCTCTTCAGAAGAGGCCGTGGTTGAGCTGCAGACGACCACAGCGACCACCACAGCCGACGCAAGTTCCACGCCACTTGGCTTTGGTGATATGTCGGTGTGGCCGTTTATGTGTTTGCGTTGGTCGGTGCTTATGCAGCGTTGAGTTCCACACTTTCCTTAAATCATTCATATTCAGTTGTTGGTTTGCAGAAACAACAACTCCACATGCATTTATTGCTTGCTCTTGCTTGTGGTGAGCCATGGTTAGTCTTTATTCTTCCCTGGAAATCGGACAGCTCGAGAGTCGATTGAAAAGTCCATATGTTGACCAAGCTCACACGGGAGTCGTCCGAAAGGCCCTTTTATATGTTTGTCGTCGCGTTGGAGATGGCGGAAGTTATTTGTTGTGCTCGCGAAAGCTTTGCTAAAAGGAAGATGGCAGATGATCATCGCGAGTATTTGCCGGCAAGGCCCAGAATGCACACAGAGACGAAAGTTGGTCGGAGGACCTACCCGAGGGTTGCGGCTAATTAAGAGTACGTCGCTGCAAAAGTAGCCCCAAAAGTTGTGACTTTCGAGCCGGGGCTGCGGACGTGTACTTGTGATGCATGTTGTGAGAATAGCCCCGCAGAAGCTCCGCGATGGTCGCGAAAGTGAGTTTTTCTCCGTCAAGATGGCGGTTCCCTGAGCAAGGAATTTCAGACGACCGCCATGTGCGCCATGGTCAAAACTCAGTAGGAATAGCCATGAACCCCTGAAGGAGATTTAGGAATCCAATCCTGTTAAGAATTCCTAACGGAGCCTACCTGTTTCAGGGTGAAACGGGGTATGTTGTCACTGACCAACAAAAAGAGGCATATACCATCAAAAGTGAATCAAAAGCCTGGTTATTCAAAAAATGCCCTGAAGAAAACGTGAATAGATTCATCTTTGCCCGCCGACCTGCGCTAGGTCGGGAGCTTCGACCTCCGACACGGCAGCTTCTACCTCCGTGTGCTCGCCTTAGCTCTCACGTGATGAGAGCTCCACTGCCAAGTGATGCTTTCGCAATTGCCCACCGACTTTGTTTAGGGCATGATTTGTCCACCCCTGATTAAGCAAGGGAACCTACCATGTACCATGGAGTGCCGTTTATATGTTTGCGTAGGTTGGTGCGTATTCGGCTTTTTGACTTGTTGAGTTCTAAATGTTCCTTAAATCATTCGTGGTCAGTTCTTGGGTTGCAGAAGCAACAACTCTATATGATGTATTCGTTGCTTGCTCCTGCCTCTGGTAAGTACAACCCACCTGACAGATGAGCCACGGTTGAACATCGGACAGCTAGAGAGTCGATTGGGGAGTCCACCATGTCCCTCCCAATTGGACCATAGGCAATCAGATACGTTGACCAAGCTTAGATGGGATTTGTCCATCGTCGCGATGGAGTTGTTCTCGCGAAACCTTTGCCAAAACGAACATGGATGGATGAACAAAGTTCATTTGTCGGCAAGCCCCAAAATGCACACAGACTAAAGTTTGTGGGGGGAAATCGCGGCCTGAGGGTTGCGGCTAAGAAAACGTGGCTGCAAAGCAGCCACCAGCAGAAAAGTTGTGACTCAGACGACACCATGTGCACCATGGTCAGAAGTTAGTAGGAATTGCCATGCACCCCTGAAGGGGATTTGGGAATCTAATCCTTTTGAGTTCCTAATGGAGCCTACCTGGTTCGGGGTATGATAGGGTATGTTGTAACTGACTAAAAAGGAGGCGTATACCATCGAAAAACCGGTTCTTCAATAAACAAAACTGAAGACAACGTAACCTGCGCTAGGTCGGGTGCTTCGACCTCCGACACGGCAGCTTCTACCTCCGTGTGCTCGCCTTAGCTCTCACGTAATGGAGCTCCGCTGCCAAGTGATGCCTTCACAATTCCCCACATACTTTGTTCAGGGCATGATTCGTCAACCCCTGATTAAAACAGGGAACCCACAATGTACCATGGAATGCCAGGTTCTTTAACCAAAACAAAACATTTAAGAAACCGTGGGTGGGGGTCCTCTTTGGCCGCCGACCTGGGCTAGGTCGGGTGCTTCAACCTCCGACACGGCAGCTTCTACTTCCATGTGCTGGCCTTAACTCTCATGTGAGAGCTCCAGCTTAGATGGTCCAGATTTTATAGCTCCTTAAATGATACATTTTGCCCATTTGAAACATCTTGTTTTTCCACCAAAATAAATGGGACACCGCCATTTACAAGGCAATGTTCAGGTGTATCATGTAAGGATCCCTGTCTTACGAGTGGACAAAACGCAACAGATTGGTACTCCCAGCTATGGTTGGCGCACATTCGGGGCACACAAAGATCTCCCTTGAGCAAGTGGACGACATGTGAACGACCAGGATGGGATCCCTTCCTGAGGTCCTGGACTTGAAAAACTTGTTGGTCATGCTATGACCTTTTTTGTGGTAAATGGCTAGTTTGGGACATGTTTGCCGGCCAAACCACTCACTTCCTTATCTTTTCATAGTGCTTGTTTCTAGATTGTTTGGTTCATGGTTTGCCTGGGGGGGTAAGGCCAGCTGTTGTCCAGGTTTGGGACCCCTATGTTTTGAGGGAAGTCCAAGGGCGCCCAGACGGGATCCCAGGCTTCAGTTTGCCGCCCGATGTTCTGGACCTGGGCATTCTGCATCTGGTTGGGGGATGGTTGTCTTGCAATTCACTTTGGAAACTGCTCTCACCGGATGCAATGATACACTTGGGTATGGGTCAAAATTGAACCACCAGGACTCCATGGTTCCATTTGCCCAGCGCGACCCATGTTAGGGTTACCCCATTTTTGACAACCACAGCCACTTCACTCCAACTTTCCACGGTGAACCACGAAAACATCTCTCCGCGGACTTGCTGTCATTCTCCGAAAAACCAAGACCGGGCTTCGGTCGCATGCCGATCTCCACACAACACAAGCAAAATGATCGATGATGGTTTCCACTATCCCCCAACTGCAGCTAATTTCAGATGACACTAGAGATACCCTAAACTAGGTCGTAGCGCCCTTTTTACCCTGTTTTGAGGAAGGGTTCCCCTACTAAAATAGACTATACAGAAAAAAGTTGGCACCCTTATTCTAACCTCTCTACTGGAGGACCTAGTGAATGTGTTGGCTATATAGTAGCTATATCTCCCATTACACCTCTAGGGGTAGCTTCGGTCTGGGGCTAGTGGAAACCATCTGGGATCTTCGGGGCCATTGAGGAAGCTCCATAAGACTCTCCCTTGGGGCCTGGCCGGCTCTGAATCATTCGCGATTTGAGCTTCACGTTGAATTCCGGGCCCCGGTTAGACAATGTGGATGGGCGAATCCATGTCGCAGCACCTGAGAAACCCTGGGTCTGATGATTTGCCTGTACATATAGGTTTCCCAAAGTTTCAAAGTGATGCAGGGCCCACTCCGGGTCGCAACCGATGCTTGCTTCGTCGATTTGCACTTAGGCCAACGTCATCGGCAAATGGCACGACCTCCTGGAACGACTCGCACTGGGCTCAATGTGATTGATGGAAGGAGCTTCACATCTGCCTTCGGCCTTTTTTGCGGATTTGTTTGTGGTGGAAAACACGTCGTCACATCACTGACGGGCCACTTTCTGTGAGAATCTCGGAAGCTCTTTGAAGTGACATGGCTTTGTTGACTTCCCAAGAAGAACCAACCTGCAAAAGGGCACCAACTCCCCCAAAAAAGTCGCCGTAATGTTGACCCCGGATTAACAAACCCCTGTTTATTAATATGGGGGTGTTCCCCTCCAAAAGTGATAAATCCCCACTAAACCAGGTGCACACCCATATTAATAAACAGTTTATTAATCCGGGGTCAACATTCGTGGGCCGCCGAAGTTTCGGAAGCCCCGGCTTTTTCTTCTCGCTCGGATTGTTGCCGGCGCCTCAGGGGGACGTCCAGCGGCATCTTCGAGTCCGAGCGCTGGCCTCGGCGTCGAGCCGCGCATTCGCCGCCGGTTTCGGCGCTCGAAAGCTGCGGTTTCAGAAGTTTGGGCCCGAAGTCTCCGCGCGGTCGCGAGGTTTTTGGGTCATGAGGCGCGAAAAGGATCGAGATGTGCCTGTCTCCGATTTTACGCCCGGTAAATCATAACTGAATTCCACCAATTGCACTCTTTTGGCATAGAGACCTAAAGCTGCAGGTTGAATCCGCAAGCCAGAAACCAGTTTTTGCAGCCGATTCGAGCGTCGTGTGTCGACACCAAGGACTTCCAACTTGACGACTTGTTTGCTACGGCCCTTGCTGCTCATGATCTTTGTCAGGCAGGGAAAGGTGTTGTTTGGGGTCCCTTTTCATATAGATCAAATTGCCCTGGCCCTGGTTTCCTCCGAAAAAAGGCTTAATCCCCCCCCACCCCATGTGGTTTCTGCGCAGTCAGGGAAGAGCCCACTTTTCTGGGGATCGATTTTCTATGTTCTCCGCTTTTAGTGCTCGAGTCCCAAGACTTGGGCCAAGCAGAGAATAGGATAGCAGAAACAACACACACACACAGCCAACAGCAGATTTCGATTGAATACACGGTGTATGAATATATGGGGGCCGTCCGCAATTGCAACTTGTTGAACCGCGCGATTGGGAAAACTCGAGCCGCGAAAGGCCGACGATTGGACCGCGAAAGGGCAACAAAATTATTGTGAATTTAGACGCTGCATGGTGTTTAGACTGTGCTGCCGACGCACATCTCGCTCATTTTGACTGCACGGCCTCGCGCAAAAGTTCCTCCTGGAAAGCCAGCTGTATGTTGATTTCGCCTGCGCAGGCCCAGGCTGTGCTGTCTAAATCTGCTTACCGGCAAAGGCTGGAAGCTGCAAATCAAAGTTTCGCCGCCGAATTCCGCGTTGGACGGCGATTGGACGGCGACTGGACGAATTTCACCACTAAGGCCCTGCCCATTCGAGCTATGTCACTTCCTTCCAGTTTCCAGGTATGGATGGAGGAAGGCCAGCGCTTGAGATAAGACAGCGAAAAGCGAACAGAAACAGCAGCGATGACCAACGTTGCTCCGCGATTGGAATCTGTGGGACCGCGATTGGATCGCGATTGGCCGGCGATTGAGGGGGTCCCCGGGCAAATTAATTTTGCCCAGCGCTTCCTGGTTACCTGTATAGCAGGTAACTGGCCCCTGGTTACCAATTTTTCTGGAACCAAGCTCGGTTCAAAAAAAAAGTAGGAACCAGATTCCAATCTCACGGTTTTCACGGCTCCGGCCTCCCAATTCACGGTTCCACCCGCCTATTCACGCTTCCGGCACTCTGTTTCACGGTTCTGCCCTCTATTATGTAGCCTTTTCTGTGGTTCTGGGAACTACCGGCCAGTTACCAATATAGTAGGTATCCAAGCTGATTACCAACTAGACAGGCAACCGGAAGCAATGGGTTGTACAACCCCCATAAATATATATTGTGTATATACATGTTAGCCGGGCCTAGCTCCAATCAGAGATGAAACAAGGCATGATGTTGCTAGACACTGAACCCAGAAGCAGTTTCCCAGCTTGATTGTTGTCACTCATCGGGTACAGTGGAGGGTCCCCTCGGACAGTGTTTTTTTTTCAGATTGTATGTTTCAGGGGTCCCCAAGACTTAGGCTGGGGGGAGGAGTTTGAAAGGGAACATCTGAAAGCCGTGGGTGTTTTGGAGTACTGGATGCCAAAGTTTCAGGCCTCAATATGTGGGTTTGTCTCAATATGGGGAACCCCCCCCCAAACAAAAAACAGGAGGAAAAAAGGTGTTCCTTGTAGTTTCCTTCTGCAACCAACCAAAAAAGGAAGACAGACCCAATTGCCGTAGCCTTCTTTGCCGGATGGCTCTATTGTCTTGGAGTGTCCATTTTTTCTCAGGCGCACGACTGCGGTCCTATGGAGGTTGTCATTTTTGAGGGTGCCCCTTCTGAAGTGTGTACGGTTGTCGCCTATCTTAAGATATATCCATATACTGTACTCCTTGGCGAGGGAAAACCAGAAGGAAAACCACTCAGTTTGGGGGGGGTTCGACCACCCGTGTCTCGGCCGACACGAGATGGGTTTTGACATGGGTGGGGGCCCCCTTTCGCGGCGGGGTCCTTTCGTTTTTCCTTTAAAATCAACAATGTGCCTAAAAGGGGTCCGTGTCGGAGAGCTTCCCAAAGCACGAAACAAATGTCTCCCAAGCAAAAGGGCTGGTTGGAAGTGCGACAACATTGATGGATGGATGGATGGATGGATGGATGGATGGATGGATGGATGGATGGGGCGAAGTTTGGAGCTTTCCCAAGTGTGTGTGTGTGTGTCATGTGTTCCGGATCCTTCTTTCCGGGCAAAACCAAAGGAACCGCGATTGGCCATGGGTTGCCGGCTGCGCCGCAGGTTCTGGCAATGACCCGGCGCGTTTTAGTCTGGGCTCCCGAAGGCACTCCGCTAGACGAGTGGCTGACATTCCTAGACGCGCAAGGATTTGCTTGGGTGCCTTCATAGCATACTATGTACCTGTGTACATATGTACATCTATGTATATCTATTTAGATATATGTATATATGTACATGTGTATATTTACCCACAAAACACGCGGCTCGCCCACAAGCATCTTTATGGGGATGTCTGCCGCTGCCTTTAGGGTTCAGGTTTAGGGTTGTTAGGGTTTAGGTTTAGGGTTTTTAGGGTTTAGGTTTAGGGTTTTTAGGGTTTAGGTTTAGGGTTTTTAGGGTTTATGTTTAGGGTTGTTAGGGTTTAGGTTTAGGTTTTTTTGGGTTTAGGTTTAGGGTTTTTAGGGTTTAGGTTTAGGGTTTTTTGGGTTTAGGTTTAGGGTTTTTAGGGTTTAGGTTTAGGGTTTTTAGGGTTTAGGGTTTAGGGTTTCAACCCAAGACAGGGTGCTCCAAATCCAGGTTTCGACCCCCAAGTTTTTGAGGGAGTTCACCACACACAGGTCTACAAGTTCCCACGCTTGCCACGTTTTTTAAGGGTCGGGGCAGGGGCGGTCGCAGACGTCGCGGGCAAGCGGGATGTTTTGGCCGTATATTTACATATATACATATATATATATATATATATGTATATATATATATGTATATGTGTGTATCTACATACATTATATATATACATATAAATTTAGATATGTAAATGAATTAATGTACAGTATGCACATATGTTCCGACAGAGGAACGTGCCCACAATACTGCTATTTTGCCATTGCTTCTAGATCCCGTGTTTCCTCTTACCGAAGCAATTCTTGCCCCGGGTTGTCTGGTTGATTCAATGCTCACAGAGCCCTTTTTGCGAATCGACCGGATCTGACCCTGTTGGTTTTTCTGTGGTCCACATTTGGTCTATTGGTCACAGCTGACCAACTTCTATGTCGAGGCTCATTTCACTTGCCCAAAGCAAATCGACCTTTGGACCGTTGGGTTTGACTTTGCCATGTTTAAAGGCCCCGAGAGTGGATCGCCTTTGAACTCTGGCTCCAAACTGGGCAACCCCTTTTGCATGAGACTTTATTTGCAGTTGATGGAGTGTAGTCCACGCGAATGTTTGGATTGCTCAAGTTGCCATGTGTGGGTTCATAGCTTCTGGAATCCCATTCAGGGGCCAGGTACAGGGGGGGTGGGTAGTTGAGAGCCCTAGGGTTCTTTAGGGTTCCTCAGCACCTCAGGGATGCTAAAGGAACCTTTTGCTGTCGCAGCGTAAGACGAACAGTTTCTCTTGAGGTACCGGAGCCCCGTCTACAAAAGAATAATGATGCCAAGAGGCACAGATCAACCAACAAGAAGCGACTTGCGCAGTGCTTGCGGTGCTCGTGCTGTGGGTACTCGCGCTCCCAACTTGTCAGATTCCGGGAGAATTGTCAGCGACATCCATATTTGGCTATGAATCGAACTGGGGAACTACTCACAAGTGGTTGGTGGACATGAATCACCCGCAAATTCTATGTCCCTAATTGTCTAATCAACATGCATCCTTAGTGCAACCCCCAGGCTTGACATTCAGTCGGACGGGAATGTGGTAGTCCCCGCCTGCGGCCATCTGAGGTGGTTCTAGCTGGTTTCTCGGGGTCCAAAAAGTGAGGCCAACCAAAAATTCCACGTTGCGACTGGTTCTCCAGTGGCTCCCTTTTTATTTTTCCCTTTTTTTTGTGGCTGCCCCACTAGAATGGTCCAAGCCCAAAAAAGGGTTCCAATTATATTTTTTCCAGGGTCACTGAACAACTGAGGTTTTGACTGGTTCTTCTAGACTTTTTCTTGGGGTCTGTAGCGAGGCCAGCAAAAGCAGTTTTCTCTCCAAGCCGAAACCAAGCGTCCGCTCGCTTTGGTGGATCTGACGCCCGGTCTGCCCCCCCGGCAGTCAATCCAATTGCTCGGCCAAGCCGAGAAGTTTTATGCGGTCAGAATCCCGGGGTGACGCAAGGGCGAAGGGTGCCTTGAGAGTGCTATATGTTTGCATTGTCCCAGTTGCCCAGTGGGTTGCTTCCTTTTTTCAACTTTTTTTTTGGGGAAGGGTTCCCCTTCAACGGCAACCAGCCAAAGAAAGGATACCCTTTTTTTCTCATGGTTACTGGGCATCTGGGATTCTGACCTCTAAAATTGGTACCCAACATGGGTTACCCAGGTAAATGGAAACAAGGACTAAAACCTGCGAAACCCCAGCTGTTCAATTGTGAACCATACCCATATTTTACATCATAGTGATTCAATCGTTTGTCAAGGCATGCTTCAACAATAACGCCTTGGATATGTTCAAAGGCTGTCTAAGTGAAGCTTGTAAGGAACACATCGCTCGAGGTCTATGGTTGTTGAGTCTTCACTCTCAAAAAGGGGGGGGAGGCGTGACACCTGGCGTGTTGCCCCACGTGATTCCATTTCCCTGTAGGCAACCGAAAAGACCATTCTAATTCCAAGAGGACAATTGTTGCTGAAGCAAGGGCCTGTACAGGGGGTATCTGGGATCCATGCCATGTTTGAAGGCTCAGACAAGTAGACTGGGCCAATACCGGGCCAATCTCAGAGTCACCAATGGACACCCCGGGATTTTGAGATACCCCCGAGCAGATGCGGCTTGGCGCCGCGGAAGGCGGAACGCCGAAAAACGAGCGAGAGACAGATGCAGTTCTCTTATGTTTTCGTGGAGTGTATTGAAACGCGCGGGCCATGACTTCCTGTTGTCTGTTTGCTTTTGCAATCCCATCCAGATGGCAGCTCCCTTTTTCCCCCCTCCCCGCGAATTCCTGAGCATTGCACTTTCAACGTGGGCAAACGCTCGTTGCGACAGCTCATGTGAGGTTTCGAGGGCTAAGTTCCGAGGTTCAGTCAGCGCGGAACTGATCTCTGAGTTTGAGAGCGAGCGAGACAGGCGGCCGTGTAATGTCCATAGCTTACGTCCTGAGCTCCTGGACTTTATGCTTTTTGGGAAGGCTATTTTAGCGGTAAACAGAAAGTTGGGACTGTTTTTGAACCATCAGCTCAGGAAGTGAGATAGAGAAAGACCAAGCGGCCATGTTCGTCCCACGCAGGCCGGCCTCCGAGCGACAAGATCCTGGTAGGCCGGGTAATGAAGGAATGGTCGCACGGTTGAAAAATTGGGCTCCTCCAGAGAAAACGTTCCTGAACCTATGCCTGGCTTGTTTTGGGGGCGGATCGCAAATGAGCAGGGGTTATCGTTCTACAACACAACCTGCAAACATGCAAAGAGGGCACCGTGGGCACCGGGCACCCTTCAAATGTCACGTGGCAGGCGGGAGCTGGGCTCGGTGCGAGAGCCGCGGGAGCGCCGGGCGCCACAGTCAGATGGGATGTCGTCACTTGAATGCTGGACTAGGTCCCCCAGCTTGGTGCCCTTTCTTTGGGTTGGGAGGGTTGCCCTACTAAAATAGACTACGTGAAAAAAAATTGGTAGCCTTATTCTAACCTCTCTACTGGAGGACCTAGTTGATGCGCCAAGTCAAGGACGATCGCCACTTGGGTTTAAAGCAGAAAAAACTACTTCCCGAGCCAACTCAATCCTTGGGGCATAGTACTTTCCTTACTAACTTGGCAAAACTAGTTTACCCTAAACATGGGCAACTGTTTTGTTCCGTCGGCTTCGCATTTTTGAAAAGCCAACTCTCCAAGAGGGGATTCCTCAAAAGGCGAGCCACCCGTTTCCCTTAGGACCTTCCGGCGGCTTGAGGAATCCAATGGCCCGTCGTGAAACCTTGGGCCCGGTTCCCCGTAAACGTCCATTGGCTGAAATGAATTTGGCAAAAAAGTGGTCTTAAATGAGAGCCAGCAAATTCAAGTTAACGCCGACAATATCACATGCACATAAGATGTTTAAATCACCAACATGACGCGGTAGCCCATCAAAATGCCGCGATGCAGCATCCGTATGCTGATGTAACTGAAGCCTACCCAACATAGCCATGATTTTTCATGGGGAACCTCCTCCCAAATGCTATTGGTGGAAAAATGAATCCCCAGCGAAATGATGTCCACCAGAGGGCCCCTCATGAAAGTTCACACCCATATGGGTGTGGCTCAAGATTAAACCGCTAGGGTTACGCAGGTCTTGGTCTTTAGCTCCACTCAGGTGTCCATTTTGGATACCTATTTTGACCCACAGCCATACTGTGGATGGGCAAAATCCATTTCGCACTTTGAAACCATGGTTGACACCATTGTTTGTTGGTATTTACAGGGGAATCGAATCATTCCAGAGCTTCTTAGAAGGTGGTGCGAGAAGCGGATTTCGATTTCAACCATCCACAGCTATGTGGTGTCTCAAGTCGGAAATTTTCGCTCCACGTTCTTCCGGCCGTTTCCTTGGGACGGGGAGTCTACGGAAAGTCCACGTCCCCCAAAAGGCCGGGGCTTCGAGAACTCATATTCTGCTTCCAAGGGGACATTTCTGAAAGCCAATTTGACCCTAGTTTGTGATAGGTAAAGCGCAGAGTCCGCTGGTTCAATGTTGACCCAGACCCATGAAGGTCCCCGCAAAGTGAATCCCGAGCTTTCTTTAGCTTGTTACATTGTTTTCTTCTTGCGAGCACGTGTATCGATCGGTACCCCATTGGTATGGCATGGGGATCAGAGCACCTCTGGTTCAGCTTCCGGAAAATCGGGAAGCTGAACGTAAGATCTCGTGTTGGTTGACCCTCTGTGCCCCGCGCAGCGCCGTTAGGCTACTATCAGGGCTTTGCAATGAGTGCAATGAGTGCCTTATAAGTGGTTGTTTGTTTTTCTTGCTCCCCCAAAAGAGAAACTCAACGAGGATGGCGGGGAGGAGTGTTAGTTTTCAGGGAGTTCCTTGGGTGAAAGAGGTGCCTGGAATTCCCTCTCCCGAATAAGATGAAACCTGAGGGTCCCGGAGCCTAGGAACCAATCCGCTTCCTTTTACAGGGCTCCTTAAAAGATCTCCATTTTGCAACCATTTGAAACATGGCCTTTGCCACCAAAATAAAGGGAAACCACATTTACAAGGCAGTGTTCTGGTGTATAATGTAAGGATCCCTGTTTTAGAAAGCGCTTGTTCCTTTGAGAATAACCTGTGTGGATGGTAACGAAATCCGCGGAACTCGCGCTCCCGTTCTAAGGAACCCTGAATTCGGATTCGATTAACCTGTAAACAGAAAGAAGCAATGTTTTCAACTGTGGTTTCAAGGTGTGCAGGATTTCGTCCATCCACAGTAGGACTAATCAACTCCTTGATTTTGGGTGGTGTCCCATGGGGATCCTTTCAATCTGGGATCGCTCGGCTTTTCTTCTTCTTGTTGTGATTAATTAAGTTTGGTGAACCAAACCCAGCTATCACATGGGTGTCTAAAAATAGGCAGCCGAAACCCAAAATAGCTCGGCTCCTTCTGGTTTCTCAACAAAAAAGCACTCCAGAAGGGGTGCCCCCCAAAAAGACCATCACACCGGAATCCAGGGTTGTGGGATCACTCGGGGTTTCTGCCCACTGTGATACTTTTGGGAATCCTCCTTATGAACAAACTCGTCGTTGGGAAGCCCTTTCTGTTGTATCACAGAAGTGGATTCCATTCCCCACAGCCCACCAGAATGGTGAGCTGACCTCCTTTGAGGCGAAAATAGGCGGTGAGCGCCAGGCAAGCCGCCGGGCCCTCCTTCTCGCCCGGAACCCGTCCCTTCCCGCCGAGGAGGACGCATTCTTCGAGTGTCCCAACATGCAGCGGAGGTGTGTCTCCTAGGAAGCGAACCCCTCCAAAAAACGAATACGATGGGTGTCCTCCTGATTTCCCTTTACACCCAAACGGGTGTCAACAAGAAGCCACAAGTCTGGCTTGAGAGACCAGACAAATGAGCCCAGATAGACCAAGTGTGGGTAGATCAAATCCTACAAGCGGGATGGATGAAGCCCCGTGAATAGTGGTTGATTCACAAACTGGTGCGAAGCGGATTTTGTCCATTACCTCGCATAGAAAAATGCGGTGTGTTTTACTTTGTTCGGGATCGGTCTCTTCCTTCGTGTCGAAAAGGTGTCCTATTGGTTTCCTTGCAAAACCATCCAAAAGGGCAACCCCCACTAACATGCCATTTGTGGCAGCGTATCTGAAAGCTCAGTTTCCTGTGAAATGTAACCTGTGTCAGGTGCCAGTAGGAGTGAGGGTACCTCAATAAAAGAGGCACGCATGCCGTTCAACCCCCAATCTGCCGCGAAATTTCCTGGGCTCTCCTGCAAAACTGCTTTGTTTGTCTTAGGGTCTGATGAAATGTGAAACTGAATCTCAGAGTCTAATTTTTTGTGTTCCCTCTTTGGTGACCCTGATGAACGCTATGAGTTTCAAATGGATGTTCAGGTCCCTCCACTTGATCTCACATGGCGTAGTCGAAGGCTCCAGACCAAACTTCCCTTGCGGAAGGTTTTCTGGGGGTCCGGAGGCCAATATATCAAGACATCGACCATTTGGATGCTCTCAATCTCTCGCTCCCTAGTTGCGCTTCGGACTTTATACTTCTTAGGTTTGGACCGTTTTAGCGGCAAACAAACAGGTCAGACTTTGGCAAATCCACTCAGCAAGAGATCTTGCCAATTTCCTACGAGGTGTTTGCCGACGCCCTTCGGCTCACAGGCTTGAGTTGAGCCGGGAATCGGTTTTGATTTTTCACCGCTGGAGCCACTTCCGCTCGGGATGGGCTGCAGGATTCCCACCCAACATTTGGGGTATGCCCGACTTTCCGCAAAAGCAAGCGGCGCAGCGGAGCAAATCAACATCAGCATGCATTGCCGATGTCCAAATTCGACATGTTCTTCTCGCAGGGCACAATACAGATATGCAGGGTTGAGGGGCAGGAGGCTTCAACGAAACCTTTCTGGGATACCAATTCAATCACCTCCAAAGCGATTAAAGCCAAACATCGCCGTGGGGAGCGCTAACTTTGGTAGAGGCTGAAACAGGGGTACGGTATGACGCAGCCATGCGCCGTGAGACCGACCGTTTGCATTTTTCCATCCAGCCGATTTTCACGTAGCCGGACTCGGCAATGGCTGCTGCGCGGACCGGCAAGCAGAACGTGGGTCCAGAGACCCAGTGGTGCCCTTGTTTTGGAGGGGCTTCCCTGCAACATGAAGGAAAATCAGCTGCCAAGAAAACGTCCCCTTGGTTCCTCATGGCCACTAGGGGTCTGGGTGAGTGTCATTATAATATGTTCTCAACAGGAAGCAAAATAAATTCTATACTGTTAACCCCGGATGAATAAACCCCTAGTTGATTAATAGGGGGGTGCTCCCTTTTAGTGGGGATTCATTACTGTAGGAGGGAACACCCCCCTAATAATGGGACGGTTTCTACTTAGATCCTGGGTCAACATTACTTGTTTTGTTCTTTACGCTTTTGGCAGACCTATTGAACACCCAGGAACCGAATCCCCCGAGGAAAGCCAAGCTCATTGTGTCGAGTGGATTGCTCACACTAGAACCAAGGACCCAATTTTGGCACGGACATGGCCTTTGCTGTGAGGTACAGTATGTTTCGTCAAAAAATCCTGCAACACTGTTTGAGTTGATTTGGCGTCATTTGAAACAACCCAAAGGGCCTTCGCCATTCTAAGACTGCCTGTTTGTGTGTCTGTCTATTTGTCTCTGTCCGTGCATCTGTCGTTTTCGGTCTGCCTCTGTTTGTCTGTCTCTTTGTTTGGTTGTTTGCCTGTCCCCGCCTATCTGACTGTCTGACTTTTTGACTGTCTCTGTCTGTCCCTTTTACTCTCTGTCTATCTGTCCCCCTGACTCTGTCTCTCTCTCTCTCTCTCTCTCTCTGTCTGTCTGTCTGTCTGTCTGTCTGTCTGTCTGTCTGTCTGTCTGTCTGTCTGTCTGTCTGTCTGTCTGTCTGTCTGTCTGTCTGTCTGTCTGTCTGTCTGTCTGTCTGTCTGTCTGTCTGTCTGTCTGTCTGTCTGTCTGTCTGTCTGTCTGTCTGTCTGTCTGTCTGTCTGTCTGTCTGTCTTTGTGTTTCTGTGTTTCTGCGTTTCTGTGTGTGTGTGTGGGTGCGTGTTTGCTTGCTTGGTTGCTGGAGTGTTTGCTTAATTGTGTGTTTGTCTTTTGTGTTGTCTTGTTTGTTGGTCGGTTTGGTTAGTTGGCTGGTTGGTTGGCTGGTTGGTTGGTTGGCTGGTCGGTTGGTGGGTTGGTTGGTTGGTCGGCTGGTTGGCTGGCTGGCTGGCTTGTTTGTTGTTTGCTTGTTCCCTTGCGTGGTTGTGTGTGCGCGTGTTTGTGTTTGTAGGTGTGTGTGTGTGTGTGTGGCTGGCTGGTTGCCCGGCTGGCTAGCTGGCTGGTTGGTTGGTTGGTTGGTTGGATAGTTTGTGGCCTATCGCTTGCGTTCGGGTTTGTTTGGTTGCTTGTTGGACGTTCTGTTATTTTGTTTGCGTGCATAGTCCATCGCCCACAGACATTGAACTAAATTATACGGGCGAAGCGGGTTTGGTATTCCTGAGGGCGCTGTTGACTGCAAGCATACCACATATGACTTAGTCGAAAGCCAACCGTTGGACCTTTGGGAGTCTCTTTCTTGTTTTCGAGCTGTTTGGCTCTGATCATTGTCAGTAGCGGGCTTCAAACAGTTTTGCGTTTGCTACCATGCTGAGTATGAGAAGCTGATATGTCCATGCCCTTGAGCAAGTGAGTGTGAGTGGCGCCAATCATCCATTCAAAGTCTGGACGGTGCGCAGTTTCATTGGACCCCGCCCTCAGTGAAGCATGTGCTGTATGGGTGTCACTTTTTGTTGGGTATCCCATGTTTTGCTGTTTTGCAGAAAAACCATCGTTTTGGGGCCCTGAAAAGATGGCACATCCATATTTCTTGCAACCCCACTCAGGGTATAGGTCAATCAATTGACCCGAACAATTGGACCACAGCAAACATGGGTTTGGTGTGGCAGCGAATGAAACAAGACAACACTCTACCCAACACGCCCTTGTTTGGATAAGGAGAAGCCTTGGATCCATCAGCATGCAGGCCAGACATCACCAAACGCATTCTTGAAGGCTGTCGTATCAGTTCCTCTCTGTGACGCTCTCGACGAGCCTTGGCACAGGCCTTATGCTGCAAGAGAATTGCGATCTCCAGCACAGCTTGTCCAGACTTCTCACAGAGCCAAGATGGTAGCGAACCATGGCAAAAAAAAGGCTAGTTTTCAGGTGTCAAGTCCACCACATTTAGCGGAGCCTCACATTCAGGTGGACTGTCCACCTGAATGTGAGGCTCCGCTAAATGTAGCGTATGTCTTTTGCAGGAAAGCCGGAAACGAATGAGGCAAACTACCCCTGTGCAGTATCAAAATCTCCCCGAGTTGCTGGTCATTACGCGGTTTGGAAAGACCGCTTAACTTGGCGGCTCCGAGCCGTCTCCTTAGTTTCCACAAGACACTAAAAGCTAGACGTTGAGTCAGGGATCTGGCAGGAAGTGAGGTGTTGTGATGATCGAGCCAGGTCGGCTGGTGCGTGCTGCCGCACGGGACTTGGAAGCGAGACACCGTTTGAAGCAAGAATTACCACCACCAAACATGGTTCCTCCTGAATGAACTCCTGGATGCCCGGCATGAACACAATGGACCGTCCAGTAAGTCGTGCAGGGCGTGTTCCTGTGCCATGGTCAGTTGTTTTTCTTCTCAGTCTTGTCGTTGCAAGGCCTTGACTCAACAATGTGTGGCCTCAGAGCCTCAGTGTAGAATTTCTCTTGCCATGCCCAATTCGTCCTGAGAACGGAGGCAATGTGACAACATAGGTCTTTCTGACTTTAAAGAGCGCTATGATCTGGACAAGTTTGACCCTGGCGAGGTTTGGGAATCGGCCCGGAGCGGTGGCAGACAAAATATGAACTCCACAAGGTATACACATGGGTGGCTCGTCTTGTGTTGAAGCTCGCTACCCCTTTTTACTATGGCTTTGAAGGACAGCCACAAGGAAACCGTTGCTATTTGTGGGAGTCCCCCCATTTTATGGCACACCCAGACAGAAACATCTATGCGATCTGCACTAATTCGCAGATCGGCAGATTGTTCTTTGCGAATTCATGGAAACAAACATTCGTGATGTCGAGTTAAAACATGAAAATGGCGTGCCGTCGTCCATGTTGGACAGATGCCCAAAGGCCAGCCAGGCAACAGGGCACCGCCCCAAAGATTCCTTGTACATTTGCCATGCTACAATTGACTGTGAGTCCCCAATTCATAGCTTTGGGGCAATGCGAGCAGTCCTATTTGGACGGCAAAGCTATTCCTAAGTCCCGCAGCTAGGTGCCCTTCCCCTACTAAAACAGACTACAGAAGAAAAGGTGGGCACCCTAACCTCTAACCTCTCTTATTGGGAGGACCTAGGTGTTGGTTTTTCCGCAGAATGCCGAGGTCTGCGGCATTTGCCTGGGGCTCCTGGCATGGAGAGGCGTGGGCAAGGCAACCGCTTGGGCCGAAAACATCTGAGCCACGTGCTCAAAACCGATTCGGGGATGGATGAAGGTTAAAGACAACCTTGCCATAAATTGCCGGGGCATCTCCGTCTTACTTCTTGAAGCCTGGTCCTGGGTCGACCATTTTAGTACCGGGTTTTGAGTATGCCCCGCTCTCCGGTCCCTGAGCCCCGTTCGGTCCCTGCCTGACGAAATCTGAGGACAGCCCAGTGACGAAATTTTGAGGACGCTCGCATCCGTGGAGCTCTTGGGGGTCCTAGACGAGCTTCCTTTAAAAGGGAGGTTTTGGTGGGTTCCATGTTAAAAAAGGAGGGGAACTTCTTAGGAGATATGCCTGGCAGGGGCCTTGTGGTGGTTTCTTGTGGCATCCTGTTTCCCTTACCGGGTGACTTGGGCTCAAGACGCGAGAGTTCACGCCATGCTGTTTCCAGCAACCAAACCAAGCAGGCAAGGTGAGCTGAGCGAATCGGATCCAGGACAAGTTCCGAGGGCCCCGGGCTGGGGATTGATGCCCTTGGCTTTCTTTTGATTCGCCCACGAAGTCAAGCTGAGGCCCAACCTAGGCCGACCCAGTTGGGCTCACTGCCCCAACTGGCATTCCGCGGGGCCTAAGAAATCCATTTCGCATCACCCAAGAAACCCCAACGTAAATAGCAACAAACGGGTGTTGAGAGCAAACAATCCTAACTAAAATAGCTACTATGGAATGAAGATTCCGCTGTTCATGCCAGCAAACAATGGTCCAAGAAACCCTGGAATGAAGACTCCGCTGTAAATACCAACAAACGTTCTGGTTTCCTCCCAATTTTTTCCCGAGCGGTTGGATCCTCCCCAGGGTCAAGGTGAGCGTTTGGAGAAACAAGAACAGCGGAGGAGGTGCAGCTGGAATCCACACACAGTGCATCCGAATTGCTTAGACAATAAGGGCCTGCGATTCTGGCCTCCAAGTTCCAAAAGGGTTCCGATGCTTCGGGACGACAATAGGCAACCAAGTCCATTTTCGGCCAACATGGCCTTTTCCAGAGGTTGGACATTTGATAGCTGGGGGTGACCAATTTTGGGAAACACGAATTTGTGGGCGTGTTGTTTGGAGTTGTAATGTTGGTTTAAAGGGAACTCTAAAGGAACACCACCATGTTGGGAGCTGTTTCGACACGCGCCGTACGTATTATTTTCCAAGCGCTGCAAAGCCATCATTCTCTTCGATTTGGTCAAGAATATTTGTTATTTTCCCTATTCTGCTTTCTACTTGTTCAAAACCTAATCCCCAATGTTTTGCGGATTGCGCATTGTGCGGTTTACGGATTAGATCATTCGGCGTGCGGATTGCGGATTACGGGTTGCACGGATTGTCCATGCTCCAACATGCGGTTTTGACCCACGGTTAGAATATTACAAACCAAAGCACGGATTGCGGATTGCGATTAGGCCCCCCAGGATTTTGATCAGGCGTTAAAGGAAAACTATGCGAGCATATTTATTCATTCTTTTCATGGGGCTTAAACCACATAGAAGTTCTGGGGTGCCCAATGTTTGCAACCACACCCATTTCAGCTTGACAAGCAGGCCAAGAATTTGAGTTGCAAATCTTTCGACACCTGGGTTTGTCTCAAAGTTAGATTCCCCCCAATGGGTAGTTTCCTTTTGGTTTGCCTTTACTTTGCAGTTCCTTGCCGTCCCCTTAGGCTCTTAGGTTTTTAGTTGGTCGAGTGGTTGGGTTTCCTTTTTGTCCCACTCAGAGTTGTTGACTTTGAGCAGAGGATCTGAAAACGGACAGCCCAGTTTAAACCAACCAAAGGATCATTTAGATTTTGAATTCCCCCCCTGAGTTTCCGTTAAAATCAACCAACACGGGACTTCCCCAAGAAACAGTGACACATCCTCAAATCTCCCGGCGCGAGCCGCGCGAACCCATTCGAAGCGTCGGGTGAGGCGACCTGGGGTTCAGCCTCAAGAGGCGCTCCTTTCTTCCGCGGGCGGAGGGGTCTTGTTGATAGGCTAGAAGCCGCAAATTTTGGGTTTTCCGGTTGGTTTCCCCTTAAAACAACCAAAAATGGGGTCCCTCACAAACGACACCCCCCTCTTAGCTCATAGCCAGATATGACTTGTTTTCTAGTTGGTGTCCCAGAAAAGGGGTAGCCTCAAAAAAAAACTTCCCCAACCCCCTTAGCTCATTCTCAGCTGTCCAAAGCGAATCGACGGGAAGCGACCTTTGGGTGTCCATGGTAGTTCTTTTTCAGTCAAGGTGCCAAAGGTTCACCCTGTACTTCTTGGTTGCCTTGCCAACATCTTGCCTTCTTGGTTTTCCATGGAAGTTAACTTGTTCAGGGGGTCCAAGCTGCCCCATAGCTGGTGCGAAATGGATTTTGTCCAAAGCATAACGGCATGGTACAGTTGAGACACTTTGTACTCGCATTTATGCGATACAACACACAGTATGAGTGCAAATTGCTGTTGGGGATACCACCTGGGCATTGTTGCTTTGATGGACAAACAATGTAATTGTCCAGCCAGTTAGTTCATCAGGTAGCCCTGATTGGCGTTTCGGTTTGCGGTTTGGGGATTTGTGCCACCTGGAGGGGTCCCCATTTTTTATGTGAGAAACGCCCCAAATGATGGGGGACACTTCCAGAATGCGGCCGGCTCGCGTCCCACGGAATCCACCCGCAGGAAAAGGAGAACAGCCAGGGGCAGGGTAGAGGGGAGCTCCCTCCTTTGGGTGCTCGGCTGGTTTAGCCCAATAAAAGTTGAAAAACTTTTAGCAGGGGATCTGAAAACGGACAGTCTGGAGGACCGCACTTGGGTGTTGGTTGGGTTTGGGTTTCCATTTCACCCACTCAGAGTCGACTTTTAGCAGATCGGAACACGGACAGCGGGTGTGCGCTGCCTCTCAGGCAGCATAAGGCGGTGCCGGAGGAGGTCTTGGCTCCTCCACCAGAAACGCCCAAACCTACAGTGCCCAGAGAGGCCATCGCCGCCTTGGCAGGACGCTTTGGGAAACCCGGTGTCTGGTTTTTGTTTAGGGCTTCTGAGCCATTTCCCGTTTTGGGAACCTGCAAAAGTGGAATTCGATCGTTTCAATGGAAGCCGCCAAAAGAAAAAGAAGAAACGTTTGAAGGGACCCCTGTTCTTCGTTTCCTTTCGGGGTTCCCTAAATGGGTGGCTCGGCCTTTTTGTTGGAGTCCTGAAAGTTGTGGTTTTGCGGAGGTTTCCCAAAAGGAAGCTCGTTGCGCCATTTTGGGGGGTCAAAAGCGACACACCCAATTAAACTAACTTGCCCAAAGTGAATCGACCTGAAATGGCCTTTTGGTTTCCCGTTTTGGGTTGATTTTCACCTTCTGTTTCTGGGTCCCTAAGCAGCAACTGAGAATAGTGGTCCCCCCAAATGGCAATAGCTCTAATTGCCCCATGTCCTCTTCAAGAACAAAAAGTCACGCAAGCTAGCTTTAGCTAGCTGAAGTTTCTCCTTGCGTAAGCAAGGTAAGGGGCTCAAATGCCGAAAGATTGATTTTTTCAATTATTTGAGCCGAAAAGATTGAAAACATCAATTATTTAGACCCCCCCCCCCTCCCCCCCCCCGGTCTCAGGCTCGATTCCTCCCTGGTCCATCCCCCCCCCCCGGGCAGTGGCTCAGTGTTCAGCAGTCTCGGTTTGCCCGTTTTGGACTTGGTGCTACGAACTTTTACATGTTCCACCGATTCAGCTTGTTCATTTGAGACCTCAGTCTTCTCGGTAAACCACCTCGCAAGAATCTTTGCACACGCTGCATGCAGAACCCAGAGGTGCTTTAAGACAGCTTCTTACGCCTCTCGTTGTTTTCATTCTTCAAGGTTTGCCACGCCACCATGTGCGTTTGCGTGTCGCATCCTACAAATCTTGCCGGGCCTCTCGTTGTACACAAGCTACCTATGAATCCACTCTGTCACCGACCCATCTCATGCAACAACTGCTAGCTTTCGTTCACCCGCTCCTCAAGTTGAGAAACCTGACTGCAGCGCCATCATGTTAGCTTTCTGTGGAAGGTGGTCTTAATATTGGCTTGGGAAGGGTGAGGGCAAAATACATGTTACAAAAGGCCGATGTGGAAGCCGGGTATGTTTGCCACCCGTTTGGGACATGCTCAGCATACGCGCCATTCATTTGTGCAGCAACCCCAGTGCCCTGTTGCCACTTTGGGAGGGGGTATGTCTTTAGAATCAGCTACCAAGAATCCACCGCATATGATTCTTATCCGTCAAAATTAAATGCTTCCCCTTTTGGAGGGGTGTCTCAACAAGGGAGGCAAGGTCCGGTGAAGGTCGGGTTCGGGCGAAAGGGCTTTCTGCTCGTCCCCTTTTACGCGCATCCCCGGCGAGGAGTCTTCATCCTGGCAACTCTGTGGTTCCTTGTCGGGCGCCAAGCTGGCGGGCTGACGGATCGTTGGGGTCTGTGCCCCATGGGTTGAAAGGCGGGCCCACCGACATGCTGTGGATGTACGAAATCCTGCACCACCTACGAAACCCTGGAATGATTCGATTCCCCTGTAAATACCAACAAACAATGGTGTCAACCATGGTTTCAAAGTGGTGCAGGATTTTGTCCACCCACAGTAGAGTACAAGTCACCGGGGTGACCAAGGCGAGTGTCTCCCAGGTGCCTTCCGTTGGTTTTTTGCGAAACCCCTGGCTGCCTGGGACTGAAGCGCGCGTGTTCAGTCGCTGGCAAGCTGTGCCTGGGACTGAAGCCAGTTGCTGTGTGGATTGCCTGAATAGAAAGCAAAGGGAGAACATGGCGAAACCAGCTCCAAAGCGACGCAGGGGGGCCACCCAATATGCCCAGCGACTGAAACAACCACACGCAAACAATCGGGCAAGAAAGAGCGGCCTGACCGACTACATGTGTTTTTCATACAGAGCCCGTCGTTGCAGGTGGCGAATTATGATTCACACAAAGCTGTACACTTTGCTGTGTCCTTCTGACTCCCCCATTGTCGGTTTTGGTCCATCAAAAGGTCTCTTTTTGATACAATATACAGAGTCTCATTGGTTTCGGCCCACTTGCCCAAAGTGAATTGACCTTTTAACCCATTTGTTTATGAAGGTTGACCATGTTTTATGCGGTCATACCATGTATCACGGACCAAGGACCTTGTGGTCAACCCCCGAATATTTAGTCATGGTGCCAAAAGCCGAACCTCCCTCCACCATTGGGCTCAAACTACCCACTCAAAAAAGGGGTACTTCACCAACCATCAGTTTGGGTTGCCATAACACATATTTAAGTTGGTTATTTGAGGGTGCAGGGTGTCTTTATTTGCCCAGTGAATCCATTTACTGAACGAAATCCTTCCTACTCCATATCAAAACCCAGCCGTAAAATCTTGCTACTACTGTGGATGGACGAAATCGTGCACCACTGAAGCCATGGTAAACCATTGTTTGTGAGTAGTTCCACGGGAATGATCGTTCCAGGATTTCTTGGGTGCGAAATGGATTTCGTCCGACAGCAGTAGTAACCTTTGACCTTTTTGGGGTTCTGTGGGCAGCGTTGGACTCGCGAGGCCGAGCGCCGCAAGCGGCTGCGCCGGCCGTACACGCTGCCGGACCTGGGCTCGGGGGGGGGACCCGCGAGGGTAAACGCTAAAGGGCTTCCCGCTTTGAGAAATAGACTTAACTGCTATTGGGTTGGATCTTTAGACTTGATCTTTTTGGAAAATCAAGGGGTTTTCCACTAAACCCCCAAAAAGTTAAACTTCTTGCAGGGGGGTCAACAGCATCCAAGTACAAAGCCACTGAAACACCAAGGTTTGAAAGAACTTTGAGAAGTGCAAAGCCCGTTTGTTGAAAGTAGATCAAGCTTCTATGGTTTCAGTCTACCTTGGGGTAATCAAGAAACGGATAGAAATGGAATTTTGGCGTGGGGAGTTGTCCTTTTCAGGTTGCCAAACGCCAGATTAAGCGAACGCACCAAGCTTTCTGCTTTTGGGGAAGGACCCCCATCACCCCCATCTTCAGTTCAATGTCACTCGCAGTGATGTACTGGAATTCTTCCGTGCTCCGCTTCGATTTGTAGCATGGTGAACTTGTTTGCATGCCTGTCTCGCAGCCACTGACATGTGAGTATGGGTCAAAACTAAACCCCAGGGGACCGCGGGTTTCAGTCCATGTGTCCATTTGCCAGGGTTCCATTTTGGGTGACCCACAGCCATGTGGCACCGTGAACGATTCGCTTGCCACCAGCGCCGAATTGAGTCCCTGGACTTGAGTCACTTGTTCCAGACGCTGCGCGGGAGCGCTGGCACTACTGTTGACCCCAGATTAAACCTAGCCTACATTTAAAAGGGAGGTGGAGGCCTCTCCAAGAGTGAATCCAGGGGCACCTTGCTCGCAAAATAAGCCGATGCAGATGTTCCTCGCGGCTCCCTCATTTGATGCCCATGCCAGGGGTGCCCTGTCCTGAACATTCTGCGATGGCGTCGCGTCGCATGCGTCGCGCGGCGTGGCAAAAGGCCAACTGCCCCCGCCCAAGAAACATCATGCAGGGAAACCAACTAGCAGGGATAGCGGGGAACCAGAGATACGGGAAGATTCCCCCTAAATGCACCTTGACTAAGTTTGATATGGGAAATGGCGCCAAGGGAATCCCCCCTATTCCCTGCTCCCTCCGTATCCCCGCTTGTTCGTTTCTCCAAATCATGCAGCTGCGGCTTGCTGCCTTTGGTATGCTTGTTGCCGGCGACGCCGTTGCTGATAGCGATTAGTTGGAAGTGAATCCAGTGTGCGGATTCTAGGCTGATGGCCCCCCGCTGTTGTATCGCCAAAGGGTAATTTGACACAGCCATGCTGGGGTCTGCATCGCCCAGAATTGAGCATGTCCTCAAAAGGACATTGAAAGGAGCAGGTATGTTTGTTTCCAGCCCCCATATGTGACACCCAGAGGCCTGCCTTGTTTTTAAAGACCGCAGCATGCTGCTTTTAAAGAAATGGTCACTCTTCAGTTTTGACCTATGGCGGGGATCGCAATATGTTGACCCTTAGCCCGATTTCCGAAGGTCTTGCCATGACAGGTTCGAAATAGGAGGGGCCCGCGGTTTCTTATGTTTGGCACTTTGGCCCAACCTCCTTTCATGGGCCCATGCCACTACAATCCCTTTTGGTGGCCTTGAACATCACCTCTTGGCCCATTCGAGGTAAGTGCTCTTGCTTATTGGTGTCATTGTGATTGTTTGAGGATATGGGAAACCCACCATGTCCTGAGCAGTGGGTTTTTGGGCCTTACTACCTTTGACTTCTGATCTTCTGAGATTCAAAGCCTTCCTAAGTGTTTGGACGTTATATAGTTTTTTGAAGACAGGGTTCCACTTCAGAATGAATTTATCCAGGGGAGTGTCCTCTGGTCCCACAAAGGGGGGAGGGGGGCACAGGCCCTCGATGTTTGAAGGACAGTCCCACTGCGTGCATACCAAGTGTATACCCAGTGTTGCATTCCCGTGAATGTGTCAAGTAGTGGGTATCAAACGTCCAGTATGTCTCTATGAATGTTCCCACTGTTTCAATGTATCCGGTACCCTCCGGTCGCTTTGAGAGGGAACTGGCCTTCCAGTCGAGTGGGAACCACTACCCCCCGGCGGCTTTGCATCAGGACCTCACCCGCAAAGCTGGTTTGGTCGCGGATGCAGAGGCTGGTTGCTTTCACATTGCCCCGTCTGTCACTAGCTGGTGGCTCCTGAGCTGGGGGGGTCCAAAATCACTTTTAATGAGGGAGCGGTTCTGGAGCTACCGAGAGGTCTGGAAGGACATGGTAGGTTAGACGTTTTTGAGGTGGGTGCGGTTCCGTTTTTTTTTTGTGTCTGGGGGGGGAGGGGGGGGAACCACCGTTTGGTTGGTTTTGAGGGGAAACCAAAAGGAAACCGTTGCCATTTTCGGGTGCCCGATTTCCAGAAAATGACACGCCCAAGTTCAAAATTGGGAGGGAAATTCTCCCACCCCTCGCAATTCCTTTTTGTTTTTTGCAAACATGGGTTCCATTATTTTTCTGCTAGAGTCCTTGAGCATCTGAAATACTAAGGAGAAGTGAATTGCCTGAACACCGATGCCTAGGGATGATTTGCCAACCCCCCAAGTGGGAGAGACGGCTCAAAGTGAAATGGCTGTGGCTCAAAATTAAACCGGAGGGGCAAACCGCGGTTTTGGTCCATGTTTCCAGTTGCCAGGGCAAGCCATTTTGGTACCGGTTTTTTGAGCCACAGCCAAATCCCTGCAAAGTATGCAAACAAACCCTAAGTTGACTTGCTCACGATCCTCAATCCTTCTAAGGTGCCCCTTGGTAGTTGTGTCCTACAGACCGCGGATGAGAATTGGGGATCCAAGTAGAAAGTCTCCTAGGATTTGTCCTGCACGCAACCCGGGACTTTCTTTGACTTGGCCGTTTTTCCTGGAATTGGCTACGTACAACACTCAAGATTCCCTAAAAAATGGTGATTGGCCCAAATTATGGTTGCTGAAACATTCTGCTGATTGGTAGTTTTTTTCGGGTCCAGGCACCAAACACGGTTTTGGTTGGTGTGTGTGTTTTGCATAGTAAGGGTTATGCTCGCCCACATTGCCACGGAACGCACCAGAAGCGTGAGGGGCCCACATTTTACGACCCCGCAACTTACCAATGGCGGTGCCCACTTGTGGGTTTTCAAAACTGGAATTGGGGGAGGGGGTTTGACCCCTAGATTTCCATGTAGTGGTTCCATTCTCCATTCTATGGGAATACCAGACGGGTCCCGCACACCCCCCGCCCCGCTTAAAGAAGGGGGCATATTCTACCCATAAAAATCGGGCGCTACTGCTCAGTACCTCTGTTTTCCATTTTCCGAAATCCACATTCTGTTATCTTCCCCTAGGTGTAAAAAGGGAATCCATCAATAAACATCGTGTTATCTTCCCCTAAGATTTAATAGGGAATCGATTTCACTAGACATACCTGGAGTCTCCGTGACCCCGTTTTTAAGGGGTCACGGAGACTCCAGGTATAAAACATTGTTTTATTGTTCCCTGTTGGTTTTTACGAGGAGTCGATCTTCACTGGACATATTTCCGCCCATTCCTCTGGGGCTTTACAAAAGCGACGACGAGAGGCGGAGTTCCGGCGGATCGTCTCCTTCCTCCAGGCCCCGTTGCCCTTTGCTTTTTTGGACGCAGCGATGCACCCCAAAACAAGTTGTGGCAACAGGGGTAAAGCTGGAGCTCCCCAAAGTCAAATCTTGGTGGTTCCCAGCCATCCCCTTAGCGTTTTAGCCTTTTAGTGTTTAGTGGTTGGATTTCCATTTAACCCACTAAAAGTTAAACTTTTAGAGGATGAAAGAGGTATACCCTTTGTGTAGCGGCCGTGTAGTCGCTATATATGGCTCTGTGCCGATTAGTCGCTGAGGAGTGGTTTGGGAGCTGAACACCATTTTAGATTCTGTCAATCTCCTGTCCAATTACAGGGGAGGGTGAATTCTATCATCGCCGCTTCCTTGTTTCATCAATCCTGGAGGAAAGTGGGAGAGCACCGTGTCACGGGAATCACTCAGAGAAACGATCGAGGCAGCCCCATCCTGAATTGCCTGTTTTGGCAAGCCCGGCGTTGCTTGCCTTATGACCTTTCGCCTTAGGTTTCCCCCTTAGTCGCCTGTTTGTGTTGCCTTTTTCCGTCCTTTTTGTCCTCGGCCAGACTTTGAGACATGGTCTTGAGTTGTGACGACCCTGCCTGAGCTCCACGCGAGCAATGCATGAACCCAAGGAAGTAGAGGCTTCCAACGGAGGTGAACAAGGCTTCTTTCCCAGAGGATAGTCTTCCAAAACCGAGCCTCCTGTACTTCTATCGGAAAAACCGGGTAATCAGGCCCCAGTGAAACCTCATTCTTGCGGATCGCCTCCGAGCATCGCCGAAAGGGTTCCTTTTCTGTGCAGGTGATACCGTGAATGGACGAAATCCATTCCGCACCACGGAATGAAACCATGGTTGAAACCAGAGCATTTGTTGGTATTTACAGGGCAATCATCATTCCAGGGTTTCTTAGGTGGTGCAGGATTTTGTCCATCCACAGTATATGTTGTGTTTTCCATTCTGCATTAGGATCTGTTCAATGCACGGTAGTTTGGGCATCCAGCGATGAATGCTGAGCAAAGCAAACTAGTTCTCCAACGTTGGCGGACACCTAACTTGCAAAGTGAGCGTTCAATCTTTCGGCTGATTTCCAGGTCCTTTGGGCAAGTGAGAAATGTGAAGTGTGTTTCTTGAGGGTGCCCGGTGTCTTCAGAGGTGCCAACCCAAAAGGAGGTTGCGCAAGCGTTGGTGGGTGGGTTTTACAGTAACCTTGCAGGTGTTCTTTATGGTTCATGTTTGTCAAGGCCGCAAAAGGACAATGCTGTTTTTTCCTTCCGGAGTTGAAGCCCAAATCAAAACCGAATCCATGTTGGAAGGTCCGATTCATTGAGAAACGACACGCCAATCTTTTTCCAGGTCCTGTGGTCCGTTTTTTGCGCAAAGCCAACCTTTTGACCTTTTAGTTTCCCCGTGTTGGTCCATGTTTAGCGGCCCCCAAAAAGTGACCACCGTTTAGTTATGAGGGCCAAAAACAACAAAAGTCCTCAAATAAGAAACGAGGATGGGTCCCTTAGGGGTCGTCGCGTACGCCGCTGACGGTGGCATTCGCGAGGACGAGCTGCTGATCCCCATCGACTCGCGCCTGCCAGGGCGCCCCTTCGAGTGCTCCACTCAGAACTCGGATCCCTCGGGGGCCGAGGTGTGGGTTTTCGACCAAAGGAACTGCGTGGCACACCAGTACCAAGGGGATTTTGACCAAAAGAACCGCGTTTCTGGACAGTACCAAGCTTTTTTTTGGACAAAACAAGCAGTCGGCGGGGTGCTGGGTGCTGGTGATGGATCTTTGGACTTTGACTTTTTCGGTTGAAACTGCTGGGATTTTCCGAATGGGACCCACAAGTTAGACTTTTTGCAGAGCGCTGAACAGCAAAACACAAGTGGTGCCCTTTTCTTTTTTCCCCAACTTCTGAAAGCTAAGCAGCCCAGATAGGTTCCAAGAATCTGTGCCCGTTTTATATTTCATGGGCATTTGAATATGAATCAAAAGGCAAACCAGCATTTGTTGGGGTTCTCCCCATGACAACACATCATTTGGGCAAGCTAGAATCCTTAGGGCCTAAGAACTAACTTCTGACAGAGTTGCTACGACCACATTTTGACAGTGCTGCACCGTCGAACCCTAGGGTTGGAGAGGAGTCCTTGGACGGGTAACGGGCATGCCCCGTGGCCTCGTTTAGACAATACGTTGAGATGATTGCAACTTTTCAAGAAGTTGGAGCCGAAGCGTCCTGGGCGTGTCTTTCTTTGAGGCCGCCATATGTTCGCCACGCATTTATTTGGGGGGGAAACGCAGAAGGAGGGAAAGCCCATGGCGTTGAATCCTTATGTAAAAGCCCATTTGAAGCCTGTCGCGGCTACCCATGTTCACCGCGCGTTTTTTCGGAGCGCAAAACGGAGGGAACACCAATTCGCCATTGAATCCTTACACCTACCCAAATTTTTCAGAGAAGCCTGTGGGTACCATGTTCTACCCCTTTGAAGCTGTACGGGTACATCCGAAAGGCAGCGCCGAGGTATGACATGCACTCCTTCCCCTTCACTCCCATGGCCCCGGGCCACGGAAACGGCCACGGAGCGTTCGGAGAGACGGCTTAAGGGAGGAGATTTGGGCGTTGTTTCAAGCACAAGAACGTGGTTGTTGGCTGAATTGGATCTTTGGACTTTTTATCTCTTTGGGGGAGATGTGGGTGTTTGGTTTGCATGCCGCACAAGTCGAACTGTTTGCAGTGCCAAGCGAACTGTCCCTTGAATGTGGGGTTAATCCTGTTATAAGTAGGTAAGAGCCTTAATGGCGATCCCGACTTACTCCCTTGGCCGAACATCCCTGCACCCTGTGTCTTTGATCCAGCGGCAGATGTGTCTTTCATGAGGTTCACGGTGACTCACGCACGCCCAAAGCGAATTGACGATCGAAATGACCTTCTTGTTCGCCCATGATGGCTTTTCGATTTTTGCGGCCCCAAAAGGATCTCCCTGTTCTGGGTCCTTGGGGCAGTGAGGTTCATGGTGAGCAGGCTCAACTGTGACAATGGTGGATTGTAGTCGAGTGGGGTTGAAAGGCTTTGGCCTCTGCTGGACAGTTGTCGCTTCTCTCAACGACGCGGATGTTGACTATATGGTGATAAATGGAAACATGGACTAAAACCTGCGGTCCTCTGGTGGTTTAATTTTGACACATACCCATATTGGTGTTTGTAACTAAACATTTTTTTTAAAGAAAACAACAATCGGAGAAGATGAGCCGGACGAGCCGTGGGACCTTTCCGTACTCTTGACAGAATCATCGCCTGCCAGTTTTTTTGTTTTCTGTTCTTCGCCCTTGGAGAAACAAATGAGCGCTTGCCAAATTATGGCCAATTACTTGAACAGGGCTCCTTAAAAGATACACTTTGTTCAGTTGAAACATGGCTTTTTCCACCAAAATAAATGGACACCACCATGTACAAGGCAATGTTCAGGTGTATAATGTAAGGATCCCTGTTGAATGATGCTGTTTTGGGCTATGCTGCCATCAGGTACAGTCAACTTGTTCCCCTTCCTCGTCCCTGTTTTAATACGTCCACCGTGTTGACTTCACATGAAACCGCATGGATTCTAAGAAAACGGGGAAGTTCCAAACCAAAAGTGGAGCATTCTGGACCAAACCGTTCATGACTATGTGCTATTTCTTTCTGGTTTCAAAGCCAGTCTACCACTAGAAATATGATCTCATGGTTTCCAGGGAGCAAAACGCACATGGAGGCAAACCGGGAACTCCCCCCCTGAAAGAAAAAATGAAGAACATGTCGCCTGGGTTTTTGTGAGCTGGAGTGGCCGCAGTTCCCTGGCCGATGTCCAGCGGCACCATGAAGCAGCTGCCAAGGAGCTGCAGCGGTGCCAGTGCCGCCGAAGGTGTCCTTGCTCCGGCTCGAGCTTTTGCCGCCTCGAGCGAAGGCGTTGTCTTGGCGTTTTCCAGGCGACGAACACTCGATGCAGCTGAGGCTGCACTGGCACACGGCGCACGCCTGGCAGGAAGCGCTCTTCATTCTGAGCCTGGACCAAGTGTGGATGCAATCCTTGCGGGCATCTCGCCATGTGTACAGGAAGGCCCGCGTTCGCACCCAACACATATATCATTTATGTATACATATAGAGTATGTATATACATATATATATATATATATGTATATATCGGGGACGGTCCTCAATTCGGAAACTTGTTGTGAAAGCGCTACCCAAAGGAAGCTAATTCCACTTGCGTGGGTTCCGTATTTTAGGAAGCACCCATACATGCATGTACACTATGTTTACACACCTGTCAGATTTCATATATATATATACATAAACACAACATATTGCGTGTGTTTAACTTCTCATTTGTACGTGTTGTACGCATGGGTGTGGGTCAAAATCAATCCACCAGGGGACCGCAGGTTTTGGTCCATGTTTCCACTTACTAGGGTTCCAGTTGGCGTACCAGCCTGGTTTTTCCGAGGCTGTTACATGGTGCAAGCTTTTCTGTGAGGTCCTGGTGATTGGCAACCACTCCTCCGGCAAGTCCACCTTCATCAACCGCCTGCTGGGCAAAGAGGCGGGAGGAACTCCAAATGGCTGTGGTCAAAACCGTTTTGGGATCCCATGTCTGGGCTAGGTGCACCACCCGTTTTCGTCGATTTTAGTGGTTGGATTGCCCATTTTAATTGGGCTAGGTGAATTCACCACCCGTTTTAGAACCTATTTTAGTGGTTGGATTGAATCGGATGTTCCCTGGGGGCAAACCGATTTGGCTTTTGAAAAGCCCATGGCCATGTGGCTGACCGAAATCGGCACTCCAACCTCCAAAGCCAAATGACAGGGGTACGCACCGGTGTATGTAACGCACTTGGGCGCCCAAGTTCAACTTGGATGACTCCGGTGAGCGGAGAACAAAGAAAAACGGTTAGTCGCTTGTTCAAGAGGTTGATATGCAGGTGAGTCCTTGGGACCCTAATTGGGTTATCAACCAGGTCTTATTGGGCTGGTCAACCCAGAAGGATTTGTCTTCAACCGGGAGAAACCCGAGATGGAGGTGTTCCTCTTCATTTGTGGGACAGTTTGGTTCTAGGTTGCCACGCAAACCTCTATAGAGACATAAAGTGTGTAGCCCTTGGTGTCACAGAAGCATCTCCTCATTTGCGCCGTTGAGTTATAGGCCTTCCCAGTGCACCACACATATTTCAACAAAGGGTTGGCCCAATCCCATTCATTGAAAAAAGTGCACAGATATCACCCGTTCCTTGAAATGCAGGGATCCACGCATTTGTCCATCCCAGAGGCTCCAATTCGATTGATTTAGGGCCTTCAAATAACCTGGTTTTGAGACGCCCAACCACCAATTCCCGGGGTGTCTAATGGAGGGGTCGGGTCTTCCATTGAAAGCCCCGGGAGCCTCTGGGATGTCGGGGGTCGGCAGGTCCAGGATACAGGGGTTGCGCCCACCGACGACGGCTTCACCATCTTAGAGAGACGAACCGCCACGGACACCGAGGAGGGGTTTCGAAGGGACCCACTGCGTGAAATGTCATTTGTCCCCTTGTTGGTTTTAAAGGGAATCTATCACTACTGGATATTTTTTCCCCGGGGGCTTAAGCAAATGGAAGGGGTGGCTCTTGCTTGTGTTGGAGTTGGTAATTCTTGTGGGGTCGGTTTAAGAAGGGATGCCAAAAGCAAATCGTTACCAATTTGGGGTGTGCAACCTTAAAGAAGGACAAGCCACCATGTGGCTCTTGCCTTCGTTTGGTGGGTTTAAAGGGAAATCAAAAGAACACCCCCACCTTTACAAGCCAGAAGGAATACGGCGAAGCTGGGATCCACTAGGTTGAGTTTCTAGGGCCTAAACCTGTTTAACCATCTTGGAACCAAAAGTCAGCTCGGTTTGCGGCAAACAAGTGTGGAAGGTTTTGCCGAGTCGGCCCAGGTGTTTTGCTCAGAGATGTAAAAATTCCACCGTTGCCACGGCATGGGAGTCATTTCACCGAAAAACACGGTGGCAATTCCAGTTTTCCTTTTTTGGAGCTCCCATCTCCCGGGGGCTGGGGACATCTGAAGCAAAGATGCCGGAGGCCATGTCAAGCGGTCAAAAGGTGCTGGTAAACGTTGAAATTCTGAAAAAGCTCCCTCACGCCCCGTGGAAAAAGTGGACCGAGCCTTGTTTCTGTGTTAGGGGTCAATGTTTATGGTGGCTTGGCGGTGAAACGGGGAAAAGCAAGGCTCTGTATCATGTAAAGTTTGGAAATAATTCGTTTTCCGGCCAGGTTTTACAGCTTGCCATGGTTCCTTTTCAGCTTTTAGGGTTGAGGCAATCTATTTCCACCTGGACCTTCAAACGTACCTGAAATTTCTGCCTCCCCTGTCAATCGGCTGGTTTTTGCAATTCGTACCTTGTTTTCTTGGCTTGTCCTCTTTTTTGGACCTCGAGCAGTTCTTGGAGGCATGCGGGCTGTCATGTCTTAACATGACCTGCTCGAGCAGAAATGGTGTGCAAAAACGCCCGCAACGGCCCGCAAAACGAGCGCAAAACCCGCAAACGAGCGCAAATTTGAAATATAACCTCGGGCACTTTTTCATTGCTCGGGCAGAAATTGAAGACTCGGGCACAAACTGTGTGTTCGAGCAGAAAAAAAAGCGAGCACGAAAAAAGGTATCAATGGAAGGTCCAGGCATGGCATTTGCGCTTCTCAGCCTGTGACTGGAAGCGAACAGACTGAAATGACCTCCAGGTTTCCGTACGTTGCAATTTCCATGTGAAAAAGGTGGCCCCCGAAAGGTGAAGCTGCTGTTTGCAGCTCCTTTGGGCTGAGTTGTTGGTGACTTTGGGTTTTCGACATGGGAAAAGGCGCTGCGGGTTGCAGGCGCTTACTTTTTGGTCGACTCTGGGTTGACAAATGGGCATGTCGATTGCACATCTTGGAATGTCCAGAACCCTTTTTCAAAGGCTGCCTAGTTTTGATGCCAGATCTGGTTCTCTTCCATGTGTTTTCAGTTTGAGACCACCACAGGCCACCACACGCAAGCTGAGATACAAACAATACAGTTGGGCGAGTTAAAAAGTCACCTTTAGCAGGCACAATGCCTTGCCAAATGCGGTTTTCTGAAAATACGGCAACCCAAATTGGTAACGATATCCTTGTGGTTTTCTTTCAACCAAGCTCAAATGGGTACTTTGTTTAGGGGACCCCCCAAATGGGTTGGTGTTCCCAGTGATTCTCCTTCAATCTCCCCAAACAAGGGTCGGATCGGCAGGATGGTCCTACGGTTCTGGGCTGTCCGGAGAATCGGCCCTACGCCGAGCCGAAGCCCAAAACCGCCAGTGCATGGGTGTCGTGTTTGTGTTGAGACTGGGCGACGTTGTTGTGATTTTGAGGTTTGATATCTTGAGCCAAGTTGTACGATTGGATTGCTGAAGAGTGTTTGTCACGAAGGGGGGGCCAACATGCTGCAACGGTTGGGTTCTTGTAGGTTCGCTTAAAAGACCACCTCATAACGGGCACGCTCAAAAAACGACTGGGCCAAAGCAACATCCATTTTCATTTGGACCCTCTGTGTGGGGGAGCCCTTCCACGATTGCTTGCACCAAAGAAGGGCTTCTAGGTTCCGATGGCTTGCACCAAAGCACCAACGATGTCATGTCTGTGTTTTTTTGGGCATCGAGAAGTTGAACCTATCGCTTCGCCTCAAGGACACCAAAAGGGGATGGAGACTGGGGTCGTTTGTTGCCAGACTCTTGCCTATCGGTGTTGCGCTTGCGCCCTTTTGATGTGTCCTTCATTCTCTGTTAAGCTGCCAACCATGTTTTGTTGCAGGGGGTGGGATGAGTCTGGTCACCAGGAATATAGGGAGGAAGGCTGTACCCCCAAAGAAGCTTTCCCCATAGGGGAAAGACCTTATTTGGGCTGTCTCTCAAAATAGGGAGTGGTTTCCATGTGTATCTTCTCTTTTAACATAATTCCTAAAGGGAATGCGAAAAACAGCATATGGGCGTCATTTTTTAGGGGACACCCAAAATTGTGGTGTTCCTTGTGGTTTCCCTTTAAAACCACAAGTTTGGTTGACATGCAAGGATTCAGTCTGGAGAAGAACGGGGGCTCTTTGCGTGGATTGCACCTGCTCCAAACCACGTGGCAAATCAGTCCTGGAAAAGCTGCTTTGAGTTGTTTCGGGATCCATGGCCCTTGCTCGAGGGGTTTTGGTGGGTCAACCCGTGCAGCTACAAAGCGCGGGGACGGGGCCAATTGGGCAAAATGGAGTGGCAATAGAATGCTGACGCCTGACAGATAATTTTTCCGGGCCTATGTGATTATAAAGCGGGCCCCTGTGGGGAATCCTCTCTTCCAGAGGGGCGCCCTGATTCATAACTGGGGGGGTTCATTCTTCAGAGGTCAACATTGTCCAGGGTGTTTTTTTCAAGGAGCAGGTGACTGGTAAAATATGTGGTGTTTTGGCTATGCGTGTGTCACTTGAAGCAAGTAGTTCAAACATGGGTATTGAAAAAGGCCCTTCTGTTTTTGACAACTCGCCATTTGGAGCACACTAAGATGTCAAGCCGTTCTCGTAGTCGGGAATGGGAAGCAAAGCCCCAGCCAAACCACCAACGAGGGACGATGAGTGTCATAGAAGCCAATATGAATTTCTAAACGTTGGCCAAACACCCACCAAAACCAAGTACTTAGTTGATGTCCTTTGTAAATGTTGCTTGTTGTCTGGCTGCCGAAAACAAGTTGATGTCCTTCTTGAATATACTTGTTGCTTGGGTTTCAGGGACGGATCGCAAGCGAGGAGCGTTACCAGCCAGCCAAGGCTGCAGCGCTTCGGGATGATCTTCGCGGGAGTCCTGCGGAGGAGTGGGCCGAAGCGCGCGGTTCGCGGGTCGGGGCGCGCGGGGCAGCCACGTGGTCAAAGCCAACCGAAGAAAGCGCCCGCCCCACAATGCACAAACAAAACGGAGGGTGGAGGGGTTCGATTTAAAGCACCAAAAGAAAACGCCCCCCCCATCCCCCGCATAAACAAAAGGGAGGGGATAATTGTCCGTTTGCATGCAAGGAAATCTTGCTTGGATTCGTCACGACGCGGATTCGTCACGACGAAGCTTGCGCAGGAAACGGCTAAATCTTCCACAGAACTCACAGATGCCGTTTGGCCTGCAGATCGTGGACACGTGCGGCACTTAAGTCGAGAGTTGGGTCGGGGGGAGGTTGCTGAGATGGTGATCCGGAAAATCGGGGGACACCTGTTTAGGCACCCTGTTGAGACACCTGTTCAGTGTCCAAATGTTAAGCTGTGTGTTACCAGATGTCTTCATGGTTTTAGTTTCCGAGGAGTTTATGTTGCTTTCTACACCAGACCTTCAATGACCATAGTAGGTGACCGTGGTTCCACCGGGTTTACTTGGGGTTAGCGACTATATAAGAACCCAAAGTCCATAGACCTCCCAAAGCTGAGAACGTGATAACTCTAGGATTTCTCGAGGTCTGACTTTCAGAAAAAGGGCCAGCTTGGAGTGAACGCTGACCTTATTGGGTGTGTCTTTCTTTGACAGTACCTATTTGGTGAGACAAGAACATGGGGGAAGCCAAAAGGACAAGTCCCGCAAAAAAAGCAAAAAAAAACATGGCAAACCCATTTCGGAGGCCCTTTGAGCCGGAATACCCTTCGCTCAGTTCGAGGGACTTCTGCGATAGGTGTCCTCGTAGTAGGCCGGCGTCCTTGGCACTTCCTTTCTTGCCTAAGCTCGTGATCAACTGCTCGTCTTTGTCATTCCGAAATCCCAAGTCCTACGAGCCAACTCACTGGGCGCTCTTTTTTTCCCCCCCCCCCGGTGGCTTCTTGAAGGCCACAGCAGTTTCGATGGCGCCGTGTCAAAGTGGGGGAGGGGTTTTGGAGGGGGAAAGCCATGGGGCCCAAGACCCCTCAGCTTCATGGCCTCCAGGGTGTTGGACAACTCCGCTGCTAAGTGACATGCAACCTGGGTGCTCCGCGTTTGGACCATGTTGGGTTTTGGTGCTGCGTTTCTTTGCAAGGAAATTCCAGTCCATGGCGATTTGGCAAAAATCGGGTGCTGTCCTTGTTCCTTTTTGTTTCTTCTCCGAAGCGGAGGTCATCCAGTGTTCTAGTTCCGAAGCGCGGCTAGACCGCAGTTGTTTGCTTCCCAAAGCTGCTAACCTTCGTAACCTCTGGCTATCATGCCCCCGAAAGTAGTACCAAGTCGTAGGATTGGCTCCTGGTATCACAGAAACTGGGGTCTTGTCAGAACATCTGGGTGTGTCATTTTTGGGACCCATATAATTGTGGTTCTCCTTCTGGTTTCCCTTTAAGACCAACCAACATGGGGCCCCGGAAAGGACACCCATGTGGATTCCACGAAATCCTGCACCACCTAAGAGACCCTGGAATGATGATTCACCTACAAATACCAACAAACGTCATGGTTTCAACCATGGTTGTAAAGTGGTGCGAACGGATTTCGCAACCATCCACATGTGGTAGTTGTAGAGTTGCGTCACGGAGTCGTAATTTTTCCGCCCTGGGAGCTTTCGAGGGGGTTCCCGCACGTCAGGCCCGGGATGATCGACCTGCCGGTGAACGAGAATTCTCTGAGTCCCGATTCATTGGCGTCGGATCTCGATGGAACATATGACATAGGTCTGTCTTAAGATTAGGAAACCCCAAAAGGCCAAAAGTGGCGGATTTCGTTTTGGTTTCGCCTTGAAGCCAGCCAAGAGCGGTTTTGCAAGAAAAGACAAAGGCGCATGTGTGCAGAAGAGTTGGTTGCTTTTTGACGGGAAAATAACCTTCCTGTTCGCCCATGTCCATAGGGGGTATAACATGCTTTGCCGGCGGCGCTGGAAAGCCGGGCCGGGCCTGCAGTTTGGCTTTTGCAGAAATGTAGTGGATCAAAGTCGGAACTAGGGTACATAGAATGGCGCAGTATGAGGGCCAATAGGCCAATAGGGCAACAGGCGCTGGTTGTCACAGCCCTCCCAACAAGTACGAAAGTACACCGGCTTCAGGAGGGCAATCTCCTTCCAAAAGGAGTTTGTCCACGTCACTTTGTTGGTTGTTTTAGTTCGTCCCACAGATTCAGCAGCTCAAGGCTGATTCACTTGCAAGTGGGTCCTTGTTTGGGTCGTTGCGTTGGGCGACCCCACAAACTATTAGTAATTATTAGTCAATAAATAGTCAATAAATCAGGGTGTTACTAATCCTCGGGCAGCCATCATATGAAGGTTGGTACCCCCTCTTTTCCAGTACCCCAGAAGAATGTGGTGAATCATTAGTTCCTGTTGGCTGGCCTTTTGATTTCATATTGTATGCTTCGCCGAGTATGAGTTTGTGGTTGGGGGCAAAAGCTGCAGAAGTTGGGTTTTAGTGGTTGGCGGAAGCCCACTTAGAGAACTGTAGTCTTTCCCAAACCTCACGCGCTCGCTCACGCATGAGATCTTAGGAGCGAGTCCAAGGGCAGAGGCTACAACTTCGTAGAGGCACGTGGCTGCTGCGCAACGGTCGACTTTGAAGCGCCTTCACTGATTGGTTCTTCAGGAAATCCTTCGCAAAACCTGGATTTCTTATGAGTTTTGCTTGAGCCGCGGATGAAGGAAATTCATCCCCGCCCAACAAAAAGAGCAACAACGTGAAGGAACTCCTCACCACTCTATCAATCAACCAAGGGGTGGGTCGGCATGATCGCACCTACCATTCCTTTTTGCTTACGCAGGAAATTGGAGTTTCATAAGGGTTCCCAAAATGTTGGGTTTGAAAGTCGATGAATGCTTGAGAAGATGGATGATTCCTTGTTGCATGCAAGCAGGCACTCGCAAATGTTGAACCTTTGCTCGGCAAGTTGCATTTGTTTGCAGTAGAACACAGGCAAACTTGTTTGTTGGTCTTCCTTCAATGGGGGCGAAATGTTTGCCCTGCCGATCGGTCTGAATGGGAGCAAATCTGTTACTGGAGACAAACCCCAGGTGGTGTGGAGACAAACGGGATAGTCTTTTCTTTTGGAGGTACCCGTTTTGGAGTGGATTGGAGGGGAGATCAACGGAAAACCACAGCTGTGCTTCCCTCAATATTTCTAGAAATCCATCCTTTTTGGAAGCCCAACATCGAGGGAATCTTGGCTCTCCAAAGAGCGACGCGAACGAATGGGAGAACCTGAAAACCGAATGGGAACTGCTTGTGTGTGTGTGTGTGTGTGTCTCCAAGTGGACTACTTGGGGTCAAGGTGATTGCGGTGTTCCTTGCGAGATTTGTATAGATTTCTTGAGTTCCCTTGCCGGATGCCAGCCACTTCGACTTGACTTGCATGAGGGATTTCTGACATGTCCTTCTAACAAAGTCTAACTTTGGCAAGTCAACAGACCGCCAAGTTGTGAGATCTTGGGGCTCAACATGGTTCAAGGAAGCCGCACGCCGCCTTTTTTCCTTCTGGCCCTCAAAAAGTGGGGGGATCCAAAAGGAAGGGGTGGCAAGCCGATCTTTTTGAAGGGTCTCTTCGCAAAATCTCCAGCCCGATGGGTCGAGGTGGTGCGGTGGTGGGCGAAGCGCGCCGACTTGATCTTGCTCCTCTTCGACCCCGACAAGCCGGGGTCGGGGGACCCAGCACCTGTGGCTCTGGATTCCTTTTTGAAGGTTTCCCTGTGCTTTCCCGGAAAAAAATGGATATGGAGAAGAAAACAATTGAGAGTTGGAATCCCCTGAGTGGTTGGTGGACATAACCCCCCGGCGAATATGATGTGCTCCATTAACTGGTCTCCAGTTAGAATTCAGAAATTATGTTTGAACCTTCCAGGAGTCCAGGAGTGTTTTGACAAAGACCATGGCCCCACCACACATATTGAACCCAGATACTCAGAACCGGAGGGGTCGATTCCTATATTCCCCGTGGCTTTAAGCATCTCCTTTTGGTGTCCAAGTGAGTCATGACTGGGGCAAAGTTTCCAATGGCCCAGGATGGCCCAGGAGAGATTTCACTTTTGGTGGGGTAAAACAGGGTTTCCTCCGTTTCCCTTTTTGGAACCTCCAAAAGAGGCGATCGTTTCAATAAACAACCACTGGCAAATTGATCAACTTTTGATTTGGGGAAATCCAGCTGGGCGCTGCAAAAAGTTAGGGAAACTCCTATAAACCCAGTGCCATTTCCCGACCAAGGGAACCTCCCTTCTCTGAACTGGGCGGTTTCCAGCAGTCCAATTCCTTAGGTGGTTTTTTGTGTTATTTTTCGGACGACAGCGATGCACCCGAAAAAAGTTGTGGCAACAGGGGTAAAGCTGGAGCTCAAAATCAAATCTTGGTGGTTCCCAGCCATCCCCTTAGCGTTTTAGCCTTTTAGTGTTTAGTGGTTGGATTTCCATTTAACCCACTAAAAGTTCAACTAGCGGGGGATCTGAGGCCAGCCCAGCCAATTGGTGGTTGGGATTGGTGGTTTCGGAAGGGGGGGGGAGTGACCACAATTTCCTTTTGAAGCCAAAACAGACGTCCACACCACCAATTCGGAACATGGCGACTTTCAGCAAACGGAAGCGCTTCCCCCTCAAGCTTTGGTGTTTGATTTGTGGCCATTGGGACCCTAAGGTTTCCGGAGCACTGGCTTGGAAGTTGTATTGGGCTTGCCCTTTTCAACATTTGCTTCCGAAAGCCAATGAATCCCAAAAGCCAGGCTCAGCGTTCCCATTTGCGGGAACACACAGAATCAGGAAAGCCCAATTTGGAGACTCCTCCAAAACCATTTGATAGGTTCTCGAGTAGGCCAAATAAGCCGCTCTGAAAGTATTTTGTTTTAGTGTACCCACATGTGAACCAAGTAATGGGAGTTTCAGTAAAGCCTATATGAACCTTCATAACCTTTTCGTAGAACCAGAGATTACCCTCCCACCAATTAGCCTGGACCTTGACGGGGGTCCCTTTTAAACGGAATCTGATGTTCCAGGAGCTCCCGAACGTCGAACGGCTCCAGGTGAATTGGGAGGGCCGCCCTGATTTTTTGGGTTCATTTTTTTCTGGCGAGAAGCCCATGGTGCTGAGGACGACCGGGGAGACTTTGGACGTCTTAACCAAGGCGCTGGCGGGCCTGACACCAGGCAGCACAGAGAGAGACGGTGGGCTCGTTGGCGCGTTCTAATGAACCGGTTTCCTTGGGGATTCCTGGAAGGAAACCGTAGATGGTTTTTTCGGGGTCCGTCCAAGCTCTTTGAGGCTTTGCCGCTCGGTTCAAACTTTTTTCAGGTTGTCAGCTTGACTTGGATTTGTGATTTGGGGCTGTGAAACCCTGGCTTTTGTAGAGTAAATGGGAAACCACCCCCTAACCTCCAAACCACCAATCCACAGCACCAATTGGAAGGGAGGTGAGATCGATTGAAATGGATACCAAATAAAAAGCCGAAGCTCTTGCTTGACACGAACCCCAACCACCACTCCAGCTACTTGTTTTTGGCCACTTGATTTGGCTGCTTGCCACCCGCGGAAGGAAGGGGGGGGAGTGGTTTGGGTAATGGACATAGTTTTTGAGTCTGGGGCAAGGGCAATCCGAGCCCAAGTCTTGTGTATTGCAGGCCTTTGTGATGGTTGTTGTTGCTTAGTTCTTGTTTTACGGTCCAATAAAATGGCTTGAGACAGCTCATGGCTTGATTTTGGGTGTTCTCGTTGGCCGTTGGCTGGTCAAGCAGGTAAAGAGACGCTGCCCGTGTGGGATCGAATTATTTTTCAAAGCTACATGGGTGCCTTGTCTTCTTTTGAGGGCATCTCTTTTTCGTGGTTTTAAAAGAACACCAACCGTAAACTACACAGAATGATGGGTCCCTGAAAAAGACACCCCGACATAGCCCCTTCCTGTTCACCGTTTGGTAGCATCGGTATGATTTTTGCTTGCCGATTTGTACAAGTCCTATTAGTTCAACGGTTTAAGGCGCTTGGGTCACGTCAGATCAGGTCAAAGGCTTGAGGAGAACACGCATGTCCTTTTGATCGGCTGGCTGGCACCCATTGCCATCCCAGGGCGCCCGACCCTTCCCAAGGCTAGGTGCCCAAGAGTTGCCCTGATGGACAAGTGGACGCAGCCCCCTGGAAATCTCTTGAATTTTCAGTCCCGCAAAGTTGATTTGCTCAAGCTCCGATGCTCGCCAAGTGAGTTGACATGATGAGATCTGCCGAATTCGCCTGAAAAATCGAGCTCACCATGGTAGAAATTCTTTACCTGCTCTTGGATTCTTTGTTTCAGGTTTTGGACATATTGCAAGCATTTGCAGAGAATGAGATACACGACTGGGTTCTCGCGTTCGAGAGCGAACTTGCGTGCCGAAAGAAACATGCCTTAAGCCGTTAAGGATCAGAACCTGGAGTGACGAATTGGGGTCTACATTTTGTCAACTTGTCAAACCTCAGATTGCAGATGGTCTTGGCTTCCCTTTCTTGGCGGCTCCCAGCCGTCCTTTGTGAGGTTTTAGGGTTTTTGGGCGGGTGTGGTGGTTGGGTTTTTCCATCTAACTCACAAGTTAAACTTTCAGAAGGAGATCTGAGGACAGCCCAGTTTGTATTCCCTTGAACAACAGGCCACGTGTACCTCCAAACGGAGACACGCCACCAGATGTCGCGCTGAGCAATGGAGGGCGCTTGGGAGGATGACGCCAATAACTTGGACTCGTTCCTAGAGGAGGAGGCGAGGATGAGGGTAAACTGGGGGGTCGATGGCATTACTGATTTGGGTGTGTCGTTTTTGTTGCAGGCGACCCTCAATGATGGTGGTGTTCCTTTGGTTGCCCTTTACAACCACAAAAAACGCAAACCCTCGAAAAGAGCATACACACACATTTGGTTTAGAATCGGGTTCAACTGGAGGCCACTAATGTTAACCCCGGATTAATGAACCCCTGGTTGATTAATAGGGGGGTGTCCAATTCCTTTTAGTGGGGATTCATCACTTTTAGAGGGAACACCCCCCTAATAATGGGACGGGTTTAATCATCCAAGCACTCAGATCCTTCAGGTGGGCCCCGGTGACTTCGAGGGCAAAGACGATGATGACGAGTTTGGGGACATCGACTGGTGCGACGTCGAACATGCCGACCTGAAGGCGACGGATCCACCCCAGAGATCCGGTGGCTGGCTATCCCTTTTTCAGCCTTTTTTTCGAGGGGTTTGGAGGGGGGGGGGGTTTGGAGGGGGGAGGAGGGGGGGGGGGAGGCAGTCAAAATTCAGCTGACTATAGAAAAGATTGCCTTTTTCCCATGCCCACTTGGTTTGTGCATGGGTTCAACTATTTATTCATTTTTTTTGTTTGGGGGAGGAGGCCTTTGGAGTCAGCGCCGTGTTTGTTTTTTCCCCACGGCCGAACTGTTGTTTGGGTAATTGTAGGCAACCACCGAAAGCCAATGAAGGTTGTTTGGCTAGAGTATCTTCCCCTAATGTTTGTTGGAAGAGAGAGTGACCGTTCCCTGCCTCACCATCCTGTTTACTCGAGAGCAAGGGATGCGGAAGGAATGGCATCCTACTCTTCCCGAAGCATCCTCAGCCGCGGCAAGCGTCCCCCCAAAAAGGGCTCGGCTTGCCGAAACCATGGGCAAACTATGCCCAGCATTTAGGGTAGACATCCATTTGCTGAAATGACTATGTGCTATTTCTCCAGGGGGATTTTGGAGGGAATCTAGCCCTACTGGACATGTGTCTATGTTTTCAACTTGCGGTCTAGACTATGGTGTCCGCTTGTGGGTATGCCGAACTTGTTTGACAGAATTCCGCGGACAGACAAAGTGACAGGGGTGACAGCTTTATGGACCTATCTGCCTTCAAGTTTCAAGGGGCATACCCCAAAAGCTGGTGATTTTTAGAGGAAACGGATTTGGGTCCCGGATCCCGGACCTTCCGTTTTGGGGAAGGTCTAAGCGTTGGAAGCCTTCGATGGTAGAGCCAAGGGACGAACCCTGCCAGGACGATGTGGTCGAGGAAGAAGCTGGGAAGAAGGGCCGCTTGCTCAGACGATGGCTCGCACCTTCCGTTGAGCAGCGGAACATCGCAAGTTTCCACTAGGACAAACCCCTCGAAGCATCCAATTGAACATAAGGCGGTTCCCCCTCGAAGCACCCGGCATGTTTCCGGGATTTTGAGCCAGTGTTTCCATCCTTTGAGAGGCCAGGGTCGACATTCGACCCTGAAACAAGTGACTAGGTGTACTGGGTCAAGCTTTCCAAAGAGGCCCTTGGAAGCTGCGTCAAAAGTCATAAGCCCAGTTCAAAAGGTCCCAAACCATGTTGAACCACCCAAAGATGTTGTTTGCCAATTGTCATTTGAGCACACTTGGGGTAAAACGAGCGAAAAGTCATGGTAGGTCGCTCACTTGCTCAATCCATATTTCAAGTTTTGGAATTTACTGTACACAGTGCAAATCCATTGCTTGGATGACCACCCCATTTAGTTCTTAGTGCCGGCAGATAGCGTTTGTTCCTCATATTGGGGCGGTCCACTTTGTAAGATGTACAGGTGAGTTGTCCTTGAGTTTGTCAGAAGCAACACGTGTTGCAGAGGCCTTTTCTCAAAATGCATCCCCAAAAGTGCTTGTTTTCCAGTTATTGGTTTTCATTTAAGAATCAACCAAAAGAGGCTTCCCCGAAAATGACCCACTTTACGACGGTTTCGACGCCGCAAGCTTTTCTCTTTCAACAAGGCTCGACGGGTGAAGCTATAGCTGAAGACGTCAAGGCGGCCAAGCAGAAGCAACTCGGGCGAAGAAGCTTTTGCTTCGAATGCTAGAAGTACTTTGATGCCTTTTTAGGGGACCGAGGTTCTTCTGCATAACTGCATAACACGTTCGACGTTTCACACCTTGCCGAACTGTGGTGTGTTCCTGCTCACAACGTAAAGCAGTATGTGCATATATATATATATACAGCACACCTTGGCAGTGTTTCTTGGTGGTTTGAAAGGGACTCCAAAAGGAATCATTTGGCTGTGGGTCAAAACTAGGTACCCCAACTGGAACCCTAGTAGTGGAAGCATGGACCAAAACCTGCGGTCCCCGGGTCGCCCAAAGCCACCGACTTTCACCCCCGGCCTCGAGCGAGGCGAGGAAACCGCGGCCCAGAGGCGAAAGCCTTGCGCCAGCAAGCGGTGCAGCAGTTCACGACTTTGGCGCTGTCGCTTGGCTCGACGTTGGAGGTGGTTGGAGGGTCTCAAAACCTGGCTGGGCCCGGAATTACAGCGTCTGGGTACTGGAAATATGTGGTTTTCCAAGGGAGTATCCGCAAGTGGAAGTTTGGGACCGGGAGCCTATTGCCATTTGCTTTCTGACCTTGTGGGCATAGTTGAAAGGTTTGCCAACGATCTGTATTGAATGCAAGGACTCTGAGTTTTAAGAGGGAACCACCTCACATGTGGTTGGTGGACATACATCCCCATCGATTCTTGATATCCAGAGTGTCCCCAATCAAAACTCAATCTCAGTACGAACTTACTGGTAGATGTTTGGACATCTTTGGCTGCTCAAGCAACCTGAAGAGTCATGGCTATGCTACCGTTGCGAAATCCGTTCGCACCACGAAATAACACCACGGTTGACACCACAACGTTTGTTGGTATTTATGTTGGGGGAATCGAATCATTCCAGGGTGTCTTAGGGAGGTGCGAAATGGATTTCGCAACCATCCACAGTATGTGGCCATCATGTACATCCTATGTACCCACTATGTAGGTAGGGATCTTGACTCGATCTTGGCCTTGGCACGCTTGGGATCATCTTCCAAGCTGAAGGGGTGGTTTCCCATGCATCCTCTACAAGAACCGAGAGTCAAATCCCAAGACTGAAGTTTGGAACCCCCAAAATGGCTTCGGTCGCCCCCAGCAAGTCCCGACTCTCAACAAAACATGACACACCCATATGCTTTTACCCTCTGATTCAGGGTACCCTTTTGGTAGGTGAACAAAAGGGATACCAAAAGGAATACTGTGGCCAATGTCGGAGTACCCTCAGAGAAGACACACCCAACATGAAGCCATTTCGCAGGATCTTTGGATGTGCTGCTTCTGCTTTTCCCTTGGCTCTCTCGAGCAACACGCGGGTGTGTCATGTATGTATGTGTGTGCGTGTTTTTTTTTGGGGGGGACACGCAAATTTGTGGTTTTCCTTTCGGTTTTCCTTTAAAACGGAAGAAACATAACCATTTGTAGCACCAGGACCCTCGTGGGGGGGACCCCCGAAAACCTGCAACGCCTCAAACGGCGCGCCCAGGTGCTTCATCGCTCGCCTGGCCTGGCTTAATGAGCAGTGCAACTCCCCGCTGCTGCAGGCGGCCCTGCTCTCGCGCCTCTCCGAGGCCCCCGACGCGTCTCGCGTCTCCGGGCGAAAAACACGCGGTTCGGAACTTGGGCGGTCGGAGGGCCCGAATTATTCGAAGCCGCAGCCCATGTGTTGTTTTGTTTGTTTCCTGAAGGGAGCAAGGGTGAGCAGGAACTGGCAGTGGATCTGTTTTCCCACAAAACAGGCAAACTCTAGAGGAGGGCTTTTTGGGGAGCGAAGGGGCGGGATTTGGTCATCTATGTTACCACAAATGAACAAGCAAACAAACAAAATGGAGGTTTCCAGTCAGCAGCCAGGAAGTGAGCAGCCATTTATTGAGCAGGAGTTTGTTATCTATGTTGCCACAAAACGGATCGCAAAGGAGTAACATGGAGGTGTCCAATCACCCAGTTTAAGTTGTGCCCCTTTGAAGGGGTTGTATCAGCGAGACAAGTTTTAAATCGTGCTTGATAGTTGCTTGTGGTGAAGCCAAAAGTGGTTCAAACAAAGAAAACATAGTCGCCTTGAGCAAGGCTCCCTGTGTTTTTGGTTGCCCATGTGAAGGTGAATTGCCTTTTGATATGGTGATGTTGAAAGGGGAATCTAGGGGGCTTGCTTGACCTGGTTTTCAGGAATCCAAAAGGATGGACAGAATCCATTTCGCACCAGATGAGATGGAGAATACTGGGGGAAAAAAAACACCACCTACCAGCTGCTGCGAAGCGGATTTTGTCTGTCCACAGTCTGCTTGTTGTTTCTTAAGCCCAACGGACCCAAGCCGGAATGCTAAAGGAGGCTAACAGTGGAGAAGACCAGTCTGATGGCTGGTGACCCGCTGTTGGCCTAGGGGTTGTTTAATTCGATATGTGCCGGTTGAATTCGCAACAGTAGTCACAATGAAGTTGACAGTGGGGGTTCGGGGTTCAGGGTGGTTTGTTCAGGGCCCAAGCCAAAAGAGCCACTGAAATGGGCAAGCAGTGGTTTCACAGGGACCCTTAAACGAGCAACCACACTAGCAGCAGCTCTTTCTAAGGCTTTCTACTGTCCATGACCCTTCAAAAACGGGGCCATCCCCCCCTTTCTTAGGCCCCATCGTGAAAGGTTAGAAGGAGACTCGATCGAGGTGATTCTGGACGTGTCCCGGGCCCTTGAATTCTGTTCAACATATTCTCTGTGTGTCTTTTCTTAGACCTCCAACATGGGCGATCTTCCTTTCAGTTTCTCTTTCAAAGCCACCAACAAGGGGGGTATCTATGGCTGGTCTTCTTGTCCAAAACAGATACACCTGGAGTCTCTGTGACCCTTTAACAATGGGGTCATGACCCCATGATTTTGGGTGATGGCCCCATTTTTTCCGGGGTGATGGAGACTCCAGGCACCCGTTTGCCTGTTCTCCGGGCTCAGGGTCCACCCCACGTTTCGGGAGTCGCAGGCTGAGCTGGACCTGCCAAAGCGCCTCAAGGAGCTTAAGGAGCTCAAGGCGAACGAAGCGTAGCACGTCGCCTGGGATCTGGGTATGGGTCAAAATTTAAAACCACCAGGAATCGGACCACGGGTTTTAGCCCATTTTCCATTTACCAGGGCAGCCCATTTTGGGTGCCGATTTTTGACCCACGGCCATTTGAACATGCTCCGAATCACTCGGGAGCCCATGGGGCGAACGATTTGGACCCACAGCCATCTGGGCCATTGGATGGACGAAATCCTGACCGGAATCCAAAAACACCGCTTCGCTCGCTTGGCCATGGTCTTTGGAAGGCCTTGGTCAACACACAAATCCTAATTACTGTTGCGAAATCTGTGCGCACCTCAGAAACCATGGTTGAAACCATAGTGACTGTTGGTACTTGCAGGGGAATCGAATCATTTCAGGGTTTCTTAGGTGGTGCGAAATGGATTTCGTCCATCCACATGGGCCCGGTAGCTTGTCCTTTTTTAGGAATGGGACAGCCAACAATTTGGCGCAACGAGTTTCCCCAGACTTTCTACCGGGCGAGTGTGTGAATGGCGATATGCTTGGGCCCTCAGGGAATACTTGGAGCATATGTGGAAAATTACGTATGGCAGATCTTCAATCCGAGTTCGCGGAGATGTGGTTGAGACACGCCGATGCAGAACAAGAGAAGCGATACCCTCCTGTCCACTCGCCATGGGACCCACCAGAGTCCATCTTAAAGGAAAATGGTCCTCCACCCCTGAGTCAGGTTCCACACAAGTGTACCCTTCAAGAAGGGATGGGAGGTGGGTTGCAGTTAAAAGAAAGGGCACTCAGTTGTTCAGTGGCTCCCTTTTTCCTTTTTTTGGGTGGCTGCCCCACTAAAAGTGTCTTCCCAAAAAAGGGTTCCCTTTTTTTCCCAGGGTCACTGAACAACTGAGGGCATGGGAGGCGGGTTTTGGTGGGTTGCCTTCCTTACAGATACCATGTGGCTATGTCTCATGTAGCTGACCCAGGATGTCTCATGCTGACCCCAGATCCGCGGGACTCGCGTCCGCATGGCTCCAGGCTTCAACCCAAGCGCTCCAAGTGCCGGAAACGAGCCTCACGGCCTTGCTGGCTGCCCTCCAAGGCAGGGAGTGTCCGAAAGCAAATGCCGAGAAACGTGGTCCTTCTGAAATAATTTCTTTCCTTCAAAAAGGGGATGGTTGTCCTTTGGGTTTCCCCAGAAAAGAAGACATGACGCAAACGGCTTTCTGTTCTCCCGTAACCAAACAAAAATCGACGAGAGATGGCTCCCACACCTCCGTGCCAGAGGCGGCCCGGCGAGCAGCGAGGTCTTGGCCATGCTGCTGGTGGCCTCCTGCCGCGCGAGCGGCGCCTGGGCGCGGCTGGCGCTGGCGCTGCCGCTGCCCGGCGCCAAGGAGAAAACGCGGGGGAGGCGAAAACGACGACGCCGGAGCGCGGGGCGAAAACGCGGCGGCTGGAAACGGGATGCGAAAAGGAGCGACTTGTCCTGGGGGTTCCCTTTTAAAACCACGAGAGATGGGGGTTCCTCAACAACACCAAAGACTCGGAAATCGACCCCTGAATACTTCTCAACATGTACTTCGGGAACATGGCCAGCAGGCCGAATTGGCCAGCGGCACCGACCGCTTGGTCATCTGCTTAGACAGGATCGCGGCCGCTGGATCATCCTGATCCATGGCGCTTCTTTCATTGTTGTTTTCTTTTAACTCAGAGGCTCCGATCGGCTTCGGCCTTCGATGGAAGACCCGACCCCGAAGCATTAGACACCCAGGGAATTGGTGAGGCTCCGATCGGCTTCGGCCTTCGATGGAAGACCCGACCCCGAGCATTAGACACCCCGGGAATTGGTGGTTGGGACCAGGTCTCAAAACCAGGTTGCTTGAAGGCCCCAAATCAATCGGGAGCCTAACAGTTTAACTGGTTGCAGGGTACCCCTTTGTTGGAGGCGGTTTTCCTTCAACATCAAGTGAAATAACGGCTGTTACATGGCCAAATCGATGGCCGTTGGTGGCTCCTGGCAACTGCCCCAGTTGAGCAAAAGCGACAATTTGAATACCTGTTTAATGAGTTCTGAAAATTCGGTTCCTTTCTGATGCGAAAAGCGCGTGATTGTGTATTGGTGCAAGCGATCGGAACACGTTTTATTAAAGCCCGTCTCCGGCCCCCCTGAATTTGGTGGGCTGTTATTGGGCGTTTGGAAGATGGACAATCCAAGAACATGGCAAGTTGCAATCCCCCCACTTGGCTTGTGACCCACAGTGTAGGCTAAGTCACGGGAAGCCCAGTTATTTTTTTTGTGCGATTTAGATACGATTTTGATATGATTGGAAAGCATGGTTTTGTTACGCCGGTTTTACGATATTTTTACGATATGGGATCAGGAAATTGGAATTTGTTTCAACAAAAAAAGTAAACTAATGGAAATCGTATTAAAATCGTATTGAAATCGTATTAAATTTGTATTAAAACCGTATTTTTGCGATTTTAATACGATTTCAATACGATTTGAATACGGTTTCTAATACGATTTTAGTACGGCTTTTTGCACCCCCTGCTTTCAAGTGCATGTCCAATGTGTAAAAAAAACGTAACAAAAACATAAATGTTACAGGAGTCGTATTGAAATCGTAAATCCGAATCGAAAAAAAATCGTAATGAAAACATAAAACTAAATATTCAGGAAAATGCTAGTTAGGCTGACAGCGTAGGTCACAACACTTGGCCCCGTACTCAGTGAAAGAGCCTGGGAAACAGGTGAGAGCTCTGATCGCCTCACCAGGTCAACGCCGATACTTCCATACTGTATGGATGTATGGATGTATGGATGTATGGATGTATGGATGTATGGATGTGTGGATGTATGTGTGCATGTGTGTATGTGTGTATGTGTATGTGTGTGGGTGTATGTGTGTGGGTGTGTGTGTTTTTGTTGGCGGGGTGGCCCTTAAAGGGTAGACACACTTGCATTTTGTTCGCACGCGAGCGCGAGGACTGCGGATCCTTGCTCAAAGGACCGGCCGGGACCGGTTTTCATGTGGCCAGGGCTAAGAATGTGTTCTCGATTTTCCCCTTGTCTTAAAGAGCATGATTTTCCCCCCTTTCACTCCTTCTTTTCCCCAGGGGACTGGAGTTAAGGTTTGATGGCAAGGTTTGACGATCTAGTGCGTAGGACTTGCCTTCTCTCTCTCGCCGAATGCATAGCGTCAGGGCGCGTCGCGACCAAAAACATGCAACAGGCAACCACGTTTATCCAAAGTGCGGCTGAACCTCAGGCTCAGCGTCGCAATGGGCACGGCAAGTGCCAAAAGCCACCGGAGCCGATCCTTCGCCATGGAGGTGTTGCCACTGCTTGCCAAGAAAACCGTGCTGATGTTCGGGGAGTCATGCCAAAGGTACACGGAAGCAACGAATGTGTTTTGTTTTTTTGGCCGTGCCGGTGCAGGGCTCCTTAAAAGATCTCCATTTTGCCCATTTGAAACATGGCTTTTTCCACCAACATACAGGGAAACCACCATTTACAAAACAATATTCAGGTGTATAATGTAAGGATCCCTGTTGTGCTTCCCCATGTTCGATGTGTTACGAACATGTAATTTGCTCAAGTCCATTTGTAAATCCAAGCTTGGGAAGTCTGAAGCCGTTTGCGGCGGTGCGGTCTGTGGCAAGCCTATAGGTTTTTAAGCAAGCTAGGGCCCAGCAATGCAGCAGTGTTTCCTTTTGGTTTCCCTTTTTAACAACACCAAAGCGTGGGTTCCAATGCAATATCTTGTGAGCGACACAGAACACGAACTCTTTTCACAATTAGACCCTCAAGACAGTGCAAGCCCAGAAAAGCAGGAAAGACCTCTGAGAATAAACCAGGGTATTCATCGGGCTTCCCTCCTTCCCGTTCGAACCACTTGATGCCGTGAGTGTGGGTGTGCTTCTTTACCCCATGGCTTCCCTCATTCCCTTTCGAAACACTTCCCCATGGCTTCCCTCATTCCGTTTCGAACCAATTGATGCCGTGAGTGTGGGTGTGCTTCCCTCATTCCCTTTCGATCCAATTGATGCCGTGAGTGTGGGTGTGCTTCCCTCATTCCCTTTCGATCCAATTGATGCCGTGAATGGTTTCTTTTTCCCTTTTCATCAAACCGAGACGAATCGGAAAGCCAGGCGCCGCGCTGCCGGCGAGCGCGCTGTGGGCGGAGGTCTTCCAAGGCAAATGGCGCGGCGTGACGCCACCAGACGGAGCCCAAGGCCGCGAGGGGCTCCGCTGGCCGACAAAAGGTTCAACCTTCAGGTTGCGCCCTCTCTCTTTTGTTTGGTTGGTTTATTGGGAGGCTTACTGCTGACCCCTGATTCACGCACTCCCCACTGATTATTAAGGGGGGTCCCTTTTTGGTTGGGAATCCTTTGTTCCTGTGGGAACCTCTGATGCACAACTGGGCTGGGGGGGGTGGGTAATAAGTCAGGAGTCAACATGGATGGCTCTTCTCTTTTAGCAACCAAACCCCCCAAAATTCGGCCCTGTCCGGTTGGGGGTGCCAACCGAAAGCCGAGCCGACGTGGCCGTGTACGACTTATTTTTTGACGGCAGCCTGCGTAGGTAAAATGAACAAAAAACCGACCCTCAGCTCCCAGGTCCCAACCAGTGCCCTTTTTGGACTTGGGATTTCATGGGAAGATGCCATTGCTGGGCGTGCTTGCCACTCCCCATAATCTTGTAAATTCTCCAAATGCCAAGATGTGATGGAGAATCCGACACCCAGTCCGGTTCCATTTCCCCCGGCATTTGACAAGTGGCTTTTCGAACGAACTTCCCGTTCCCGTCGACTGCTTGTCCCATGTCCAAAACCCAAAGTGTCCAACAAGCAGTCCGTAGTTCGGTCACCAAATCCCCGGTGGTTGTTTTGTTTAAAGGCTAGTTGTTTTCGTGCAATTTGCAGATGTTCCAGGCTTCTTTTTGAAATTCCTTGGGTTTGGACTCTTTGAGTAGTAGATCAAGAGTTTGAATCTTTTCTGGCGAATCCACAAAACTGAGCAAATCCAAAGTTTGGTTTTTGCCACGTGAAGTCCTTCTACCGGCTTTCGCTTTCGGAGCTGTTCGTCGCGCCGCGTTGGGCGCCGCTGGGCCGCTCTCGGGCGCCCGCTCGGCTCGGATCGGATCGAGATCGCCAGGTCGGGTCTGGGTGCTGGCCATGGGCGAGGCCGGGGACTGCTGGGACGTGAGTTGTCGCTACAACCGCTGGAGCGCCATTCTGGAGGCCGGGCGATGCCAGAGGGGAGGGGAGGGGCAGTGGGGTGCCCAAGGTTTTGGCCGGGCGGAGCTCTACTCTTTGTGTTTTTTTTGGGGGGTGAACAAAATGTGAAAGAGTCGGAACATAGGATGTTCTGTGTGCTCTGGATGTTGACCGTGAGTTGAGCAGGTTCTTGACAGCCTCTACAACCCCTGTACAAGAAAGGTTGGCTAGCAGAACGAAAAGTCGCTGGGTTTTGGGCGCTGCTCAAGAACGGTGAGAGAAAGGGGGCTCCCGTGAGTCTTGCTTTCGCCCAACGAGGCATACATGGGTTACGATGGTGTTTGCTACTTGATTGGGTTATCCAACTTTTTGTTAGTGTTTGCCAAACCAACTTGCGCAGGCGGCAACATCACCGAGAGTTTGTTTAAGCAAAAGGAGTTTTTCAGGCATACTGTTGATGCACCAATCCTGCACCAGTTGATAGATGCTTTCTCCCATTCACAGGGCTGTCCCGTTCGTCCATCCCAGGTGCAAAGCGGCTGTTGTCCATCCAGCTTTAAGAGTGGGTCACTCCCTATGTTTCCGATTTCCCTGCAAAGCCAGTTTAAACATTGCTTGGACCAATAGGGGCTGGTTGTCCTCTTTACGAACGACATATAGCGATCCAACCCCTCAAAAGCCAACTCTTCCATTCTTGATTTGGGACAGGGATCTCGAAATGTCCGACATAAAGCTAGGGACAAGCAATCATGTTATGTCTAGGGGAAACCTGGATATGTTTGAGCATGACCCATATGAACCCCTGGTACAAAACCCAAATGTCAAATGTCTCTCTAAATTTGGGGGTGTTTTTCTCTGAGGGTGCCCTTTTTGAGGTGGCTTCTCTCGAACAAGTGAAAAACACCCATTTTCAGGCGCCAGCCGAGGCGCGCGGCTCGCTGCACCGTCTTTGGACCCAACTTCTGCCAGCTGGGAAGGAGGCGGCGCAATTGGGCGACTACGCGGCGGCCAACGAGGCCGTTGGGAAAACATGATATCGTCCCACCCTTTTCTCACTTGTTCAGTGGCTCCAATTATTTTTCCAACTTTTTTCTGGTGGCCGCCCCACTAAAATGGTCCAAGCCCAAAAAGGGTTCCCTTTTTTCCCAGGGTCACTGAACAACTGAGGATAATTCCTTCCCACCCTTTTTACATGGAACCTGACGTTTGGGGGTCCCTTTTAAAGGCAAAATGGTCCAATCCGAGACCCCCTGTCAGGTTCCATGTTGATTGGCGGGAGACTAGTGATCAGGGACTGGTGTCGTGTGTCCTGTCTATGCACCCCTGGCTCCAAACTCCCATGCAAAGCGTCAGGGTATGCTCAATTGGTGCACCCTTACGGTGGACTATGGCTGGACTTTTCAATCATACCTTCATCCTGGAAAATAATCCAGGCAGGCGAGCTTCAGAAACTTCAGTTCTTCACCGGATCATTTTTCCCAGACAACCATACACCCACTTCAACCGCCAGCACACCCTTGTAAAAATGGGGTTGCAAGGTAAACTCAGTCTTCAGCATGCTCTCACTTCCTAGCTTGCACTTTGGAGTCCGGGCCATCTTGGCGAACGAAAAAAAATTGGACTCGTGGGCAATCCACTCACCATGGTTTGAAGAGGTCTGTGGCCCAGAATCTGAACATCTGGGGCCAAGACTTGGAGATCCTTACATCTGTGAGTTATGAACGTAAATGACCCAAGATTGGGCCAAGGTGTCTACATCCGAAGGTGCAATTGTTCCCTGGAACATAGAGGAATCCAGAATAGGTGTGATTCTAAAGGCAACCAACGGAACCCAATCAAATCACCAAACGGTGGAAATGGCGAAGGATTACTATGGCGTTGAGCTTTTCACCTTTGATTTCCCCATGTTAGTCTGTATTTTGTCAAGGTCAAAGAAGGGTAACCTTGTATTTCCAGGTCCTAACTGGGCAACTGAGACTGGGAAGGGAGACCCTAAGGACTTGATCTTTCACAAGCCTTCGGACGGCGAAATTCCACTGGGAATCCTGGCTTCCAAGGTTGTGGATACAAAGTGGGCGCTGGCTTACAAGGCTGCAGTTGAGGAAGTTAAGTTGAAGAGATACATGTTCACTGATGTTGGCAAGTTTCTGGGTTGGTTTGGGCTGTTTTGTTGGTTCTGTTCATTTTCAGCAGGCTGCAAGAATCAACGTGTTTGCAAGCCCATACCAAGGGTTGTAAGGACATGAAGGACACCTTGTTTGAAGGATGATCCGGGATAACCGGAAGCCCGGACCCCAGTGGCACCCTTGGTTTCCATTTTTGTTGGAAAGGGTTCTCCTTCGAAGCTCCAGCAGCTGGCTTCTTTTTTCCCCATCCACTGGCTGGTTGTGTGATAGATTCTGTTCCTTTCAGTAGGTGCATAAAACTTAAGGTGTTTTTTGACCCGTCAGGAACCCGAGGTCTCAGGTTTTGCCGCTGGATCAAACCGATACGTCGGGAGGCGGACGTGGCGAGGCTGCGGAGCTTGCGGCGCCAGGAGCCTCTGCCCAAGTCCAAGGCCCAGTTCCGACACCACCAGGCGACGAATGGAGTCACAAACTCGGGCGTAGCTTTTCTTGACTGCTATTGGGTTGGATCTTTGGACTTCAACTTTTTGGTTGAAATCAAGATGTATATGTCTTGATGGATATTGGGTTGGATCTTTGGACTTCAACTTTTTGGTTGAAATCAAGATGTATATGTCTTGATGGATATTGGGTTGGATCTTCGGACTTCAACTTTTTGGTTGAAATCAAGTTGGGTTTTCCACTAATCCCCCAAAAAGTTGAGCTTTTTGCAGGGGGGTCAACAGCAACCAAGGTTTCCAACATTTTTGGTCCTTGGCTTCATTTGAACCAGAAGATTGATTCCCCCTTCTTTCCGGGATGCTCTTCCAGGGTGTTTTTTGTCCTTGGCTTCATTCACCATCCATTTTAGGTACCTATCTCTGTCCCACAGCCATTTGAACCCCCATTCTTTCCAGGGATGTTTTTGCAGGGATTTGATGTGGCAGTACTCTTTCCAGGGATCCTGATGAAAAGAAAACCTCGCGAATCCCAGTGAATACGACGGTTTTCGGAAAGAACGGTGGTTGAAAATGGCTCCTCGACAGAAATAGGTAGACAAAATCCAATGACACCAAGGACGAAATGTGCGGTTGTGGTTGGAGTTTTGACCCATACGCAAATGGCTGTGCCTTTTTTTAAGGGCACCCTTTTTGGGGCGTAGGGAACCAGAAGGACCACCAATTTGCAGGGTCGTGGAATACCCAAAATGGCATCGGTGTCACTTTTGGCTTGCCAAGAAAACACAAAGAAAGGAGCACCGAGGCTCAAACAAAGACGGACCAAAATGGGTATAGATCGTGGTGTCCTTCTGGGGTCTCCAAATTCAGATTAGACAACCATGATTTTCTGTGTACCGCAAATTTGTGGGCAAAGTTGTGGACAGGTTGTTTTGGGGATGGCTGGGAAGCTTCCTGTTCCCAGTCTCTTTTTCCTCAGGTAAAGCTTTTAGAGAGGTTTGGCCAATATTACAGGTGGTCTTGGTTTTACGAGAATGCAACCTCTCTCCAACCCCCAAGTGAAAGCAATAATTGGATGACACGTACGGGTTCTGTCTTTTTTTTATTGGGATGCTTGGCGCTCATTTGCTCAGAACCCGCTCATCAGAACCCGGCAGGTCTAACAAATACGTGTCATGATGTCCTTGTCGTGAAGGTTTTAGTTGAAAACGTGGTTGTTGTTGGGAAACGTGTTTTTTTGGCGTTTTTTTTTTTTTTTTTTTTTTTTTAACATTTTTGCTTATTGTGGTTTAGTGGTTGAAATCCCCACTTAACTGCTAAGATTTAAATGTTTGCTCCCCTTCCAACGTCAACCAAGACATGGTGAGCCTCCTTTTGGTTTCGTTAAACCAATCGTTAGAACCCGATTATTGGAACACGGTTTGGATGCCAATCCATCCAACCCCTAAGCCACACTGAACCACACACACACACACCTCCCGAACCAACCTAAACTAATCCGAGTGTTGTGGGGTACTCCAAAGACCATTCTTAAGCAAGACAGGAGAACGATTTGTGCAATGATTCGCGCTTATGCACCACAAAACCCAGCTATCCAACCATTACATCCCCATCTTGTTGGAGCCCTAGTCTCCTTTTGCCACCAAGTGGAACGGGGTTGTTAACTGAAAAAGAGGACGAGCTCGATTTGTCCAGGCGGCTCATAACCGGCGGTTTTCAACCAGGCCGTTCCTCTTCGGAGTCCCTTTTAAAACGTCCACAAATTGATTTGGGTGTGTCTGAAAATGGGATTGGAACCTTCCCTTGGGTTGGTATTTCGACGGCCTGGCACAACGCAGTCGATGATGCGGTCTCCAAGTGTGTCTTCTTTTCAGAAGCAGTTTGCGATGGAAGATCTTCCGAAGGCTGGTGAACCATTGCCCACTTCAACAAAGTCATGCTCCAGATCAGATGCGCGCAGTACCTGTTCAATTTGCGGAGCACCACTCAAACCAGGTCAGCCTTCATGGTCTTCTTGTACGTGGTTGATCATCAGATCTGTCTGATTTGATCGCGCAGGGCCTTTGCGTGGTGGTTGCAGCCCCTACTCGCTTTGATTTGGCAATCGGCTGGATTCGGCTGCACGCTTGAGTTGTGCCGCCAACGGGTGAGCCTCCGTAAGAGCAGCCAGCTAGGTGTCCTGTTGCAACCCACAAGGTTAGCAACCACAAGCTGTCGACCACTGTTTTCCATGTGATTACCCACGTTGTGCCAAGCAGGGCCGCTTGGCTCAATTCAAACATGTTGCGGCATTTGTGCCACCAGCCATCAAAGCAGCTCCTGCTTTTCCTGCCCAAAGGGGCAAACTGCAGGTTTTGGTCCATGTTTCCACTTACCAGGGCAAGCCATTTTGGGGTTACCCGGTTTTTTTAGCCACAGCCACACCAAGCGTCGCAGAAACCCGGAAAGCCAGATCTCCCCACTCGGCTGGACCAAGGCTCATCGTTCCAAATGGATCTGGGCCGGAGATCAACCCCAATTTTGTTTGGTTCTCCGTTTTTCGGGAATGAACCTGGGGATCTGGACTGTGGACGAACGAAATCCTGCACCTAAGACACCCTGGAATGATGCTTCCCCTGTAAATACCAGCAAACGGTATGGTTTCACCATTGTTTCATTTCGTGGTGGGGTCTCAGATTTCGCGGACCCATCCACAGTATGTTAGGACTTTAACTTTTGTCAACTAATGGGTTTTCCATTAAACCACTAAAAGTTAAACTTGCAGCAGGGGAGCAGAAAGCAAACGAGAGTAGTTTGAAGCAACGGCCCACGCTTCTCCAAATCGCTCTGGAGGTCTTCATCTTGCAGTCCCTGCTCCGCCAGGCAGATGAATTGGTTCCGCTCGCGGCCGGAGTTCTTGGATGACCATTTTTCACTCCGAGAAGTGAGCTTTGAGGAAAGTTTGGAGTTTTGGCAAATCCACTCAGGAAGTGATCTTCCCAGCCCTTGTTGCCTTTTTTTGGAGGGGGGTTACCCTTTGAAATTGAGTTCCAACAAAAGAGTGGCGATGGTTTTTGTCCCCGGAAGTCTGGGTGGTGGTACACAAAGAGTTTGGACTTTTGTTTGGCAAATCCACTCAGGAAGTATTTCGGGATCAAGAGGGTCCAAATGCGAACACGAATGCTTGCAGATCCCCAACCTGTTGACCCTGCGACGTGGAAGCTCATGCCGCATGGATAGTGCACTCCACGGGGTATTTGATCTGCTTCTGTCCAAAACCTCCTTTGTGCTGGCTTACTAAAAGCCATTGTTTTTGTGGGGATTATTATGAACGTCTTTCCCCTTTTCCGGTGGTCGTTTAAAGGGACGCAGTCCATTTAGATGGCCACTAGTCAGACCCGTGTTGTTGGACTGCTCGATGCATAGTCCCAGGATGAGATGGTGAACAGTGGCGCTAAGTCTGTGGGGCTGTTCCAGGGCAAGGAGCCTATTTGGCTACGTGAGGACAGGGATGTTGGATTGCAGCTGGTGCGATAGGTAGGGAATGTTGAAATGTGGATGGTTTACAATGGTCATTCCATTTCTCATTCCCTGCCTATTGCACCAGCAAGTCTTTGCCGTCGGTATGTTTGGGCTAGGACTTGGACAGAAATGAACTTAGACCAGTGATCTCCACGTCAGGAGTTTGAACCATGTCGCGTGTGAGCAACTGTCGGTCTTATTGGTGGCCAATCCGGCGCCGGGCCCAGTTTCCCCTTGACAGTTTCGCACAGGGAGCCTCCAAAAGTGGTAGTGCTTCCTGTGGCGTGTTTTGGGCCAAGGTGAACAGTTTACCCTCCAAACAAATCGCAAACACGGCGCTTGCACGCACACGCAGACACACACAGAGACGCAGACATGGCTGTGGCTCAAAAAAACGGTACCAAAATGGAACCCTGGTAAGTGGAAACATGGAGCAAAACCTGCGTAACCCCTCCTGTTTAATTTTGAGCCACACCCACATCTTTCTCATGTGTCTCATGTTTGCGCTGCGAGGACGTGTCCAGGCTGCGTTCCGCGGTGCAGTGGCGTCGAGAGGGGCGGGCGGTGCGGGACGCGGAGCGCCCGGTGAAGAGCCTGCGGCAGAGCTTCTGGGCAGCTGAGACCTCAGCCCCAAGGAAAACCCCGGGGCTGAGGATGAAAACCCCGTTGCACCAAACTCCTGGCCTTTTGCTGAGGATGGGTCGATGGGTCCATGGCTCTTGGCCCACTTGTCACAGGGCTCCTTAAAAGATCTCCATTTTGCTTGCAACCATTTGAAGCATGTGGCATTTTTTCACCCAGATAAGGGGAAACCACCATTGACATGGCAATGTTCAGGTGTGCAATATAAGGATCCCTGTAGATTTAGGTTAGTAGATAGTCCCCACCAAAAATTGGCGCAGCCGTCGTTTTAATTCTTTACATGGTTCTGGGTAGACCAGTTGAATATCAAGTGTTGATTCTGACTCACCTGAGGAATTAGAGGGAATCCAAACTCACGGTGGGAAAAAGAATCGGCGCTCTTGTGTTGGTTGGTTCTGAAGCGAACCCTCCCAAAAAAGCTGAAAGAAATCAAGCCAACTGGGCTCCAAAGATCAAGCGTCTGCTCGCTATGAGTCAGTTTCCCTTTGTGGGAATCTTGGGGATAAGGGGCTAAATACTTTGAATGCGATTGTGGGGTACCCCAATACCAAATTAAGTCAATATCACAGAATATCGTTATTGTTTAGCCCCCTACATATTCGGGAGCCCTGTAGGATTCAAATCGGGGTCCGATTCCTCCCCCCCGAGAAAAGACGTACCCATTGGGAGTTTATCAAAGTGGGATTCGGACCCTTGCATCCCTATTTTGAGAACCCCACATTCTTTTTGGGGGGTCCAAAATGGTGTTTCTTTTTGGTTCCCCTTTAAAACCACACAAAAGGGTTTTCCCCAAAAATGACACCCAGAACAAAAGACCCAAGCTGGACCAAGGCTCGGTCTTCTCTTCGAAGCTTTTCGGGCGGTGGCAGACCGATGCCCTGCCTGAAGCTCCCAAGGCGAGTGAATCGCCTGGGTGCTGTGCTGGATTCGCCAAGTCTCTCACTCTGAGTCCCGAAACGGGACTTGAGTCGCTTTTTGGTTCTGTTTGGACTTGGACCATTTTGATGGTAAACACAAAAGTTCAGACAGTTGTGTTGTGTTTTGTTTTGTTTTTGCCAGCTCCTTCAGGAAGTGAGAAGTTGTTGGTAGCCGTTCGGTTAAAACCCACGTATATGTCCCCCATGAATGTGGGATTATCCCTGCTGGTGGGTTACCCCTGCTGGTGGGTTAGAACCCAAGTGGCGAACTTACTAACTTGGCAAAAGTGCTTTCAGACTCCTCAAAAACCTGAGAAATCTGTAAGTTTTTGCTGGGTGTGTTTTGCTTGTTGAGGATACCCATTTCAGCGACCGGCTTTAAAAGGGGAACCGAAAGCCGAAAGGAAGACCGAACCTATTCCTCACTTGAGCTCATGGACTTGATCCTTTTTGAGAATACCATCTTGGTGGTAAAAAAGACTTTATTTGGCCAACCCACCCAAAAAAAAAGAGAGTTTCTGACACATGAATCTTTGGTGCATTTTGCCTTACGGGATGCTAGGACTGAACCACGTTTTTGCCAACTCATGGGTTGTCGGGAACAACTTGTTGCCAGCGAATTGGGGTTTTCCGGATTAAGCCGCTAGAACTAGAAAAAAAAAACATTTAGCAGGGGTGGACCCATCAAGTAAGAGAAGCCCAAAGCGAGCCTTCGCGTTTTCGTTTTCTGGGCATCCGCCATCCGCCATCCGGTTCCGGCGGCTTGGTAGGGGGCACCGGGGCTGGGCTGGGCAGATGTGTTGGTCTGGGTTTCCCTGCTGAAACTTGGGGCTTTTCGCAGAGCTGGGAACAGCAGAGGAAAAGTTGACTGGACACACACTGGACAAGTGTCAGAACTTTTGAGCATCGTTGCCATACCCCGAAGCTCGAATATTCGCTTTCACAATGGAGCACCTTTGTGAGAATAGAAAAGCAACCCAGAATGTCCCGTCAAGAATCACCTGTACCAATGTAGTTCCTTTACGCTTGTAGCCCGGAAGCCCCTGCCTATGACGGCACCATGCCGTGAAAAGTCCTTACACATCACATATCACACTTTGCCACGGTCTCCGGCCTTTCAATCGTCGGACGCCTGGCTGGTCCAGCACTCTAGGCCAAAGGAGGTGGTCAAGCCTTAGTGCGCCATGGTCAGCACACCTGGGGTTGATGTTGGATGCAGAAACCTCGTTGGTGTCACCCCAAAAAGTGAAGGTCCTGTCTAACTGGGACACACAAACAATTAACCAGGCGTGAAATAGTCCTTTGTTAGGATTAATTACTTCTTCACCGTTCTTCGTATGTGTTTGCGTTTTTCTTGCTTTGTTCTGTTCATTGGAAGTGGGGCTGCAAACAAAACGTGCTTTTGGGAAGACATCGGGCAGTCAGAGCTGCGCACAGGCGGCACCTGTCGTGGGCGGCCCCATCCCGGGCATCAACAACTATGGGAACATCGAGGCGCGGGCCGTGGGATTTGGCTTTGAGATCTTGGCGTTCTGGTTCAGCAGGGGCCCCTTGGTTTTCGTTTCTTGGTTCTCCCTGTCTGTCTAGAGATCAGCATATTCCTGCCCAACCATAGGTGCACTTCCAAATGCGCAAAGGACAGCTCTCTTTCAACGACTATTTAGAGGGCAATTTAAACCGTCCCCCCCCCTACTTGAAACCCTCAAGCCATCCCCACCTTTTTAGCCCCTGGTAGGCAACATCCTGCAGTTAGGCACAATCACAACCAGGGCAAGTGCAGGTCAGTCAAGGATTGCTCCGAACCGCTCGGACGTCCGCCCTCGTAGCTCTTTACATGAGATTTGGGTATACCTTTGTAATGCCGGGTGTTGATTGTGACTCAAATGGGTGTCTTCACCCATCCCTTTCAACAATGACGGAGAGTCTCTTTTTGGTTTTCCCGAAAGCATGGCGAAGGGTTCTTCCGCTGGGTTCACTTGAGTTGTTCTCATGAGAGTCATTACAAGGTGTCATTGCAAGGAATCATCATCATGAAAGTCATTGCAAGGAGTCATTGCAAGGAGTCCTTGCAAGGAGTCATTGCAAGGAGTCATTGCAAGGAGTCATTGCAAGGAGTCATGAGAGTCATTGCAAGTTGCAAGGAGCCAAGTGCATGGAGTCAAGTGCAAGTTGCAAGTGCAAGGAGTTGAGTGCAAGTTGCAAGTGCAAGGAGCCAAGTGCAAGTTGCAAGTGCATGGAGTCAAGTGCAAGTTGCCAGTGCATGGAGTCAAGCGCAAGTTGCAAGTGCAAGGAGTCAAGTGCAAGTTGCAAGTGCATGGAGTCAAGTGCAAGTTGCCAGTGCATGGAGTCAAGTGCAAGTTGCCAGTGCAAGGAGTCAAGTGCAAGTTGCAAGCGCAAGCATTTTTTGCGATTTTGCTTTGGCTCGCGCGGGGATCGGCGTGGTCGAGGTGCAAAAGCTCGAAGTTTTTTGCGACGGAGGACCGGCGGGTCGCGGGTTCGATTCCCCCCTGGTCCGCGGGCGGGCTTCGCAAGCTGCACGGAGCAACTTGCACAAAGCAACTTGCGCAGAGCAACTTGCGCAGAGCAAGTTGCACAGACCATTTTGCGCAGAGCAACTTGCGCAGAGCAACTTGCACAGACCAGTTTGCGCAGAGCGCCTTGCCTAGAGCAACTTGCGCAGAGCAACTTACACGGAGCAACTTGCACAGAGCAACTTGCACAGAGCAGCTTGCACAGAGCAACTTGCAGGGAGCAACTTGCACGGAGTAATTTGCACAGAGCAACTTGCAGGGGCCACTTGCAGGGACCAACTTGCACGGAGCAACTTGCGCGGAGCAACTTGCACGGAGCAACTTGCCCAGAGCAACTTGCGCAGAGCAACTTGCGCAAAGCAATTTGCAAGGAGCAACTTGCACGGAGTAATTTGCACCCAGCAACTTGCAGGGAGCCACTTGCAGGGACCAACCTGCACGGAGCAACTTGCGCGGAGCAACTTGCACAGAGCAACTTGCGCAGAGCAACTTGCGCAGACCAACTTGCACAGACCAGTTTGCGCAGAGCACCTTGCCCAGAGCAACTTGCGCAGAGCAACTTGCACACACTGCAACTTGCACACACTGCAACTTGCACAGAGCAACTTGCGCAAAGCAACTTGCGCAGAGCAACTTGCGCATGTCCCAGGCGTTGGGCCGACCTCGCTTGCGATGTTATGCTTTCGGGCCAACCGTGGTCTAGTTACTGGGAAAAGACTGGGACAGCCACCATTTTTGGGGTTTCAATCGCCCTCGCCCCTTCAAAACTAGCTTCACTAAAGACCCTGTCCCTCCTTTGGACCAACTAATTCAACAACCCTTTTGGAAAGAAACACACAACCCTCTTGTCAAAGGCCTGGTAAGCATTGCCTCCTTTGAAACACATCGTTCAGCGCATCCAACCCCCCTCCCCTTCCCACAAAAACACCAAAAGCCGAGGTGAAGCAGGGCCTTGCTGCGGGCCTGGTGCACCTGGAGGACGAGGCGGCGCGCTCCGCGGCCGCGAAGCTGGGGATGGACTTCGCCCCCGCGGTGGTGGGCTTCCGCAAGGCCCTTTGACGAGTGACGCGTCGGACGTCGGACATCGGAGGCTCCGAGGTACGAGCCACGTCGACCGCAAAATGAAAAAACAATTGGGGGGGGACGTCCAACAAAGGGAACATGGAGTGGCCTTCCCACCTCCAGATTAGAAAGAAAATCCACACAAGTGGGGGGGGTGCCGGGGTGAAAGTCATCTTTTTGGTGGCTTCCCTGATAATCATCCCGTGTAAAGGACCTTTTGAGTTCCTAGACGTAAGCTCCACGACCCTCAAAAATTGCGTCATGACCCAAGAATAAGGGGGCCATGACCCCACGTTTAAAGGGTCATGCAGACTCCAGGTACATTACGCAGGTCATTCAAATCCAGAAAGTAGCTCTTTAGGTCAGTGTCATTCGGGGAGGGGCTCGGGATTTGGAACCAAGTTTTTGGGGGAACCTCGAAAATGGGGATGTCAGTGTTATTCTTATTATTATTATTACTATGATTATTCGTATTATTATTATTATCATTAGTATTATTATTATTATCATTAGTATTGTTATTGTTATCATTATTATTGTTATTGTTAATGTTATTATTATTATTGTTATTACTATTTATTTATTCTTCTTCTTATTATTGTTAATATTATTATTTTCATTATTATTATTATTACTATTTATTATTCTTCTTGATACTATGATTATTATCATTATTAGTGTTTTTGGTATTGTTATTGTGTATTGTGTTGTTGTTATGATTAGTAGTATTCCGCTTATTATGATGATTAATATGATTTTATCATCATTCCCTATTATTATTATCAGTGTTCATTATTAGTATCATATTGTATTTAGTTATTTGTTGTGTTTAGTATTATCTCTATTTGTCTTATTATTTATTGTTATCATTATCATTGTTCACTATTATTGTTATTGGTAGTGTTATTGGTATTGTTATTTTCTTGCTATTGTGTACTGTTGTTACTATTATTATTTGTTACTATCATTATTTGTTACTATCATTATCATGTGTGTTATTTATTTGTCTGACTAATACTATTTATGATTATTTTGAGTATTGTCATTATTGTTATTGTTATTGTTACTATGTGTTCGAGGGTTGTTTTTGGAATCCAACTTGTATTTTTTGGAGAGGCCAATTTGAGGGGTGGTTTTGAAGGGAAACCATTTTGGGAACCACACATGTAGGGGTGGGCCAGAAATCGGGGTCAGACAAGGGGTTTTCCGGGGCTGAATACTTCGGGACGTGGGGGATGTACGTGGCCATGGGAAAGCAGCAATGATTCAGCCCGAACCCTTAGTTGGTGGTTGGATTGGCCGTTTGGCAGTTTTGAACCCCTGGTTCTTGTGGAGGACAAAAGGTTCTTGAACCACCCGGTATCTTCCAAACCAATCCAAATCACCAAGTAGGTGGAATCTGACTAGTATTTGCAGGTCTCTAGGGCTCAAGGATTCCAAGGAAAGGCATCACCCCTGCTGCTCAGCATTTTGATTTGTGTGCGTCTTGGTGTGCTGAAACCCACAGTTCAGGTTGTTCGAGAAGGGAAGCCAAGGGGACAGCACACGTGTTTTGCGGTAGCTCTCTTTCAGGCACATCATACATACGTACGTACATATATACAAATACATATATACTTATACATATCCATATATATATATATATATTTGTCCACCACTTTGCACAGGGAAGACACACGTGTTTGGTGCTTTCACCGTGTTCCTCTCCACTTCTCTTGGAGCCGGGCGGCATTCCGCGAGGAGCGGGGGCTGCTGAAGCCGCAGGTGGCGGGCTGCGTGGTCTGGGAGCGCGACGCCGCGGAGCTTCGTGAGGCGGCGGAGGAGGCGGTCGCCATCGGTCGGGTCGCCATCGCTGGCGCATCGGTCGCCTTTTCGGTGGCGAAAGGGTTGGGCCCTCGTCTTTTTGGAGTTCTTGAGACCGTTGCAATGGGTTTTATCTCACTTCCTGAGTTGAACTTTGTTTTTTTTGGGGGAAGACCATTCTAGTGGTAAATGAAGAGCTTGGATTGTTTTTGGCCAGTCCACTCACCCGGGAACATGGCGGTAACCTTGTTATAAGCGGGTTACACCCCAAGTGGCTAACCACTTACTATCTTAGCCGAACATCCAAGTTGGTGCCTTTTTGTGGTTGTGCAAAGGGAAGCCAAAAGGAAGCCGAAGTCAATTTTGGAGCCCGCCTCCCCATTTTGACACATACACATTTGGGTGTGGTTTTTGGGTCCCACTCTTTGTTATTTGTTTGTCGGGAAACCAAAGAGAACATTTGATAACAACCACGGCCAACCTGGGGACAAACCATGAAGACGGACACATACCATTATCTACCAAAAAAGTCACACACACCAAATGGGTGTGTGTTTGGCATATATGTGTATACATAAATGCTTGGGCTGTTTGAAAGGAAAGCCTTCAACATGGCGGGTGTGTCTTAAAACGTCCCTGGGATGCTTGAAAGGTCAGGGTCAGAGACGAAATCTCCCTGCAATTTTGGGAAAGAACGAGTACCATGAAAACAAAAACACCAAAAGTAGTTGGTGGTTTCCTGAAGGGTTTTGTTTCCTACTTGCCCTTCAAATCCCAACCAAAACGGGGTCAGAGTCTGAAATGTCCCTCAACAAGTTATGCTTCAGAGTTGGTTCAAGGAACCATGACTTCCTTGGATGGTCCCGTTGATAGGAAACCAGATGAGTTGGGGCCAAGCAAATCAATCCAACTGTTGCCTCCCCAGGTTTCCATGAGGTTTTTTTTTCTTTCCGTTTCCCTTCTTCCAATGGGCAATTTCAATCTTTGGGAAATCCAGCTTGGTCCCCCTCCCCTACCGCCGCTCCCCCTGGCCCGATTCGCCGATTCGACGCCTCGATCGAGCGAGGAGCGCGAGCGCCTGGAGGAGATTCAGCGGCAGCAGCGCCTGGAGAGGCTCCGCAAGGCAGGGGGAATCGGAATCGGAGGGGTCCGATCTTTTGGTTTCCCCAACAAAATGGGGGGGAGGGGGGGATGGGGGGTGGGGGGGGTTGAGGGGAGGGGGGGAGAAGGATTTCCGGATTTCCGAGCCCCAGGTATTGCCAAGAAGGGGAAAGCAAGCACATAGGGGACGTGTGTGTGTGTGTGTGTTTATTTGGACAATACCCTTTCTTATATGGGTTGGTTTAAGAGGAAACGAATAAGCGAACCACCATTGTGGGGGGTCGCCTATTTTGACACACACATTTGTTGGATGGTCAAAAGGTGGGTTGCTTTCCTCGGGGCCTCGTAGGATGGTCATGAACCTTTAATGGAACATGCGGTGGATTAGGGGTTGCTTCCCCAGAAAGCGAAGGACACCCTCTTGTTTTGAACCACCAGGGCTTTGTTCGTCGTGGGTTCCCCCTTTCAGTTTCTTGTTGTAACATTGTCGGGAAACAAAATCAGCCCGACAGTATCCCAAGAGCCCAGGAACCCTGGAATCCCCCGAACAAGGACACCCCCGAAGCTACTCAAATCCAGATTGGTGATAGCTGTCGTTGGGCAAAAGGCGAACCATACCCCCGAACTACACCCAATACCCACTTTTTTTAGGGTATGATAGGGTATGATGTGAACCCGTAGCTTGGCAACTCGGAGCTTTCGCGGTAGGCCTGGCAACTTCTGGTGAAGAAGGTCTTGGTGGACGTCTACGTAGACACCCGCTACGGGAACCCAAGCGCTTGAGGAGGGGACAGAATTTGGTGGCACCAGGTAAAGCTGTCGCCCTTTGCAGCACTGTCCGATCATGGAAGTGGCAGGGTGTTTTGAAGCAAGTCTTCCAAAGCCTTCCTTTGCACTTCCATGATGGCTGCAAAGAGAGAGAGAGAGAGAGAGAGAGAGAGAGAGAGAGAGAGAGAGAGAGAGAGAGTAATCATCATTTGTTGCTGTTTAATTCGCACACCTTCCCCTTTGTGAGCCGGATGCAAGTCCGAATCCCTGCCAATGAGTCCCCAGCTGTCTTCGCATTCCCAGGCCTTGGTCCAGATGAGACGAGTGACGTCCCGGCGATGCGATCGACTTCGGCGCACCGAAAGGGCGAGGGGCCAGCAGGAGAGCCGAGCGGCATCTTGCAGAACTGGATGCAGCGAGACGCGTCCGTTTCGAAGCACCTTCCATGAGGCGAGAAGCCAGGCTTGGGATGGTTTCGGAAAGGTCAGCTGGCTAAGCCTTGCATGGATTTGGAAAGGTCAGCATCTGACAGGAAGAATCGGGTGGCCCAAAATGGAACGGCAAGCGCAGCGCGGGAAGAAAACGAAGGCCTGCTACGCGCCTGCGGACCTGAAGAGAACGGCGGATTCCCCATGCGTTCAGATTGATATTTACGTCGACTCGTAGGTGGTCCTTTTCTTCAAAGCACCCTTCACTGTTCACTGTTCAGGGTGTTTCACCCCATGGGCCAGCTCTGCGATTCCCCTATATACCAACAAATGCTCTGGTTTCAACCATGGTTTCATTCCGTGGTGCGAAATGGATTTCGCAACCACCCACAGTATTGAACAAGCAAGGTAGCACCACGTTTTTTTGTGTTTTTAACGAAAAAAATGTTTTGTTTTCCCGCGGAAGCTCCCGGAGGCGGCCAGCGCAGAGTGCTTTGATTGCGTTGAGGTGTGTTTTTTTGTTTTTGCCAAGATGCGGAACCACCCCTTTTGTTTCGTTGGGAACCTATATCATTTAAAGATGTGGTTCCCGCCGGATTGGGTTTTGTTTCCAGTCTTTTGGAAAGAATACAAGCAAGCAAGCAAGACTAAGCCTACCCAAACCCTCCCCACGCCCTAAATGCACCCTACACCCACCTGTTCTTAACCCTTCACACTGCGGAAGTTTCGCAGGTTTCGTGGAAGGGGCCCAAACGTCCATTCGACTTTACTGGGAACAACAACCACCACCGTGTTTCTGCTATGCGAATTCCGGGGTCCTCGAAGTCTGTTTTTTCTAGTGTCCCACCTCAAAGCTTAAAATGCACCTTGGAGGTCCCAGATCTTTTTCTACCGCGCTTGGGCTGGATGTTGGACCAGCCTTGTCGAATGACGGGTTTTCACGGACAGGTAGGGAAATACTTTTATGAATGGTGTCAAACCAGCTGTTGGTCTAAGATGGTCTCCATCACCCTCACGGGTTCTGTGAGATATATATACATATATATATATACACACTATAGGGTATGCAACCCACTTTCCCTTACCGGTGTAGTGGAAATCACTAGTGGAGTCCTCAGATGCGCCAAGGAACCACAAGTTCCTGGTCATTTTAAACAAGGCAGGCTCTCGCCTCTCGCGCTCGCCCCGCACCGCCGTCTTTGCACTTGCCGTTGTGCGCCGCCAAACCGATTTGATAACAAAAGAACATGTCAACGAGGTCTTCCATTTGCTTAAGTGGCCTGGAACAAGTCACAATATGTCAGGAAGTCCCCGATTCGCTTTGAAACCAGCAGGGGGAAGATAAGACACACATTCTCAAGCAAATGAAAGAACCGGGTGCTATTTAAACAGATCTGGAAACATGGACAAATTACCCATCCCCTTTTGCTTTCCCTGTGGGTAACTTGGACAGTGTGGACCATTTGGCATCCGGGAATTGTTGTTAGAAAGTGTGGGATTGAGAAAAGACCGGGAAACCAAGAAGTGCAACCCCTCAAGAGCCCGGAATGGCCCTGAAACCGTGCTCCAATGCTTGGAACCGGGGAGGGGGAGGGGAATACTTACCTGTTTGTGGGGTATGTACGGCTATATGTTTGGGGCAAGGGCATGCAACTATTCCCCCAGCCAGAAGTGCAGTCAAATTTTGCCATACCTTCCATAGGTTGGGTAAATTGGGGCTCGTCCCCTGGTTTTTGCGGGAACATTTAGAGAGTCACCCAGGTCCTAGAATGGAAAGAGAAATGGGCGACTCCCAAGTGGAATGATTGCAAAGCAAGTCTGCTCGGGTTGAGGGGACACGAAGCTCGCTTGGTTTGCCTTAAACGACCCACAGGTGAGGGAAAGACCACCAGGTTGAATCGCTCTCCGGACTTGTCTGACCAATCGTAGTGAGAGGCAGCCAATCTGCTTTTGCCTGCACCTGTCCTACAAAGAGTCCCCACACTTGGCAGTTGTGTGATTGTTTTGCTTCGGCATGGTTGTTGTTGGGAGACATTTTAAATGTTTGCTTCTTGTGGTTTAGTGGGAAATCCCCACTTAATTAACTGCTAAATCATTTTTTTGCTCCCCTTCCAACGTCAAGCAAGTTGGTTTGAATTGTCTTTTCAAGTCAACTGCGCCTTCTTCCCAGGCAATGGAGGTTTGGAGAAGAGGTTCCTGCGAACAACAAAAAAAACCCGGCCGAAGGGTCACCCCTCCAATGCAGACCCTCGAAGGAAACGAGTTCTACGGAGAGCCCCGACCAATTCCTCCAGGGCGGGCCTTGAAAACGAGACCAGGGGCCCAAAGCCCATCGAATCGGGCCCTTTGAAGCAGAGAGTGTCCCAGTCCGAGTCATTTTCTATGGACTTGGAGTTGGACACCCGGGGCGTTCTCAGTCCGATTCATCCTTTAAAGGAGTCCTGTTTGAAAAGCGCGTTCTTTTTATATTTTTTGATTTTGGTTTCTTGCTAGGGACTTTGAGTTGGAAACACATTGACTCCAAAGATAAGTTCTGCGACCTTGCTTCTAAACCTTGCTTTAAACCTGAGGCTCCCATCAGCGGTAAGCAACCAGTTGGATTTGTTGGGCCCCCCCCGGCCCGGCCCGGTCTGTGGTAAGTGGCGGTCAAATCCCTGGATTTTTAGCTCTAGGCCAAAAGGTCAGTTCAATGAACATGCATTGCTTCCACGTTCTGAAATGGGTGTGGCTCAAAATTAAAGAGTTAGGGTTACGCAGGGTTACGCAGGATTCTGTCTTTGGTTCCATTTGCCAAGGGTGCCATTTTGGTACATATGTGTGAGCCACAACCAAATGATTATTGGTTATCTTCCCGGAAGGTTTTAACGGGAATCTAGCACAAGGGGAAATGCAAATGGAAGATTGCTTCCGGCAATTTCCCAAGCCAGCCAAAGGGGATGGACATGAGCGTGTGGTGTCTTTTTGTAGGGGACCCCGCAACAAATTGTGCTGTCCTGTTGCTTTTCCTCAGCAACAACATGGGGTACCAAGAACTCAAAAAAACAAGCAAACACACATAGGTGTTTGCCCGGCTCCCACTGAAAGCCCATGTGTGTTTGTCATGCTTTTGTCCGGCTTCCACTCAAAAGCATTCCATAGGCTTTTGCCGCGGTCCCCTTGTAAGAAAGACGGGTCACTCAAAATAAACTCAACACCCATGCGTTAAAAAAAAAAAAGAAAAAAAAAAAAAAAGATTGTTTTGCGCAGGGGCCCCTCGGTTTAAAACAAAGAAAGCGGGTCATGTCGGGCGAGGTGGACAAGCTGGACAACAGCGTGGACTTCGCCCGTGCCTATGGAGCTCTGGGCTGGGCCTTGAGTAAGGTCATCAAGCGCAAGGAGCGATGGGCGTATGGGCGTCGGAGGGCGCGGGGGATCGGGGCGAGGCCAAGGGGGCGGCTGGAGCTGCGGTGTGCTAGTCGTTGCCCTCCCTCTCCCGTTGCCATGATAACTGACATGGGCAGCTCCAAAAAATCCCGGGTACGACAGGTGCCGTGGCAACGTGGGAGGAAAGGCACGGGGGCTGTAAAGGGAAGCCAAAGGGATGGATGTGGCGAGGTTCCAATGTCAAGCCAGTTGCGACTCCAGTTCCTATGGAGCCTCAGAAAAAACTCTCGGAAGGCTCGGATACCCTTTGATCTGAGCTCCGCAGGAGGGAAAGGCCCATTTGCTTTTTTGGTTCTTTTCGTGTGGTCCCATTTAGGAGGGACCATGTTGGTGCCATATGGGTACGGGTCAAAATTCAACACCAGAGAACTGCAGGTTTTAGTGCTTCCATTGACAACAGCAGCCTATTTTGGTGTCCCTAATTTTGAGAAGAGGCCATATGGTGAGTACTCTCCACCAATAAACATGGAACCTGACAGGTGGGTCCTGTTAATGCTCAACCCTTGCCGACTGGCAACTTCTCAAGCCTGGGGCCTGGTTTGAAACAATTCGTGTCCGGAAATGTTTGCTTCCATCCCTTCCTAAATGAGAAATGGCGGGTAGAGAAAATTGGAGACTCCTGTTCCAAATGCCAGCGTCCTGGGGAGCCTGAGAAAGCACAGAGCGGTTGGCGTTTTGCAATAGAGCATCGGGGAAGGGGGGGGGGGAAGGATTGTTTGCTTTAGTCCAAATCCAAACTGTTAGCGTGCCGCTTTTTGAGGGTACCTTTAAAAGCGAAACCTGAAGGAAACCACCATTTTGGGCAGAGGAACCCAAGTTGCTTTGACAAGCCCACAAAGACTTCTTTAGATTGGCAAGTTTGACCATAAGCTGTAACCCGAGCAAAACCCCTTGACAACCTGGGTTTAGTTTTTGAGCGTCCCCTTTTCAGGTCAGTTTAAAGGGAAACCAAAAGGACCACCGCCCTTTTTTAAGTAGGTCCCCCGTAATTCGAGACAATCCTTTCCCATGTGCCGCACGGTTTCTCCATGTTACCGCTTGGGCCGACACCTGGCCTGGGATTCGGGGCTTCAATCGCCAGGATATTCCTCCCATCTACACCATGTTCAACGAAGGCTTGGAAGCTCCGTCAGGACTCGGAAACAGCGCAGCGAAAATGTTCGTCGAGGTGACAGAAATCGAGAACTCCCATTTTGGGGTCTCGGAACAGATCTTATAATGTTTGACCGACGAATTTCTGTGGACAAAATCCTGTACCAGCTGGCAGGTGGTGGTTCACCCCAGTATGTCTCGCGCTTCGCCCATCCACATGAACCAGAATCCGAAGGTCTTATGTGAAATTTCGCAGACCCATTCCCTGTATGGTAACCAAGGGAACCACCCTTAAAAACCAATAAGAAAATGGATCGAAGGGTTACCTACTGTAGTGCTTGGATCCACTCGGTTAGTGTCTGGGGTCCAGCCCAGCCAGCAACTGGGCCATGGGTTCCTCGGGGAAACCAAAACCAGGTTGCTCAAGAACAACGCTGCTTACACATGAGTCCCCCAAAACAACGGTGGTTTTCGGTTTCCCATTAAACCGAAGGTGACTTTCCTATTACACCTGGGAAGATGCCCACTCACCCTCTTCTTGCCTATTTCCAGATAAAAACCTGCCTAGACCCTCAAACTGCGCACAAAGAAAGGGAATTCACCCCATACTTGTGACTGTGGGGCAATAGCATGGTACTTTGAGGGTCCAAGTGGTGCTTTTGTTTTTGGAAATGTCCCTATAGGATTTGCAATCCCAGGGTGTAGGAGAATCCTTCCGATTCTCGGGCCGGATCCTGGCGACTCTCGCAGGACATGAAAGTCTTCCTTTGGAGAAGTTTGTGAAGAAGAGAGATGAAGCCGCAGCCCTGACACGCGCGGTCACGCGGGTCCCGGCCCTCCGGTTCCTTCGAGTGGTTTGAAGTTGTTTAGTGGGGGGGGGTCCATTTATCCCACTAACAGTTAGACTGTTAGCAGGGGATCTGAGGACAGATCACTGAACAGACGGGTTCGACACGTCCGACGTTTTGTCGATGTGTTGGGGAGAGGGTTTGGGACATGGACGAGCCACCAGATTTTATCCATACGGTGGGACTCACTAATTGCCAAATGCCCAAAATCGGTTGACCGCAGGTTTTGACCTTGGCTCATGTTTTCGGTTTATGCTTGGTGCTTGGTTGTCTCAAAACAAAGATCAATGTTAGCCCGTGAAAGCTTACGATCGGGGGGTTTCGGAAGGCTACTTGTGTCCTGGAAAGGCCAGCAGCTGTTTGGAAAGAGCGTAAGACGTGAACATCGGTATCCAGAGGATCATCACCTGAGGGAATCCCCTAAAATGTTGGTACCCCCCCCCCCGCAAAAGAAATGAGAAGCCACCCACCTCATTTCAGTCTGGTGCGGATCCCGACCGAATTTCCGGAAAGAGGTTTGGGCTGTCAGATCCAAGGGGCTACGACTTCAGCTTCACTTGGAGGGCTTGCTACACCACCATGAAAACCATGGGGTTCATACAGGGCTCCTTAAAAGATACATGTTGCAACCATTTGAAACATGTTGCTTTTTCCACCAAAATAAAAGGAAGCCACCATTTACAAGGCAATGTTCAGGTGTATAATGTAAGGATCCCTGTAGCACCGTTGTTTTCCTAAGGACTGTCATCATCTAGATTGGGTCAGCCATTATGGGAGGTTGAAATGTAGGGAAGAGGATCTTGCTCACTTCCATGTTGTTGTTTTTTCTGGGTTGGTAGGTAAGTTCTACAAAACAGAGAGATTCAATTTAGTCTCTAGCCACCAAGGATGGGCATCCAAGTGCTGGAGATTTGCTTGCGCTTGAGGTCATACAGGAGGTGCTCAGGGTTCGGGAGCGCCACAATGACAACATCATCACCGCGCTGGAGGACGCGCGCACGTTGTGCTCTCTCTCAGAGCTAGCTTCGCTAGAAACCGTTGCGACAATTTTGGCGTTGATTCCGAATCTGACGATTCTGACAGAAACGCTGCACATCAGGTGTGGAAGATTGGTGTTGTTGGAACCCCCTGCTTAGCTTCCAGGTTAATTTGCAAGGGCGTCTTCTTGAGGCTTGGTTGTTTGGGGTGCGCCGGACGTTGGTTTTGGAGGCATGGACTGCTATATCCCACTTATGTAAGCGGTATGCGTTCCAAGCTTGCATTGTTGGTCTCTAAGCATCCATCCCTCCAAAACCCATATGTGGACATGCCCTTAAACAAAAGATTCCGCATCCCAGCCATACCCCGAATATGGCTAAATAGTGCAAAGACAAGATCAGAGCTTCGTTTGAGTTCCTTGCACCTTTGGCTAGATGCTGCTTAGTAGGGGGACAGCTAAATTGGTGCAGCCGCGCTGTTAGATCTTTGAACGAGTAAAAATGTACCCTTTAATACCAGGTTGTTTATCACTCTACGACTCCTTTGTCATGCTAACACTGCCCTGAACAGAAAGACAGAAAGGGCTCTGGTTCACTATGCCCCTCATGCGTTCCCCGGTTACCAGATGTGGCATACCTTCGCCGGCGATAAATCCACATCCATGCTGCGAGACGCAACGAACCACGGAAAATCTCCCGTGCGTCAGGCATCTTATGTCTTTTTTGAGGAAGCTTCTTTTGGTAGGCTTTAATTTAAAGGAGACAATTAGGAAAAACACAATTTGATGTTACTTTTATTTTTGGGGGTCCCCAAAAAGACACCCATATGGGTCCGTTTCGCCCGGGAGGTCTTGACAGGTGTCACTTTTGGTGAGCCGCCCATTGATGTGTTTTCGAGGGTCCACCGCAGGGCTGAGTGCAAGCCCCTACTTATCGCATGGAAGGCGGCCCAGAGGTGTTTCAACAAAAAAACACGGCCCAGAGGTGTCTTTTTTAAGATCATTTTCCCGGGCTGGTGCAAGGGAAATACTGAAAATGTAGGCTTGACCCCGCATTATTGGGCCAGGTCATCAGGTTGGGGGGGTCCAAACCGTCAGAGTCTGCCTTTTCTGTTTACACATCGGGTTCCATTTTGGGCGGATTCATGTTTTTGAGCCGCCCCCAACGGACTCACCGGGCGCCCCTTGTGTCGGTCAACGAGCGTTTCTGTGGAATTTGGGGTTGACCAATATTCCAGGCCCCAAGTCACCATCCGTCACCACTTTTCCCATTTAGTGTATCATATCTTTCAGCGGTTGTCCAACCAACGGTCATCCCATGTATCACGGACCTTTTGATCCACCCCCACATCCCAAACCACCTGCTTTCCAGGACTTGGATCCTCCCAAGCGCTACCTCCAAATGGGTGTGGCTCAAAATTGAATAGGAGGGGGTACGCAGGTTGTGGTCCATGTTTCCACTTACCAGGGTTCCATTTGGGGTACCTGTTTCTGACTCACAGCCAAATGGCGCAGGAGACCTTGCGGCAGATGCAGATGACGGCGCGGATCGCGCACTCCATCCGGCGCAAGGCCGCGAGGAGGTTCACCAAACTCCTGGCCTGGAGCTGAGGATGGGTCCATGGCTCTTGGCCCCTTAAAAGATACATTTTGCAACCATTTGAAACATGCTGCTTTTTCCACCAAAATAAAGGGAAACCACAATTTACAAGGCAATGTTCTGGTGCATAATGTAAGGATCCCTGTTATATCAGTGGTTTGCCTGAGGTTCAGGCAGGCCGCCAGTAAAGCTATGGTTGGGTTCATATCAACACCATTGTTTACCCTTCAGGATTGGCATTATCCAATGCAAAATAGTTGGCCCGCAGCTGATGTGTGTACCCCGAGAAAAACCATCCAGCGGGTGGTTTTCTTCTAACGTGACCAAAGCCTGGGTTGATTCCATGTCTCATTCCCTACTCATTGCACCCACAAGCTATGAACTGGCTGCTGGCTGGCAGGGGGCTGTTACGAAGCTGGGACCCGGTATCCAAGTTTGTTAAGAAGGGAGCTGGAGCTTCCCATCGGAGTTCTGTTTAGCGGCAAACAAACAAGTTTGGTTACCGTTGACCAACCCCCTGGATCGGAAGTTAAGGCGTGGATAGCAAGGCCTGGAGCCAGGGAAAGAGTCCACCCCAGCGGGGACTGTTTCCGGTTGGTTCCCTCAAATCAATACGACACGAAAAAGCAACTCCCAGCTGCTCGGAGGATCACCGCGAACGCCCGTTTTCCTCAGGTGGCATGCCCTCAAAGCCACTCAACCCAAAAAAGCAGGCGCCCTTGTCTACCAGTGCCTCTTCTGGGTCTATGGAAAGGGGGCAAGCCAAGTAGTGGGTATGTCTTCACATAGGGATTTCGATCTCAAAAAGATGGGTGTGTTTTTTGAATAGGGGACCCCCAAATGAGGGTGTTCCGGTGTTCCTTTTGGTGTCCCTTCAAAACCACAAAACAAAGGGTACTTTTCATTTCGAAGCCCCTTTAACCCAACCAAAAAAGGGTACCCACAGCAAAGCACACATGTATGTGGTGAGTTTCATGTAGGAAGATACGCGGAGTTTGCCCTGAGCCGATGTTGGCACGCAGGGATATCTCAAAACGGAGGGCCTTTCAAAATGGGTGGCTTCCTGTTGAATTACCCTTCAGCAATTAAGCAGGAGCCAGCAGATGAGGATTGGCAGTGTCCCCGGCGTTGGTTGTTTCATATAAAGCTTCGTTATTGTTCCAAAAGAGACTGTCTCTCTAACCTCTTGGGCAAGTGAGAAAACAAAGACAAGTTAGTTTTACTTCTTGGGTGTGACTTGGGTCTCTCTATCTTGGGTCTCGTTATTGGCGCCGCGCCCTTTGGGCAAGTGAGAACAGGCCGCTTGGCAACGCTCGTTCGAGTGAGACGCGAACCCCTGCATGTTCGAGCCGAGGTCTCGGCACTGCTGAGCGTGGCGGCTCCGGCAGGGTGCCCCAAGACGGGGATGGGCTGGTGAGGAAAGCCGGGCGGGGAGGGGGGGGTGGGGTGTGCGGGGAATTCTCATCTTGGTGGTTCCAAAAGCGGTAGCCGTCCGGTTCCTTAGGTGTTTGGTGGTGTTATAGTTGGTTTAGTGGTTTTATGTCCATTTAGCACACCAAGTGCCACTAAAAGTTCAACTTGTTGCAGGGGGACATCTCAGTTGTATGGGGGCTGATCAAAAGGTCCTTTACGGCGATTGGATCGAGTGTTTTTTGTTAGCTGCAAGCTTGGGGTCTCAGCCCAGATAGGCTCCGGGGTGGTCTGGGGCAGCCCTAAAATAAGGTTCCACCAGGGTTCCACCAGGGTTCCACGAGGTTCTGCGAGGGCTGCGGGGCGGTCTGGTTCCAACAAGGGTTCTCAAGGGGTTGGTTCCACAAGGTTCCACGAGGGCCATGGGGTGATCCGGGGTGGCCCTGAGGCAAGGTTTCACAAAATTGTTCACAGAACTCAAGGTTCCACAAGGCTGCTGCTTCACAATTAGACAGCCTAAGCAAAACCGGCGGCGGTGGATTGGATTGGTGGTTTGGAGCTTCCCGAGTCTTGGTCATGCCTGATTGCGCCGTCGGGCCCCCGATCGGGGCCATCAGGCCACAAAGCAAAACCGGCGGTGCGCTATGATTGGTGGCTTGGATCTGTGGTTTGGTTCCCGGGCTGCGGTCGGGCCCAAGCACAAAAAAACGACTGATAGAGTCTGCGTGCTGTTGGGGATATCACCTGAGCTTACTTTTTCGTTTTTTGGGTCTGATCATTTTTAAGGGGCTGCAAAAGCAAAGTGCGTTGCTACCACACCAAGCATTGCAAAAAAATCCTTTGCATGGGGTGACCATCCGGGCAACTCCCAAAACCGCTTCCTTTAGTCAGCCCAAAGCGAATCGACCTGCAACCTTTTGGCTTCCATTTGGCAAACATGTTTTTTGGTTCCAAACAGTGATCACCTTCTTGCTAGATTCCCAAAAGCAACTGTTTTTAATCGACTACGGCGATGCATTTCGCATCCTTTCGGCCTATTTCCTGGTCGCCCAGAAAGGATAGGAATTGCCGGGGACATGAGCTGGACGGGTTTGATTTTCCCTGAAAAGCCCTGAAAACGTAGCTAGTCCTGGAGCAAAGAATCCCAGACAATCCATGTAAATACTCTATATATATATATATATGCACACCCACAATTACCATATGCCAAGAGTTGACCCGTTTTGAGGGTGAATGTGGGTGTATATATATATATATATTTGTATGTATATATATATATATTTCGCACATGGATTGTCTGGAATATCGTTCGCAAGTCACATGGCTTCTTTGTTTCGCCCCAAAGACAGTCCCCCGCCCGGTCCCGCCGCGTTTTGTCCCCTAATACGGGGGGTTTGTTGCTCCGGCCACTTGGATCCGGGGCCAACAAATTCGCGGGGGGGCCGGGTCAATTTCCCTATGGCATCGCAGGCCTACATGCTGTTCAGGCTGCTGGAAGTGGTCGGATCCTCATCCGTCAGCTGTTTTTTTGCTTTAGTTGCTTGAAGGTGGACAGGTGGGGTCGAGTTGTCGTCCACCGCCTTCTGTAGGGTCGATTTGTAGGGTGACCCGCAAAATGACCTCTCAGTGTTGGGGCTTCACACGGACCAAAGCCTGTTTTGCAGAGTTCCCTGGTTTGGGTGAGGTGTTGGCTTTTGCTAGGTCGGTGTTTTGTTCTTAGGTCTGGTTCTTGGTTGCTTGATTGCTTTGCTCTGCTTTGCGTTGCTTGCTTGGTTGGTTGGTTGCTTGGCGAGCATCACCGGCCAAACCCACGGCCTGTCCTTTAGATCCATCCCAGCCCAGATCCAAGCCTAGCCCCAAGCAACTCTGCCATTATGTAACCCACTCAAAGTTAAACTGTTCGCTGGAAATCTGGGAACAGCCCGCATGCAAAATGATGTGCACCGCAACGGCCCTCATTAAGTGTTTTCACCCAAATGGCTGTGGGTCAAAACCAATGGTACGATTTTGGGGTAGGTGCACCACCCATTTTAGTCTATTTCAGTGGAAATTGGGATGTTCACTGGGGGTACGATTTGGCTGTTGACCCCATGGCCAAAATGAAGCGACCAAAAAAGCGCAAGCCGCGCAAGGCTCGCTAAAGGCTAGGTGAGACCCCGTCCCATGGTGCCGCTGAAAGCTTAGGGTCTCAGTGAAGCTCGGAGCGGCCCCTCAAAGGGCCGATGGGTTCCGGGAAGCTTCCCGAGGTGTTTGACGGTCGGCTTTTTGGGTTTGGACCGTGACTTAGTGGCAAGCAAGAAGTTGGGACTTTTTGTCGGCCCAATTTGAGGAACCCAGAGGGTCCAAGTACCTCCTGAGGATGGCTTTTGGGGGTTAAAAAAAATGGGCCCGAAGTACCTACAAGGTACTTGGACCCTGGGAAGTGAGTTTGGAGGTGTCCCGTTCAAATACACTTCGCCAAAACCGCGTTGTTCGTGTCTTTGCCCATGGCCTTTGGTCAGCTTGCCAGGTTCGATCGCCCACGAAATCTCGGCCCTTCGAGCGTCAGAGACCCTGGAAGGATTCGATTCCCCAACGTAAATAGCAAGAAAACAGTGGTTTCAACCATGGATTCATTTCGTGGTGGGGTCTCGGATTTTGTCCATCCACCATATGTTCATTGTTTTTTGTTGATCCGGTTGGTTGTTCCCTCCAGCCAAAAGTGAAGTTGTTGCCGTGGTCTAAGTCTGGCCTAATGAGTTGGTGGCTTGAATTGGTTGATGGTGGGGCTGAACCCCAATTCATTTGAAACAAGGTAGTTTCAAACGTCTAAACCACCGGGCCCCACGCCACCACGTTTGCGATCTCCTTCTTTGTACATCATATTTGGGTCTCCAAGATGCTTCCATCTGTTCAGACAAGATATGGACCAGAATCTGAACTTATTGTTTTTGTTTGTACACACCTCATTGAGACCATCGAGCAGCATCCACGATGTGACGGTTGGCTCTTGGGAAGCTGAAGGGGTGAGGCTCCACTGGCACTCTGAGTCGGAACCGGATGCATGCGGAGCTTAGGCAGCAGAGAACATTAAGTCCAGGAGCGGGGGGGCAGGGAGGGAGGGCTGCAGATCTGGAAAGAGTACCAATGGACCACTGCCTCGGTTCACCCCGGTATAAAGTTACTGAAAACAGCCGACCCCATTACAAAGGCTCCCCAAGCCAAAAGAGAACAAGAGTACTAGTAGACGAGTACCAACAAAAAGAAATCCAACCGGGGTAAAGTGGAATCTATAAAGCACTGCGTTTCTGGACCATGTTCTGGATTTCCACTTGGATGACCACCCCACTTGGCAAGTGGTTTGTAGCTCTACGTATTAAGCGCCCTAAGACTTCCCATGAGTTTTGCCAACCACTTGCATTTCAGCGGTATAGCTTGGTACCTTGAGCGGCATAGCTTGCCCCTGCTGGCGCTCGATGGTTTGAGCATCCGAGTCCCCTTTGTTGCTGGCTTTCGAGTAGGGATGATTGAGCATTGGCCAACACTCCGTGTTGAAAAGCCCATAGAAATGGTACCTTTTAGAGGGACATGGTCTTCCAGGATCCAGTCAGATTCCCTAGCAACGACAAGAGGGTTTGCAGCCCGCAGATGAAACTAGACTTATTGTGGTTTTAAAACACCCCAAAACAACATTTCAGTTTATATGTTGAGGTTGGGAGAGTTGGCAGCAGCAACATTGACATCAGGGGCGCGGGGGGGGCCTGTCGCAAATGATCAATTCTACCTCCTGCGTCAAACTCGCCTCGAACTGGCTAAATACGAAGCATCATGGGGAAAAAGGTATGTTTGTGTTGTACACCAAAGTTGGGTCAAGTTAAATAGGAGTTGCACCTGTTGTGCGTGCAGACCCCGAGAAACCTTAGAGATTCACCAAAACGAGATGGATTTTTGCAGTTAGTTGAAGATGCTTCATTTCTAACTGGTAGGTTGTTGGTTGGACCGGAAAAACAAGATTGCCAGATGTCATACATCTCACTGCGTTTGAAAACCTCTCACAAATAGGGTTTCCTTCATTTGGGTGTGGCTCAAAATCACGAAAGCAGGGAATTTGTTGTTTGTTGTCGTTTCTACCGCCATTTGGGCATGTCTTTCTTTGACAGGTGCCTGTCTTTTAGTGGGGTTGACAAGTAAACCAACCGCACAAGCCCGCCATGTTGGGAGCTCCGATCCCGAAAAAACCCACGACGACGACACCCACCGTCTTCGCGAGGATGGAAGAGGAGCAAGCCGCGGAGGCTGCTGCGCTTCAGGCGGAGGGCCGCAGCCTCAGCAAAGCCATCCTCGCGTGCTGAGCTCATGGCTCCTTTTTGATCTCCATTTCGCCTGCCCATTTGAAACATGTGGCAAGTGTTCTTCGCCAAAACAAAGGGAAGCCACCATTTACAAGTTGCAATGTTCAGGTGTATAATGTAAGGATCCCTCATGGGCAGAAGAGAGGCTTGGACCACGTTTGTGGCAATCAAAAAGTTTGGACTTTGTCCTCACTTCCTGAGTTTATGGACTTTAAGCTTTTGTGTGGACCACGTTCGTGGCAAACAAAAAGTTTGGATTTTTTCCTCTCTTCCTGAGTTCATGGACTCTTATTCTTATTGGCCTTGGACCACTTTAGTGACAAACAAAAAGGTTGGTTCTGACCAAGTCGATCGGAAGTGAGGTTCACCCGGTGGATCCCAGGCAGGGCACTACAGTTGGCAACCCTGAAGGTCATGTTCCTATAGTAAATGGATCCACTGGGCCACCAAAAGGATATCCTTCGGGTAAAGCGGGTGAAGCGGGCGAAGCAGTTGGCTTTTCCACCAACCCAGTTTAACCAAGGGTCTTTGGAAGGTGAGTTGCTCTTACTCTCCGAGTTCCGTGGAGGAAGGACTGAAGCGTCACTTTTTGGGTTTGGATGGCAAAGAAAAGGCGTGGGTTCCTTTTTTCTGGCCTATCCACTCAGGAAGTGGGGATTTGTTGGGGGATCCTCTGGATCCAGTTGCCGATGGCATGTCTTTGGTGCGACCCCCACGTTCCGGAGAGACCTGTTGGAAACAAAAAAACGTCCATTCTCACTAGACCCGGAAAAGGCTTAAGGGCCTTTTGATCACGGGGGAAGAGCAGCCCAGCTGGCCCAGCTGTGGATGTACACTAGCCGCTATGGAGGGGATCAACCTCTGGAGCGGGATGTTGTCCATCCAGCCGTTCAATAGTTAGAATGGGGTTCCGGGGTATGTTAAGACTTTTGTCACAGAAGGCAACCGATAAAAAAGATGTTGCCCATGCTGCCAATAGACATGCCCGCCATTTTCATTATCGAAAAAGGTGTTGGGTAGACCCCATGCTGATTGCGACGCAGTTGTGCAGCATACCATAGCTCGGTCAGCGTTTGGGAGCATGTGGCCATGTGGGTGGATCCGCGATAAATTCGGAAAAAAAACGTGATCGACAAAGGTTACTGATGCTGGCCGACGCATCAAAGGAAACCCAGAGAACGCAAGAGTCCAAGGAAGAGTTCTCAGATTCGTGTGAATCATGTGAAACTTGCAGGGATGGCGCGGATGCAGACAGTGCCATCCTCAAGCAAATGGGTTTCTGGTTTTTGAGGTACCCTTTTCAGGTAGGTTTGGAGATCAACCAGAAAGAAAACAAGGGAACCCCTTTCAAATAGGTAATAAGGCAAAATCCCAAGGGAACATATATCAGCCAAGTCAAATATGTCTATAGGGACCCCCAGAAATGGCTGAAAGACAAAGGGAACATAGCTGGAGTCTCCGTGCCCCCTTCAACATGGGGCCATGACCCCTTTCATTTGGGTATGCCGTATGCCCGATTGTGTTTGAGTCACGGATGGTCACGGAAGCTTCAGGGACGCATTTCCATCTTAATGAAATTGGAGGGGGGCGACCGCTGAAAGTCCCAATTGTGGCGTCATGGTACCCCCAACGAACATGGAACCTGACAGGGGGTCCCTTTAACAGGAGCATGGTGAAGGTTCCATGTTAATTTGTCGGAGGGTACTCACCATATTGCCTTGTCTCAACACCAAAATGGCCAAAATGGGTTGCCCTGGTAAATGGAAGCACGAAAGCCTGCAGCCCCCTGTCAGGTTCCATTTTAATTGACCTTTGGGGAAGACTCGACAACTGGAATTGGGGCACCCCAATCCCACCCCCTCCACTTCTCCGCACAAGGTTCAAAGCATTGGCGTTCGGGGCTCAGCGCGGCGGGGCGGTAACCGACGCCCAAATCGAGAACCAAAGAAAAGCACCCGGGCAAACAGTAAGAAAAGACCAACCAGGCAAGCAGGCAGGCGGGCAGGCAAACAAAGATAGCAGGCAAGCACGCAAGGGCGTTAGAACCTATTTAAGTGATGAGCATAAGAGAATAGTGTGTGTGTGTGTGTGGAATTGTTTGCTGCTACTACCCCAAAAAGCATATTTCTGGCTGCTTAGAGTGCTTATTGGAGGCTGCTCTTTTTCAATTCGGGGCAAGGCGCCGTGTCGGGGTCAAAGGGCCACCCAAAGGACCGGCTTCTGAAGGGGCTGGGCGGAGTTAGTTGGTTCTGTTTCTGGGGGTCTGAAAATGTCCCTTCAACCCACTAAACCGAGAGTGGGTAAAATAGCAAAAGAGGGGGGAGCCAAACAAGTGTCTCCGTTGACCGTTTTCTGGCTGGCCTGGCTGGCCTGGCTGCCTGGCTGGCCTGGCGCCTGGCTGGCGCTTGGCTGGCCTGGCTGGTGCCTGGCTGGCTGGCTGGTTGGTTGTTGGTTGGTTGGTTAATCTGTGACTTATTGCATCTCCTCAAAAGGCTCCTGAAGACAGCCCACGGCTCAGGTCTCTTCGGCTTCCTGAGACACGAGCCGGACGTGGTCGTGATCCTTCCTCCAGGCCACCTACTTCCACGGTGACCTGCTAACTGGGCGTGTGTTTTCTCGCGGACCTCGTAAAGTATGTCTCAAAGAAGAAGAAGAAGAACAGATCCATCGAGTTTGACAAAACCGACAAATTGATGACATTATAGATAATCAAGAAATCCAAAACATGTACTCCCTCATGTTGGAAAAGGGAAGCCCAAAGGAAATCCACAATTTTGGTTTTGGGGGGGTCGCCCTTTGACACATTTCAAACAGTACCTTGTTCATGTTCCGCGTCTTGGAAGCCCCGAAAAGGGCTTTGATCTACCAATTGGAGCCTGCCTTCCTTTGAGACCATCTTTTTTTGTTGTTGTTTTCTTTTTATTTTTTTCTGGGTTTAAAGGGAAACCAAAAGGAACGCTATGGGGGGGGGGTCCCCTAAAACTGACACTTTCCTATACCCTCCCACCCACGGCACTAGACCCTTGCTTGCACCGGCGAGTCCCCTCATGAAGCAGTCAAATGGTCCCGATGGCCCCAATTGAAATCACAAGACGGTTGCTTCCCCAATCCCCGGGAGATGCTTGGCCCTTTTGCTTTTCGAGACCACTTTGGAGGTGGGGAGCCTATGAAAATCCATAGCTTCCATTTGCTTCCGAACATGCTTTTATTTCCCCCTGTTTGGTTTTCAAGGGAATCTATGAGTAGTGGAAACACAGTTGTTTTTTTCAGGGGGACCTAAACACAATGTCATGCGTCACCAAGTTTTCGAGCTTAAAGCTGTGAACCTTGCAGCGCCCGGAACCGATTCAAACTCGAGTTCAAACTAAACCCCTGGGTTTTGAGTCAAGAGAATCACCTGAACAAATAGTTGTGCCATGCCACAGATAAACGAAACCCTATGCCAGGGTAAACATGGATAGCAAGCACATAGTGGTTGGAATTCATTCGTTTTCGGGAGAGTCCTTGGATTAGTACTCTGTTGATTCTGTATGTGGTACCTCTTTCAATACCGTGGGTTGATGTGGCGAGTAAGTGCTTGAAACCAACCTTCCAGCCCTGTTCGCCAGTACCCCATTCCCTTTCTCAGCTTTTGCACCGAATGCATCGAAGGTGCAGATGTTCGCATGGGCCGTTTTTCTTTCTGGATGCGCGCCATACTTTGTGCGCCATGTTTCTTGGCACGAATCTCGAGCTCACCTGGGCCCACGAGTTGTTCCTTGTGTTTGGGGCGGGGGGGTGAGACCACCGTCCGCGTAGTTTGCCCAGATTGGGGGGAAATGAAATTGGTTAAAAACAAGGGCAAGATGGGTCTGTATTTCAAGCACGGTTGGGACACACACACAGAAGAAGAAAAAAAAGCAGAGTTTCCTTGGAACTTCCGAACGTGGCGATCGTTTCAATGGACACCACGAGTAATTTGATCAACTTGTGAAACCCAGCTTTCCCCCTACAAAGTCTCACAGTGTCTCTTTGGCTTCCCTTTAGCACCCGCCTAAACATGGTCGGGTGCCCAAGAAATAGTTGGCCAATGCGCCGCCAGGCGAAGAACAGTGCCAGCCCTAGCTCGGCGCGTGCCGAAAGGTCTTTGGCTCGTCTTTTGGGTTGGACCCCCAAAATGGCGCAAGGGCTTTCCCGTTGGTTGCCGTTGCCATTGAAAACCGCAAAGGAGTACCCACCAATACGTTTAGTGACAGTATTAAAGGAAGGACACAGATGTTGTAAAAGCCCCACCCAATACAAGCTTATGTATACGTATATAACGGAAACTCAAAGTGTTTTTACTCACATGTTTTGCAGGTCGGATCCATTTGGTCAAGATTGGGCCTGCCAAGGTTAGCCCTTTGTGTCATGTTTCGAGCCGTCCAGGGGCCGACGTGTCACGTACCGGCCTTCTTGGCTGGTGCCACAAATTCTTTTACCACACTTTGCAAGATGTCCAATTCTCAACTGTCCAATTCTCAAATGTCCAATTCTCAACTGTCCAGTTCTCAACTGTTCAATTATCACTTGTCCAATTCTCAACCGTCCAATTCTCAACTGTCCAGTTCTCAAGTTTCCAGTTCTCAATTGTCCAGTTCTCAACAGTCCAGTTCTCAACTGTCCAGCTCTCAATGTCCAATTCTCAACTGTCCAGTTCTCAACTGTCCAGTTCTCAATTGTCCAGTTCTCAATTGTCCAATTCTCAACTGTCCAATTCTCAACTGTCCAATTCTCAAATGTCCAATTCTCAACTGTCCAGTTCTCAACTGTTCAGTTATCACTTGTCCAATTCTCAACCGTCCAATTCTCAACTGTCCAGTTCTCAAGTTTCCAGTTCTCAATTGTCCAGTTCTCAACAGTCCAGTTCTCAACTGTCCAGCTCTCAATGTCCAATTCTCAACTGTCCAGTTCTCAACTGTCCAGTTCTCAATTGTCCAGTTCTCAATTGTCCAATTCTCAACTGTCCAGTTCTCAATTGTCCAGTTCTCAACTGTCCAGTTCACAACTGTCCAGTTCTCAACTGTCCAATTCTCAGCTGTCCAATTCTTAACTGTCCAATTCTCAACCGTCCAATTCTCAACTGTCCAGTTCTCAACTGTCCAATTCTCAGCTGTGCAATCTCAACTGTCCAATTCTCAATTGTCCAGTTCTCAACTGTCCAGTTCTCAACTGTCCAATTCTCAGCTGTGCAATTCTCAACTGTCCAATTCTCAGCTGTCCAGTTCTCAACTGTCCAATTCTCAGCTGTGCAATTCTCAACTGTCCAATTCTCAATTGTCCAGTTCTCAACTGTCCAGTTCTCAACTGTCCAATTCTCAGCTGTGCAATTCTCAACTGTCCAATTCTCAGCTGTCCAGTTCTCAACAGTCCAATTCTCAGCTGTGCAATTCTCAACTGTCCAATTCTCAATTGTCCAGTTCTCAACTGTCCAGTTCTCAACTGTCCAATTCTCAGCTGTGCAATTCTCAACTGTCCAATTCTCAACTGTCCAGTTCTCAACTGTCCAATTCTCAACAGTTCTCAACTGTCCAGTGTTTATAACACTTTGTTCTTTGTTCCAATGATGAATTGCCTTGGAGGGCTCCCACCCGAGGATTCAGCCCCTCAGCTTCTGGGTCTACTTCACCGCGTGGAGCTGAGCCGCGGAGTCCGACAGAGTCGAAGCGCGAAGCTGACTCGCTCGAGCTCCGGAAACAAACTTTTTGGGGGTTGGGCGTACAGGGCTCCTTAAAAGATCTCCATTTTGCCACCGCTTGAAACATGTGGCTTTTTCCAAACATGGCTTTTTCAACGCGATGTATACATTATGGCAACCTGAAGGAGCCCCGGTAACCGGAAAACCACCAAAACATCTTCCACACCCTAACCTGAACTGTTGAAATCCCTCACTTGACAATTGCATCCTGTAAGTGTTTGTTGGTCAAACAGACTGGAGCCCTTTTCAAAAGAACGCCTGCAACAAAATGACCCTGACTCTGCGAACCAAGCGGCCCTTTAATAATACAACCAGTTGTGTTGTCGCTTTTCCTTTCTTTCGGTTGTAGCAAATATTTTGTTTTGGGAGATCTTTTTAGGGTAGGGGTTGATCCCTCACTCTGTTCAACTGTCTGTATTTTCAATGACCGGCTGTTATTTTTTAGTGCCTGAAGCTCCCATTGTGACACAATTGGGTGTTCCGTAAAGTTTGTGTTCGAGCCTGTTCGAGCCATGCTTTTCTGCTTGATGCTTCGGAAAGCAAACTCGGTTGTTGTTGGGAAACATTTTACATTTTTGCTTATTGTGGTTTAGTGGGACATCCCCACTTGGCTGCTAAAATTTAATTTTCTGCTCCCCTTTCAACGTCAACCAAGCAAACGCGTCCTTGAAAAACAGCGTGTCTTGATGTTCAATCTGTTCGGAGGAAGGCGAGCAGTTGCTTTGTTTCGCAAATTGCGCTTGTTTGCGGATTGTTCCGCTCGAAGTCATTGCGTTGTAGGCGATGTTGGAAGCTTGGTTAAAGGGAAAGGGCCATGAACTGCAGATATGCTACCTTTCCCAAAACAAGCATGGAGCCCGAAAGAGTCTTTTTGGCGAAAATGGTCTGCACCGGAGCCCGCGGGTTCCATGTACAAAATTTGAGAATCAACCGCTTGGGTACTCGTATAAAGGGAATCTTTCGACAACCATGAACTGCAGACGGGGACACCAGACAAATGCACATGGAAGACTTCGGTCTCGTTTCCCTCGCCCACCGCCGCTACTTTCGGTACCTCAAAGGTCATTGCGCTGTACTTCGTGTTTTGCAGTGGTGTTCGGCCCTCAGAACAGCCCAGCGGACTGCTTCTGCGAGACTAATTTGCAGAAGGAAGTCCTACAAAATGGGTTTGCCTTCTTTGGAAGGTGCCCCTTTTTGTTGGTGGCTTCACAGGAAAGCCAATGGAAAAACCACAATTTTGGTTTCTCTCAAGAGAGAGAGTATGCCACTTTTGGGTCTGGGTTAGAACACAGTTCCAGCACCCCACCAACAACAGCATGTTGGGCACTTTGGGGGGTCTTGGATAGATAAATCCCAGTGTTGGAGGGTGCGTGTTTGGGTGCGTGGTTTGCCTTCCCTAAGGGGTGGATCCGCCAAGGATCCTGCATACAAACCACTGTATCCTCTAACTCGGCCAGGAGGGCAGCTCAGACGTGCTCGAAGTTCAAAGGGAAAGACAAGAATAGGGGACTTGTTTGGGGCCAGCCACTCAGAAGGTCGTTGAACAGTAATGTAGTTTGTTCATTGTGTAACAACCACGGCAGACACGCATCATGCATAGTGTGTGTGTATTATATATATATATATATATTCACATGGCTGTGGTTCAAAAAAGCGGTACCCAAATGAAACCCTGGAAAGTGGAAACATGGACCGACACCTGCGTAACCCCAGCTGTTTACTTTTGATTTTGAGCCATATATATATATATACTGGTATACATACATACACCATCACTATGATGGGTTATTTAAACACATAGTGCATATTGATATAGAAAT